TTTTCTCGATATAAAAGCATAAAAACGTTATAAAATAAAATTAGAGAAAAAGCGTAAGATTTAGAATATAAAAGTCATAAATACATGAATAATCTGAATCATGCTTGATAGAGCGGATTTTCCCATCTTTTCGAAATGGTGCCGCCGCGTAGTACGAAGACATCTCAGTTTTTGGTAGGAGAACTTCCCGGATTTTCATATTTGGTGGTTGGCAGCCAAGCTATGAGTTTATCGCTTTTTGTTGTACGAATTCTACAATTTTGATTAATATTTCATTTTTATTTTAAACCATCGACATCAGATAACAAAGCAACGCCACAGGTAATGGCACCTAAGAAATTTCTCGAATTTCCGATAGCATTATCCACTACTGTTGAAGTTTTGGGGAAAGAGCATAGTGCTAAACATCTGAACCTGTGTATCTGGTTCAAAGTGAGGCAACATGTCCTTCAGAAACACGACAGTCATTTGAAACTCTAAGGTTCCAATCACATCATGTTTCGTCTACGCGGGACTTGACGTCGAAACGGTCAATTCTCAGAACCCGCATATTTCCAAGAAACCCACTAGCTAGGTTACCATTTTCACTTACTACAAAGACTTGAACGCCAGACAATAATCGATTATTGATCAGATTGCGATCACGTGATCATTCAGAAGCAGAACTTTCGTCTGATTGGTTGATTTCTACCCGGGATAGAGCTCCAGCCGAGACATTTTCGGTGAGGTTTGAAAAAAATTCCGCGTAGCCGCTACGTCGTTTCCGTAGGTAGGCGGGACTTCGCTTCCAGCGCGGATTTTTTTCTAGGAAATCCTCCCGTTTAAAACAGTTCTACCAGAATCTCGTTTCTCAGAAAAGTCCCGTCTAGCAGGGCCTGTCTCCAGATGTGATAACCTCTTAAAGAACATTAGCGTTTAAGCAATATATTTCATCCGTTGGCTGCACTGATCAATATAGTGATAATGACACTGACTGCAGTATCAACAGGACCCAGTCGAATCCAGGAAAAAGGCATGTTTGCAAGTGTATAGTATCTATGAGACATGCTGGCAAGCTGAAAGTCCTCTTGAGCGGTTTGGTGGCAAAGAAAGAGAAATGGGAGACCCTCCAAACGCAAAAAAAAAAATTGGACGGAGATGCACAGCGGTGTGGCGGGACAATATCTGCACGACCAGTAGTGAAATTCTGGGTTTTCCCTCTAACTTCTATCTGTATTTATTGTAACAATTAACACAACGGACGTCAATGAACGTCGAGTGGTTGAAGTTATAATAAAATTTTTTAAATCGATCATTCTTAATAAAATAAATTCTGGATTCCATGGGCCCGTATTCGAATGGAGGACATTGATAGCTTTAGCACCGTTGTTTTTTTTACAGTGTGAGAAACATACATACATACATACATTCTTACAGATTCTTCATTATTTAATTTCTTTAAATATACTGCAGGGCGATAATACTTGGTGGCAACAATCTGAAAAGTGATTCAACGTTTTGGGTTAATAAGAATTTTTCTCGTATCAGATGTATTAACGAACCATTTTGTAGATATTAAAAAGGTATAGCTATTTTCAACAGCTAAAATCTATCGAATATCGATCCGTTTATAAAAGAAATCAGCCAACCTACCTGATGAAATTCTGCATAAATTCATTAACAGACAAATGCGTGAATAATTTTGGAATTTAGCTTCTAATTTCCTGTGCGATGCAGCTGAAAAGACACTTAATAGTTATTCAAAGAAAGCGGAAAGCGGTAGCAGTAAAAAATGTGGTTCTTGAATCAGCTCTGAGTTTTGATCTCTGTTACTATTCTTATTCCCGTACTTTTCCAGACGTTTAGCAGAAACTTCTACAATTATTGCTGTGAGTCTAAATGTAGATGCCAGATTTCCAGAATTAAACTTTAATAAATGCTAACTTTTTAATCCATTCTCCAGTTACACTGCTATGAAAAAAAAAAAATTCCCCAGTAACTGTACTTTCTGAACTTCCTGCCGGTACTTTTTATTGAGAGGCACCTGATGTAAGATCTAATAAACCAAACGGATATGAAATCATCCCGACGGCATTTATTGAGTTTTAATAAGAGTAAGGCTACAGGACAAACAAGGCCCTAGTTGTTATTTGGTGCTGGAGCCGCCCTAATCTACAAGGAAGCTTCTCCAAGCAGAGGCCTCGCATTGCACTTCGAGAAATTGACGTTCCTACCTCCGTTGAGTCATCGACAGCAATTGCGCCCAGAAGTGGTAGAGGGGTCAAGACCGCTGAGCAGAGAAAATATTTGCCGAAATTTCGAACTAAGGTAAGGTTCGAATTTCGGCAAGTATTTTTTTGGCTTTCTCCGTGCGTAAAACAAATACGCTAACTTTCTTCAGAAGAACCTCGATATAGGCAACATTGTCTTTTGCCAGATAACCTGATGTGCCTTACTGTGTTCATAAGCAGTCCTTAAAAAGCTAATCAACAGTTATTGGACATGTAACTCTTCAAATGTTAACAAGTGCATCTTCAGCAATTCTTTACTGTACTGCATGAACATAACTGGACATGGATGACTTACTCTTTTGTATGGATTATCTTTTTTTATATAATGAATTGAATGAATGTGTATCAAATGGAATAATTAGGTAGAATTCCCACAATTAAATTTTGCTATCGAAAATAAATGTTAAAAAATACATATACCTAATCTTTTGAAACCTTTCGACATAATTGCAAGCTTTGCTGTTGTGAAAAAGCGATACTATTATTTGCTATCACTTTTTGCTATCAAGGAATTTCTTATCAAGATTCGATAAGAAGATTTTTGCTTTAATCATAAATGATCACATTCAGAAAATACTATAAATTATTTTTTATCGTTATCAGGTTGCATCAAAGGCTTTATCTTGCTCACTATCAATCAGTAGTTTAAGGTCACAAGTACCTATCTGTGTAGTTTAAACTTTATCTTATTCACTATTAATCAGTTGTTGAAGATTTTAAATACCTATTGTCTGTTTTATTTGAATTGAAGAAGTTGGCTTACTATTAACCTTTTCCCGTAGGCTATAAACATTAATTTTCCATTTATTTTTGCCATTTAAACAAGTATTCAGCAGGAAAGTAAAGAAAAACGATGTGATAGATTTTTTCTGCATTTCATTCCACTTTATTCAGCAATTTTTAAGTCTCTAAAGTGGGTTTAAAGTCCTTGAGCCTTATTTAATGTAGTCAATGCATGGAACATATATGTCCCAGCCCGTCTACGTCGAAGACGAAGTAGCGAATTCTCGCTAACTCTTTAAGAATAAATACTGCAGAAGAAAGATTTAAACAACCTTTTTATTTAAATTAAAATTAAAACAGATGCACGCATTTCGTGCTCACAAATCACAACCACTTGTGGCTACGTAAATTAACAGAAATTAAGAATGTAACAAATCTCTAATAAATTAAGATAGCTAATGACTGGTTTCTTAGCTTAAATAACGCTAAATCAGCTGCACACAGCAAAGTCGAGCCGAGGAATATTAGTATAAACCGAAAGGTGTCGAACACCGAACAAAAGAGTTAATTTCAAACTCGCAGCATAAACATCGGAACTAAGTCCGCTACTACTATACTTAAACTCTTGACCACGCAGCTTAAATACTACTTCTGAAACACGTTTAAATTTGAATATTACGTCATTACAAATTTACATTCCGGTAGGAAACTGAAATCAAGAGGGAAAGGGGAGGGAAAACTAAAAATAATTAGTTAGAATAAAATAAATCCTTGCGCTATTAGAAAATTAAAGCAAGATCTTCAATGAAGTCCAAGTTATGCCGAAGACCTTTTTCTTCAGTTTTTGTTATATCAATTACTGTTTGTTTAGTGTTATGAAACGTTCCAGATATTTTGCGCCTCTAAACCTAATTTATCATTCATGCCAGATTTGTTTGTCGAAAAGCCTGAAGAAAGCATCTATTATCTGTAATGTCAAATAAAATGAATAAAAGTGTTTTTTACATGACACAGTGCAAATTATAGTGTGATACGGAACAAAGTGCAAAACGTGGTGTTTGAAGTACAGTGGAACCTCGAGATAGAAGTTTTAATTCGTTGCAGCATTGAGCTCGTATAGCGAATTTCTCGTATCTACATAGAAACAAACTTCCTCATTGAAAATAATAGAAATCCAGTTAATACGTTCCGCACCCCAAAATATATTAACATAAAATTCAATTTTTCTAATATATAACACTGGTAAATAATATAACCATAGTTTACCTTTATGATAGCTCCCGACAAATGATAGCTTCCGACATTGAACTTTTAACTGCTTCTCGTTAATCGACACCAACAACAGATTCTCAAAATCTTCAAGGAGTATTGGACGGTACTTGGAAGTAACGGTAACTCCTTTGGCTACATCAAGTTCCTTAATTTCTTCCTGCTTCTTCAAAATAGTGCAAATCGCTTATGTCGAAAAGGCCGTACGTCTTCGCCAATTCCGTCGCACTTATATCACGCTTGTTTATCTATGATTTCTTTCTTAATTTCGACGGCCGTCGCTTCCTTATTTTTCTTTGCAGCACTATCTGAAGTAACAATCTTCTTGAGAGGCCTCATGGAATAATTATTTTCACGTTAACCGTAATAAACAATTGACTCACAAGCGCATATAAACATGTAGATCAAAGAACACCGAGTGATCTGATGAGGGGATTCACCGAGTCGAGCCGGATCGGGAAATGGCGCAACGAGTACCATTGGCTCATTGCTCGTTACTCGAGTTAATGCTCCTATTTAGAGACAAAATTTTTGCTCATACTTTCCTCGTATCTCAAATTGTTCGTATATAGAAATGCTCGTATCTCGAGGCTCCACTGTAATTGATAAAATCCTTTTGGGTATTAATTACATTTGAATTTGGATGATCAAATTCCAGTTTTGTTATTTATTTTCGAAATTTATTGAATTGGTGTAAATTGTGAAAGACACAAAATATATTCCTTTTCTCATCCATAGGTATCATGTTGTTAGGTTGACTATGTATTTGTTTGGAATAACCTCACTTTTACCTTGGAACTTTTTTATTCAGGCAAACGATGTGAGTACATTTTTGTATATTTCATATGTAATAGATCTGAAATTTAATAGAAATAAAAAAGTTGCGTGTTTCTAAAAAAAAAAGAATATATATTGTTATTCGTGTAAAAAAATTCTCATTAATAAATATATATATGTAAAGAATATTCTGTGTAAAAAAATTCTGCATTAATAAATATATATATGTAAAGAATATTCTGTGTAAAAAAATTCTGCATTAATAAATATAATGTATATATATATAAAGAATAAATGAAAAGATTTTACATAGGAAAGGATATTATGCATGTAAATACTATGTGAAAAATGGGTGTATCAAAAATAATAGAAATACAGATATTTATGGGGATACTTTTATTGATATGAAGCTAATCTTCAAATATTCCGTATAACAGCTTAAAAATTAAGCTTGGAATAATCGATTAAAAATGTTACGATTATTCTGAATTATTCTTCACGCAAAAGTCAAAAAAGAAAACTAGGCCTTCACCTGCGCCTGATATTCCCATAAAATTCACAAAACTCGGAGACTGGATCAAGCAAAGAAGATTTTTCGTTTCCTCTGCCTCGTATAACAGGTTTATGTGCATTTTGCTATATAGGCGCAGTGTTATTTATCTAAATGTTAAAAATGTTATTATAGAAACAACGACATAAAATATCTGATGCAGACATATGACTGCCTTGTATGGCCTATTAAAACCATGAGCCGTAAAATCGGCTGTAATTCACTAGAGAAGGTAACATTGTACTTCACGTGATAATTCTGCATTAATTCACAACTAATACTAGTACTGATATCTCATAATTGTTTTTGTGCTCTAAAGTTACCGCGTTGTTCAAAACAGTACTTTTCACATAGCAAAAATAAATCGTTTATGTATTTTGCCATGTGTGTACATATAAAGTCGATCAGAAATGTTCTATAAGATATCTGACTGACTGTAATTATTTCCAGTACTGGATGTACAAGTTCCGAAACGTGAGTGCTCCATTTGATCCTTCTTCAGAGGACAAGACAGACCTGCAAACGATATTTTCTAGTTACCTAGCCATTGCAAGCAAAGTGCCCTATGTGTGCTTTTTGTTAGTAAACGCTTATGTCAGTAATAGGTAAGAACAATTTGTTTATGTAATATACAAAGTTCACCAAGAAAGAATATCGGCATTCTAAAATACATTATTTGCAAATGTTATGTCCATCGAAATGATTCGAATGTTTAAAATGTTAAGAAACATTTCAAATTTTAATACTTGGTAAGTTTCGACACTGGCAAGAACCTCCTGGCACGTGTATAAATTTATGAATAGTCATGCATCTTTTCAACAGGAACTAGCAAAATTCGATATAATGCACTTTTATACAATCTGAAATACAATATTGACGTAGAAACCAAATTAAACATTAAAATTATTCTTCTGTAGACGATATTTGAATTCAATATTATTTTCCTTTTTCAGTGCTATTTCATTTGTTAAGCAGCGCAAATGTTGCACTAATACAAATGATTAAAACTTATTCTAAAACAATGTAGTGGCAAAATTTGTTAAGCATTGCTTTTCAAGTGAAATGACACGAAATACAATTAATTTATTTTTTGGCCCTCTTGTGCATAGAAAAATTCGGCCATACTAAGTCGATTGTCAGTATGTTGCAATTCCGTAAAATATAAGGTCCTTAATTTATCTTTCAATATTAATCATTCTATTATTGATAAACAAGTCAAAAGATTCAAAAGTAGTAAAGGCAGTTCTTAATACTTTAAATCTTTATTTCACTTTTAAAAATTTATATTAGTTAGATACTTCATTAAAATCACACTTAATTTAAAATGTATCCAACTGATATTTTTTATGACTATTTGAAGTAAGATATTTATAAGAACATACACTACGTAAGCGGTAAAGAGTTTTTTAGTTTTTTTAATTTTTATAGTTGCTTACACCTTTAACCTTTTAAACATTTAAAATATTAAAAAAAATATTTAATGGTGAGTTCTTTTTCTTGGTGTCAGAATCTGAATCTAAATCTTCTTGTTTGAAATTGTATCTGCAATCGAAGCAAATTTATATTACTAGTAATCTTGCAGCCGGACGTTTCTCTTCTATGTTTGAGATAATTTTTGCAATAGAGACTAGTAAAATTTGAAATAATGCACTTTTATACAATTTAAAATGCGATTTCGACGTAGAAACGAAATTAAACATTAAAATTATTCTTCTGCAGACGATATTCGAATTCAGTGTTATTTTCCTTTTATTTTTCAGTCTTGAAACCTAACATAAAATATTCATCATGATACATTATCAATAGCTGACGGCTTTGCAAATAAATTAGACACATTTTTAATTCCACAAAGATCGAAAAGAATATTCGTTTCTGAGTAATATTCATACACTTGCATATAAATATGCAACTATTGGCAAGACATAACCTTTCGGGTGCAATGAATAAACTTTTTTTTTTTTTTTTTTGTTAATATTAAACTAGCAATAACCTACTACTTCAATTGTATACGGAATAAAAAGAATTAAAGGCGACGTTCCTGCGATAACATAAATTTCTTCCTGTATTCTTGGAAGACAGCATGCTGCAACAGAACAGTTGAAAGCAAAAATTATTAGCACTATTTAGAACATGCGTTTGCATACTAGCATCTTACAAGGTGTGATTTATTTTTACTGTCAACTGTCTAGCAATTCTTTGGCAATTTTGACAGCTTCTTGGAAAATTCTTGGTGAACTGTCGTTGGCTTTCTATTGTCCAGAAGAACAAAGCATCATAAAGCTGGTCACTTAGTAAAACTTCAGATAAAACCCGAGTCTCTTTGAATTTACGTGTTTCTTTTTTATGATGATTATAATAAAACCGCAAACAAACTGAAAAGGAAACATAAAACTGAAGAAAAGGAATACTTGTAGAGAATATGAAAAGAAAATTTTTAATTGCAGTAATTGTTAAATATTAGTCCTGAATTATTAAAGAAAAGGCATTAGTTTGTTTATGTTTATACATTTATTTCTATACATTTCGCAAACTGTTGTAAAGTTCGTTTCCTGCAAAATATACTATGTGGACACTGTATGTGTTTTTGAGACACTGTATATGGGGGTAAACCTTTTCTATCTCTAAAAACAATGAAAAAGTAATATTGGAGAACACGAATACTGAAAATTACGAGTCTTTACTTTAGCAAAATCCGATTTTCATAGGTTTACAGTCATAATTTTGAAAATTTTAACCTATGATCTATTTTTCTGGTCGAACTACATAAGAAATTCAAAGAATTCCCGAAAGTGTTCCGATATCAAATGTTTGCAAATTTTGTCACTCAATTCCTTAGGCTCAATTATTTTCTAAACTAATTAACCTAACTTTTAATAAAACTTGGAATTTTACATGGGAACTTAGAGTATTCATTCGTATTCAGAAAATTAATAATTGTAATGTTTTGTATACCCATGCTTAGTAATAACAGAAGAAACTTTTAAGTTCTGGAATATAGTTCTGTAATACACGGGGAGTTAGTTATATTCTTGCTGAGATTATTCAATAGCTTTAATTTTTCTGAAATCGTCTTCTGTTACTGAAAAAGGAATCTGATGGCACATATTTAATAAAAGATAGACACTATATAGATATTAGCGGGATATATGAAAAATGTGCAATGCCCTCGCCAGGACTCGAACCTGGATCTTTCGAATACGTGCCGAATGTGCTACGTAACACCACGAAGGCGTGGAGAAAGGAGGGAGAAAATACCTTATAAAACAAATAATGCTTTCAGTAACTTAGTATAAATGATTAGATTCTAATGAAAAGCGTATAAGGTATTTCTTTCGCCTTCCTAGCTTGCCTTCGTGGTGTAGTGGTTCTGCACGCTGGGCCGGTATTCCAGAGGTCCGTGGTTCAATTCCCGGCGAAGGCGATTGCTAATTTTTCATCTCCTCTGCTTCCAAAAAAATACCTAATGTACAAGCGAATAAGGTTTTCAATTATAGACTAAAGTTTCTTTTGAATTGGAGTGACAAGGCAAATATAATGTGACACATCTCACAAGCTTTCTTTTTAAACTGTTTTTATTTTTGCTGTGAAACTCCTACGTAGTAAATATGGATTTAGATTTTCGGTAGGATAATGAGATACATTCCGCAAGAGAAGAAGAGGAAGAATGACCTTGCTTGTTTGCATTAGCTTTACATAAGTCACGTGATTTCGAGGTCATCTGCATTGTTTGTTTACAAAAGGTATACATAAGTCACGGGATCTATGAGGTCAGCGGAATGTATCTCATTGTGTTTAAACTCTAACGCAACGGACCAGTAAAATAAAGTTATCAGCTTCATCTATTTAATTCGATGTTTAGATTTCAATACCCAATAAACGATTTAGGCATTTGAAAGAGTAATATATGGCACTGAGAAAAGGTAGTTCATTCGTCGACTGTGTGATACGTTTAAAAATTGCACGCATTTTTTAGAATCAAATAAATTTTATTCTTTCATGCTGTAACGCACTAATGAAACTGGTCTTATTTGAGTCTTGAAAGATTTTAAAAACTGTGAGATTCCTTTAATTTGAATAACCAGTTATTTAATGTTTTGAATCTGCACTGTCACTTCTCTTTTTCCGTTTTCTCGCCAAAATGCAAATTTGTTCGCGTATATTTGAGCTTCTTAAGACAGAGCATGTTCTGTCACTCGTGGCCACGTTTCTAGGTTTGCTACTTTAAATAAGAGTTCCTGGCTTTGGTCTTGCATTATATTTGCCGATAGGGAAATCCTCGCCTGTGAAGCTCTAAGCCACCTTCGCGTTAAATTGCTCTGTGTAGTCTTTTGAGATGTTAATCTAGTAGTTAAATTTAAGCTTTGCACTTGACTTTAATTTTGAGATTCTCGCCTTAAATGCTGGCGGAATTGTAAGCACCAGGATTGCCTTCTGGTATCTTATTTAATTTTAAATAAAGAGTCTTTTATGCCCTTCTCAAGTTTTTGTTATACTTAGAGATAAATTGCTTAACTTCTACAAAGTGTCTAACTTGAATGATCTCCAAGAGAGTTAGACTTTACAGAACTATATTTAAGTAGGGAAAAAATGCATATTATTCCCAGATGTTAATATTTCCTTTTTTAACTTAACCTCATTCATCTAAGATATATCTTCTGGATAGTGTTATTTCTTTCCCATCATTTTTTATACTGCACTAAACTTTTTTCGTTTCCTGTGGTGTTAAATAGTCTTTTTCAATGTTCCATTTTAGTTTTTTCCACTTTGAGCTTTCTAGAAGTGGCCTTAAAATCGTGGCATTTCAGCCTTTCTTTCAGATTGTGGAAAAATTACTTGTTTCCTTTAACAAATAATTACCAAAAAAAAGTTAAAAGCCCATCATAACTTAAAATATTGTACTGAGTGGCCTACCAGAGTGACTGTGCTGATTTCTCATTCAAAACTAATTCTGCTTATTGGTTATCAAATATAGAATTTAGAAGCACGGTTCAAAAATAAATTTGTTCTATTTTAAATAACTCTTAAGTAAACGAAGCGTGAAAGAAGGAAAACAAAACAAAAACTGGGGAAAAGCCATTTATTGGTCCTGTCTCTAGGCGTAAAGCTTGAATCATCTGCAATCTATAAGGTTTCATTTGCAATCGTATTCTCAAAACATACTACACCGTTGTTTGCGGAAGTTCCAGCTCATACTAACTAGATCCGTTAGTTGATTCTTTGGCCTGCGTAGAAACGTCGCACATCTTTTCCACATTCTCGCCGCTAACACATGGCGGCGAGAATCTCTGCTTTTTCCTTTACAAAGGCAGCTTGTTTCTTCACGGCATAACTAAGATACAAAACGCCCTCTCTTCCTGAGACGTCATTTTTCGTTCTAGCCATCGCAGCACTGCCACGCCTTCCGTAGCCTCGAGCTACGGAGAAAAGAAATTATTTCAGCTCTTCTTTCTTTTAAACCATTCTGGTAAGTCTTTGTTTAAAAATGGTTTTAATACAGTATTTTAAAATACCATATTTCATTTTAAATAACTCTGCATTTCATATAACTTCAGGCATGTTTATGATCACCTTTTGGTGATTCTGAAACTTTTTGAAAAACGTACACGTTTCATCATTTTGATTAACTGAATTTATCACTTTTTTTTTTTTTTTTTTTACAGATGTCTTCCTTCGAAAAGGATACAGTGGCCTCTCATGGCGATGATCTTATTATTTGCTTTAACCACTGCCATCGTTTTTGTCAATACAGATAACAGTAAGTTGACATTCTTTATCAGGCTAATGCTTTAACAATGTTTGTTTATTACAAATTTCGGTACCGTGAATTTAACTTTAAAATATGCTATCTGTCAATTCAGAATACATGAGGTTTGTCAAGAGGTACAGCAAACGGAATCTAGAATAGATTAACCACATCAAAGATTTCTTTCTTTGATTAGATACATGTTAATAAAACTTTTAATCATTTATGGACTACGAATATACCATGTGTGTATAAATATGATATGAACTATGAACTCTTAATTTTAACTACTAATATGACTACTAATTAAGAACTACTAATACGACTATTAATTACGAACTACTAATAAGAACATACCATGTGAGTATGAATATACCATGTAATACAGAGGCTGTTCGCACATTTTTTAGACGATTTTGGTAAGCGGTAATAAAAAATCGTTTGCTGCAAAAGAGGTAATTGCAATTGTACTATGTTTTTAAAAGTAGAAATTATCATCTGTGGCTTGAAAGTTTTTTTTTTTTTCAAAATGGCAAATTTAACAAAGCAGTGGTTCGAAGGCTACATTTACGCTCTTTCCAAAGAGAAATATGCACACTCCATTATCCAAAAACGATGTGAGAGTCATGGTTTTGTGATATCCAAAGCGTCGATAGGTAATATCATCAACAAGAAAGGAAACAAATGTCAAACAAATTGGAGCCTCAAGTGGGGCAAAAATTCCAAACAAGTATCCAAGGAAAAAACGTACATCTTCGACTATTGCAAAGGTACGTTGTTTAATGTTAAAAGAAAATCCCCCTAGTCAAAGGACAGTTGCAAAATCATTAAAATGCTCGATGTCCACTGTAAACAAAATGATAAACGTTGATTTAAATCTTAAGAAAGCGAGAAAACGCAATATGCATCGTCTTCTTCCAAAGCATATCGCTCAACGCAGGACACGCTGCAGAATTCTATATGAGAAACACTTAGAAAAATGGAAAACAATTGTCACAATAGATGAAGCATGGGTGTATTTAAATGATTGTAACAAAAAAAGAGCCATTTATTATCGTAAAAGGGGAGAAAAAAATTTAAGTGCATGGTTCAAAGAATCGAAAGAAAGTTTTTCTAAGGGATTCATGATTGTTGCTGATTTTTCTTATAATGGCAAGTTAAAAATAAAGAGAGTGAAAAAAAAATGTCAAGATTAATTCCAAATACTATCAGGAACATATTTTATCGCAAATTTTTCTGAATGAAATACCATCGCTTTACCCACAGTGCCATCAATCTGTGAGACTCCATCAGGACAAAGCTAGCAGTCACACATCAAAATCCACTGTAAATTTCCTAAAAGAGATGGAACAAAAAACTGGTATCGAGGCCATACCCTTCACTGATATCCCTACTAAATCTTCCGATGTGTCAGCTATGGATTTTTGTGCTTTCGGACTTTTAAAAACTGCATTATCCAAACGTTGTCCCAAAACCCTGACAGGACTCTGGAAAGCTGTTCGGGAGGAATGGGATAGAATACCTCTTCTGCCACTTCAAAAGGCATTATTATCCTGGAGATTGCGGTGTCGAAAGATAGTTCAGATTAAGGGATGTCAAATAGAACATTTAAAGCACAAGAATTTTATGTAATTTAGTTTTGTGAATACAATATACGTCGTCTAAAAAATGTGGGAACAGCCTCTGTATAGCTGCTTATTTTCAGAATTTAGATCAAATTAAGCAACAGTCACTTTTCTTTTGAAATTGCGTAAGAAATCAAAGGAATCAAAAAAGTAAAAAAACTTGCATTCCTCTGAAATTGTACAAGTTTTTAAGAATATTTCAATGAAACCGTTAATAAAATTCTAAGAAATAATTCTTTCTTTTTAAAGAGATCTCGAGAAATCTGTTACGATACCATAAAAGCACTAGAGATAATACTGTTGAACTCCTTTGATTATCCATATAATTAATTGCCGTTTCCTAAAACTTGTAGTAGTGTCTTCTACAATTTGGAAGAAATATTCTAATATTCCACTAATTTTTTTCGCTTTCTGAGACGTTCTAAATATTGAATTTTTAAACTGGCTTTTATTTCAAAGAATTCTAGTATATTAAACTAAGCACTTGCTTTAAATAATCTTACGTTAAATAAAAATAAACAAATTAGAAAACTTTCAAAGTGTGACTAAACTTGAGAATAAGTTATGATAACCTATTCTCTTTCTTTTCTTTATTAAAATTTTCTTTGCCACGCACAGAAATAGTACATATATTTATATGTAAATAATGATAAACTTCTTGATTTTTTACTACAGCTTTCAGCTATAATATCTCACCTTGTTTCGATTTCGATAAATATTATAACCTTGGAGAAAATTTAATCACGCATTATAAATGCGTATTGATCAGCTTAGTTCTTTTTAGGCTTATTAATATTCAACTGCAGAAAAAAACTAATCACATGTAAATGTATTCCCAAATAAAACGATTATTTTTATTGCGAAAATTCCTAACTGAGGGTATTTATCTTTTGATAAGTATGGTAAAAGGTTAATAAAATGCATAGCTTCAAATATTTGAGTAAGATAGACATCGCGGGGTAAACTATTTAGTTCCATTTGTAGATTTTCTGGAGCGTTACTCAAGTTCATTTTTAATGTTAACGAAAATAGCAATTGATATATTAAAAAAACTTTATATTCTGTAGGATCCACTTGCTTATCTTCTAAGCGACAATTTTACGTGTAGTAAGTTACTTGTAGAAACTACACAGAAGAAGGGTTAAAAGTAACCTTTATTAAACTCTTTAAAATTCAAAATGCGTTAACTCGACGCTAACACACTACGCCTCACCTGGGCAGTAACTCAAATCACCGGAACTCAAATAAAAATTCGAAGATATTCACAAGTAGTAGAAACTATGCTACATGGCACAGAAAACTCTTGTTACTTAAAACCGCGTCGAAACTAGTGGCAGCAAAGTAAATGCTGTTACGTCTCGTAAACCAGCAATAACTCCGGGAGTAAATGCTCAGGCAACAGAGGTAACGGCAATAACCTAACTCTCTCTAACTTTCCTTCTAAAACCCGGTAGTTAAACTCTTTCTTTACAAGGTAGAATTTCACGCGCGCTACCAAATTTAAATATTCTGGCATTGACAATTAGGAGAATGAAAGCTTATAGAAAAGAATGTCAAATTAAATAAAATTGGTTATTTAAAATAAATATAAATCTCTGCAGTTGCCTCTTCCAGAATTTAGCAAACTTGGATAAAGATCCTTAAAGACCTGACAAACTGTTAAAGTCTACATCTAACAGGCTCTGAGCCTTGCTTACACACAAAAGCCTGAAATTTTTAATTTGATTATAATAAAAGTAATATTTTCTTCCTTTTCCTTCCGCTGAACTTGCTCTTCCTTGTACTTGCTCATTAGGGCATTCAGTCTTGTCTTTCCAGGCATCTGGAAGAAATACTTATGAATACAAGTTCGTATCAAACAATAAATAACACTTTAATTTCACAAATATTGATCCTTTTATTTTCTAACTCTCTTGCATTTAACGTAGTTTTCTTAAATTTACCGAACATTGTGGTTTTTACCGGCCACATTTACTCATTACACATTCATGCTTTACTTTAGCTTAATGCCCTTTTGGTTCTCCACAAGCTAGAATAGCCCACCAGCGGCCGAGCGGTAAAGTCGCTAAACACTGGTATTTCGGTCCGAGGTTCGAATCCCGCGAACGGGCTGGCTGCATGGGTGTTTTCGTGGTTTTCCCCATGTGTAACGTGTATACAAGCCAGTTTCCCTTAGAAAGTCCTCCACGAAGGCATCCCTCCCCTTAGGCAGATAGCCCTCGAAGCTTTGCCGTAATTAAATAACCTAACCTAAGAAGCTAGAATTTGCATTCCTTCACGCACACTACGAAATTTAAATATTCTGGAAATGACAATTAGGGAGATGAAGGCTTATAGGAAAGGATGTCAGATTAGATAAAACTGGTTATTTAAAATAAATATAAATCCCTACAATTCTATGTCTGTTCCACTAGTCATTATGACACACATTCAAAAGCCTCGTTTCCACTCGTGCGATTCATATGCGTTTAGTCATTGGGTAAAAACAAACTTCCGATGCGCATACTTAGACAGATGAGCATTCACACTACGCTTACATATGCTCCGAAATCGCTTGCAATTACAGCTATCTTTTTTCTCTTCAAAAGTAAATGTGCATGCAGAAATATCTATCTCGCAAAAGCTTTGCTGATTCGTGGACATGAATTCCTTTTTTGTATTTTTCCCTCCTTCCAGCATGCCTTCGTGGTGTAACGGTTGGCACACTCGACGCATATTCGAGAGGTTCAGGTTCGAGTCCCGGCGAGGCCATTGGTCATTTTTGACTTCTCCAGCATCAAAATAACCTAATGTCTCTACAATACCTGAATTTCTTAACACCGTTGGCTACATTTGCAATACTCAGCATTCAAGACGTAGTTATCCTTTTGTTTTTTTGAAAGAATTGATAATCTAATTGTTTGTTTCTTTAAAGAAATTTGGTTAATTACTAATTCAATTAATTGATTTAATTTAATTGCTTACTGATTGTTTTCTTCAATACATAAACTGCTCCCTATAATTGGGGTGTTTCTAAACTTCAAGAATTCGTACATTTGAGAAATGTCGTACGCTTTCCTTCAAGCCCGTCGTTGCTTCTGTAGTCATCATTTTCTGTTGACACCATCTGATTGCTTGTTGACACAATCCTGCACTGACAGTGCAGGATACACCGTCATTGCAGGATATACTGACAATAGTGATCAGTCAGTACAGGATATACTGACAATACACTGACAATGATGACTGCAGAAGCAACGATGGGCTTTCCTTCAAGCCCATCGTTGCTTCTGCAGTCATCATTTTCTGTTGATACCATCTGATTGCCATGACCCCTAAGCTTCTGCATACAATAGCTGAACATGATTTAACTCCATGAGTTTCATCTCTGTTTATAGATCAGCCAAAATCACTTTCAGTCAAAGGCTTCCTGATTGTAGAAAACGCATAACGACTACATACGAAAGGTACTAGTGCAAACGAAGCTAAACTGTCCTCGAGTTCCGTTCATAACATATTAACAGATATAGCAGTCCATTGTTACTGAAACCAGTCCATGAGACCTGCAAGAATTGCTGGCAGTGAGGGTAAGCACAAATATAATATAATCCTTAATATACACCCAAAGGAAAACAGTACACAGGTCAGATCAAAAGACGTGGGGGAAAGGCATGCTACAAAAGGTATGGACCGAGTTCGATAACTATTTGGATGTCTATAAGTCGTATCACACATACAAAACATTTCGGAAGAACAACACTTTAGAACAATTTTTCTGCTTTTTCATATGATATGAGACAGCCCAATCACCTCGGATCGTTTTGGGGTTACCGTGTAAAGGTAAAACTAGTTCCTCAATATAAACTTTGGTTGATGACGGGGAATTCGATATTGATAGCTGATTAGTTGTTGAAAACGAACAACTTTAATTTATTTCCCCGCATGAAAGGAAGAAATCGTACGTCTTTCTTTCAGTGGACGATTGCCTGAAACAGTTGTTCATCTGAAATAAAGGAATGTTTGATACCAGCCTAAATGGGCACAACTGAACATTTGTAGTGTGTGAGGAAAACTTGGTGAGATTCCAGTTATTTTCTTTCGCCAATTATTTTTGCATACTTTATACATTATATTTAAGAATACGTTCACAGTAACCCTCAATTTCCGGATTCATAGACACAGAACTAAATCAGTTGTTTCCAGATTTTGTGATTGTCTCCGAGTCTCTCTGTCCTTTTACAATGTAACTTGAAAATTAACAAATGAATTTAACCCACATGTTCAAATCTCTCGATTTAAAATTTTGGGGTTATTTTCTTCTTATTGTTTTCTCAACACTTTTTTGGTTTGCTTTTCTAGGATATCTTACTTAATGAAATTTAGGTAAGAAAATCGGTTTAATCTGAAAATTAGCACAATGATCTTCAAGTAAACTTACATTAAAATTAACAAATACGGAGTAAGTTCCCTGGTTTTAAGCAAAAAAAAACGTTTGTAGTCGGAAACTAATGAGAGTTAATAGCAATCAAATCATCTGTTTTAAAGTTTCATAAATAATGAACTTCCAAACTCAAAAACTGTTTATTGGATGTAGATGGAAGTTTTGTGATTTTATCTTTTGATATCTTCTTAGGTAGGATCTCTTAGACCAGTCTTCGTTTGCATTAAGTTGGAACTCTTATGAAAAAGCACTGAGAATTGCAAATGCCAGTTATATTCATATTTATTTTTGTAAATACTCATATTTGTTACAAACTAGAAGTTTACTAAATGCTCAAACACTGTAGGATTCCCCTCTGTGTTATTCTAAATTACAGTTGAATGTGAAGAATCTTAAGAACTAGTAAGCGAATAATCGCTTGAGTTCGTGAGACAGTAAATAAACTTGGAAAGGGTTAAAAGACCCTTTATTATTCAAATAAGATTTAAGAGAACTCCGTCTTGGAGTTGTACAATAAAGCCGACACTCGGGCTTGAACTTAAGAGACTAAAAATTAAATTAAGCTAATCTTAACTAAAGAGATATAGCCGAAGCTATCAATCTTCTAACAGAGTTGGCCGCTTAACGCTAATTGACTGCGAAGCTATCAAGGGCCTAAAGTATGGCCGAGCGTAATAATAGCTTAAGAGAGAGTAGCTTAAAAAGGCGGACGCGTGCTAACCAGAAACTCTGGTTCTCTCTCCCGAAGACAGTAGAACTCCGCGGTTAAATACCGCTCTTCCTTAATTTACATTCAGACGTGATTCTAAAACTACTTTCTGGCCGGAAGTGGTAAGTTGAAATTAAGAAGCGATAGGAAAGGAAATTTAATTCAAAATTTGACTGTTAATAAAATTAACATAATCCTTACAACATAACTAAATGTTAATAGCAAAAGCATGCAAACCCGCGGGTAACGCAGAACAAACTAAATTCATACAGTAAAACCCAACACAATAAAAGCACGTGAAAACTTTCCTAAAATGGAACAGAGAAATAATTATTCCATAAAGTTTCTAAATGTCGATTAATATCAGCCTATACTTACACGTATTTTGCTAACTTTCAAAACTTTCTGAAATTTCGTTGAAACTAATAGGCAAAATTTTAAGTTTAGAACAAAATTAATTTTTCATTGTTAAAAAAAAAGGTATATGCGCTAGAATAAGATACAAAATGAAAGAAAAACATATCGATAAAATTTAACGAAAGTAAAATATAATAGAAGAGAATTAAATTTTGTGAAACAGTTCGTGAAAAGGAAGTTCAGAAGATTTTATTCTTTCGTTTATTACAGTCATTCCTCAATACATATTGAAATTCAGCACTGCAAACCAAAGAAAATTCCGTATTGGAATAAAATGAAGCATTTTCAGAATTAACAGTTGCGTATAAATTAAAAGTTAAAGATTGAAGAACATTAGTTATCATTCAGGAGTTTTCTTTTTGAAATATGTCGAACTATTTTTAAAAAAATATCAATTCGTATTTTTATCTGTAAGCCGCCCAAGCGAGGAAGTAGTTAGTGACTCTGACTGCCGTACCGAAGGGCCTGGGTTCGAATCCCAGAGAAGACATGAATGTAATTTGCCCATCCCTTCATAAGAGGCTAGAGCGGTCCACCAATTAGGTGTCTCCACAATAAAGAGACACAGCCTATAAACGGCTTGAGCTAAGATAAGCCGACGACATATGCAAACATAGCCATTTGGCCACAATGAAATTCATGAATTTGATCTAGTATTACTGTCAGATATGTAATCACAACAATATGACAATAAAAAGACAATAATAAAAAGCCTCAAAAATAAAAGAAAAATTAACAAAACTGAATTTTTAGTCCTTTTTCAAAACCGTTTCGTTATAAATATTCTCTTATTTGCATATGTCTGTTTTGATGTTATAGCATCTCTTTTCTTTCACTAGGTCAAAGAACATTCTTTGCTGTAACAATAACAATAGTAGTGGCTATAAATTGTAAGTATGTTTCTTGAATTTTAGAAATAAATTTGTAAGGTAGATATTAGCTCTGTAACAAATGCAAAAGAACTTTGCAAATGTAGGTGAATTTTTCCACTGACAAATACTTATTTACATTATCACCGCCACCATATTTTTATGTTACTGTTGTTCTAATATACTATACCATCCCATAATATATAATATACCATACCCTAATACCATAATATTTAATATACAGGGGTTGGACAAAAATATGGAAACACCTTTAAAAAAACATGTTTCTTTGCTTAATATGGTGTAGGAAACCCATTGGCATCCAAAACAGCTTGCAGTCTTCTCGGAATGGATAAATACAGTTCCTGTATGTTTGCCAAGGGAATATTATACCATTCTTCCTGCAAAACGGTGGCAAGTTCAGATAACGATGTTGGCGGTGGATAACGAGAACGCACTTTCCGTTCCAATGTAGACCACAAAGGTTCGATAATATTCAGGTCTGGTGACTGTGGTGGCCAGGGGAGATGGGACAACTCATTCTCGTGCTCAGAAAACCAATCCTGGACAATGTGAGTTGTGTGAACAGGGGCTTTGTCGTCTTGGAAGACACCATCACCATCGGGGAACAAGTTTGTACCATGGGATGAACTTGATCGGCCAAAATGTTCACATAAGTCTTGGCAGTCATGTGCCCTGACACAGTTATCATGGGGCTAGCAGAGAACCACGATATGGCTGCCCAAACCATAACAGAACCCCCGCCATGTTTCACTCTTGGCAACAAGCAGTCTGTATTATAGGCTTGAGATGGCGTTCTCCAGATGTAAACTCGGCCAGAAGTGGGAAACAATGTGAAAGAAGACTCGTCGGACCATATTACTCGCTTCCACTGCTCTATAGTCCAGGCTTTATGACTTAAACACCACTTTTCCTGTTACGGGCATTAGCATCACTGATGAGTGGCTTCTCAATTGCAGCACGGCCAGCAATTCCCTGTTTATGAAGCTCTCTTCTAATTGTTTTGGTACTCACAGGGTTCGGTAACGCAACATTCATTTCAGCAGTAACTTTTGCAGCTGTGGTCTTCTTATTTTCCCCCACAATCGCTTTTAACGTCGTCTGTCACGATCACTCCGGAGACACTTTCGTCCGCGCTGTGATTTAGCAGATGATGTTTTTCCGCTTTTCAAATATGCGGAATAAATCTTCGATACAGTACCTCTTGAAACACTAAACACCTCGGCTACCTTGCTTACGGAAGCACCTACCATACGTGCTCCAACAATTTACCCACGTTCGAAGTCTGTTAACTCTGACATAATGCAATGACAACCTTACATAACAGTACTCCGACAACAACTGAACTGTTTAGCACATTTACGAAGTTGTATAGGTGGCGTCAGTAGTCAAAAACGCCAGCGCCACCTACATATTTCATTAAAATCAATCTTTCTTTTCAAACATGCATTTCACAAGGTGTTTCCATATTTTTGTCCATCCACTGTAACATACCATGCCATCTCTACATATAATAAAAGAAAGAGTCTGTGTCTTTCGTTCGTGCTTTGCGCGTAAACTAATAGACCCAGGGCTACGAAATTTGGTATATAGGTGCATCTAGACAAAAGCCAGTGCACCTCGAAATGATTTTTTCTAGATTCGTATCAGATTTTTTTTTATTTATCTTTTCGATTTTATCGCATCATTTTTGAATAATTTCATTCTTTTAGAAATGTGGTTTTGGCAACAGTTTTTTATTCAATTATATACAGGACTGCCGACTGTTAAAAAGCAGCACTTTTGCCACCTGGAAAAATGAGGGCGATAATTCTGTGCAGTTTTTAAATTTAATGTTTCTTTTGGATACTGTACGTTTGTTGAGAGAAGGCAACGAGAAGTTGGTTAATTTATTTATTAGGATAATTAATGTTTGTGTTAAGGGATATTGCTTATTTCATTGTAATTAATTTTATTATACGTAATAGTTTTTTTTTTTTTTTTTTTTTTTTTTTAGTCCAAAGGGTCCCTGAAAGACTATTGTTCTATTGTTTCCGTTTTGCGATTTTGCGTTGTATCACTATAAATGTCCGTTTCACTTTTCAAACTGTTGCCACCAAATGTTAGAGTCCTGCATTATATTTGAAGAAAATAATGAAAAATCTGCATAAATGTATGTATATTTCTCGCATTGTGATAAAACAAGGATACACAGAGCCATCGAATTTTGAATGACGTAATCCTCCTACGAATATGGGCATGTGGAAGACCAAATTTGAAATTTGGAATTTGGTTTATGATCGATTTCATATTTTGTAAAGCTTTAACGAATTTTTGAGTAACAAACTCAACGATTTAAAAGCGAGCAATGGCAACACCCTACCGGGAAAAAAACCTTTTTATCTCCAGGGCGCGGAACTGTGTATCAGAAATCCTAAAGATATGCTCATTTTAAAATTATTTTGCGACATTGCTATTGAACTAAATTTTATGGTTTAAGTACAAAGAACGTGATATTTAATAAATAAAAGTAACACAAAAAACGTTAAAAGAACGCCCCTTTGGATGTAATTTAAAATCTGAAACCTTTCAGATTTATTTTTATTTATTTATTATTACTATTTTTTTATGAAACTGTTCTGCAGAGTAAAGTTCTGCGCATTTTTTTAATTTAACGTTTGGTCTACCCTTCAATCACTTTTCCGGTACATTTAAAAGCCAGACGAAGGCAAGCCGCGTAGCTGCTGGTAATATACAAAAAAAAGTCAGTATAAATTTGAAAACTTAATAAATCACGGAATATTGTAGATAGAGAGGTAAAAATTGACACACATACTTAGAATGACATGGGGTTTTATTAGAAAAGCAATAATCTGATCAGAAAAGCAATAATTAGCATAACAAATTAAGACAAAGCAAAGATGATGTTCTTTACAGGAAATGCTCAATATATTCACCATCATTCCTCAACAATAGCTGTAGTCGAGGAATAATGTTGTGAACAGCACTGTAAAGCATGTCCGGAGTTATGGTGAGGTATTGCCGGTGGATGTTGTCTTTCAGAATCCCTAGAGATGTCGGTCGATCACGATACACTTGCGACTTCAGGTAACCCCAAAACCAATAATCGCACGGACTGAGGTCTGGGGACCTGGGAGGCCAAGCATGGCGAAAGTGGCGGCTGAGCACACGATCATCACCAAACGACGGGCGCAAGAGATCTTTCATGCGTCTAGCAATATGGGGTGGAGCGCCATCCTGCATAAAATCATACATTTTTTAAACTTTTTTTTGGTTCTAATAAAACCCCATGTCATTCTAAGTACGAGTCTAAGTCTCGTATGTACGTCAATTTTTACCTCTCTATCTACATTATTCCGTGATTTATTAAGTTTTCAAATTTATACTGACTTTTTGATCACCCGGTATATAATATGCCATACCATAATACCATAATAATATACCATATCATAATGTAATTCTTCGTACTCAATCTAGTTTACGATTTTACAAAAAAAAAAAAAAAAAAAAAAAAAATCCTAAATATGACTAATATAAGGAACAATGGGATAATACTTAGAATACAAATCAAAGGGTATATTCAGTCAGTGAATGCGAATAAGGCAAAATTCTAAGCTTATAACATTTATTTTAACTTTCTAATTCTTTACAATATATCATCCTTACAGTAAATTTGTAGACAGTCAAGCAATAAAACTGCAGAAATCAAATGTAATTAATTTGATGGAGTTTTAAGGTCAATTCGACGATTTACAGCGCTGTTACAGAATACCGATGTTTCATGCTGTGAGATATGTAAATAAGGTACAAATATGATGCATGGAAGAATTTATGCCCATTCTCTCTGCATACAGTTTTAAAAGATTTAAAATAAACGTTAAACCATTTGCTAGAAGCTGTACTTCTAAATTAGACCTAGAAGAAAATTTCTTAAAATTATTTATTTATAATGATCTAGTAAATGAAAATCTGACTGATATGAAACTGTAAAAGCGAGGGTCGTTAAAAATTGGCAAAGTACATGACGGCTATATGATTAAGATATGCCTCCGTGGAGGAGGTTCTAAGCTTCCTTGAAGCTCGTATTCGATGGAGCTATAAAAGAAAATCGATGAAAAAGAAGATATACAACTGAAAATATCTTTCATAAAACAATTGGCAGATTCGTGTTATTTAATCAAGTACCTGTAGATACTTTTTTATTAAATATGTCTGATAATGCAAAGTTTATATTTATAATCGGTGCAACTAAAGAAGTATTTTCGCACTTTTAAACATGCTAATACTCTTCGTAAGAGTAATAAATTCTATATGAATTCATACTTTTCTTTTTATATCAAAAAAGGGGAGGAGAGCGAAAGTTCAAAAATGAAATATTCTACAAAGACTAAATATGATTTCTAATAAAAATATTCCTAATCATTGCAGTGTTTGAAAATTTTTGATTATTTTCCTAATTATTATCTCAACATGAGATGTAAGACTCATATTGTACACATATTCATTTTCACCGTGTTTCCTAATTTTAAATACGCCTTAAACATTAAAAAAAAAAAAAAAAAAAAATCTACGAATGGCACAATGTAGGCAACGAACGACAACATAACAACATAACAACAATAAATTTCAAAGAATACCATGTACACAGCATCCTGTTTAAATTAAAAAAAAAAAATCTACGAATTGCACAATTTAGGCAACGAACGAATCTACAAACTACGCACACCTCGCTTTAATAAATTAACATAACAACAATAAATTTCAAAGAATACCATGTACACAGCATCCTGTTTTAACTTAATAAAACATCTACGAATTACACAATTTAGGCAACGAACGAATCTACGAACTACACACACCTCGCTTTAATAAATTAATATAACACCAATAAATCTCAAAGAATACCATGTACACAGCATCCTGTTTAAATTTTAAAAAACATCTACGAATTGCACAATCTAGACACTAACAACTAGCAACTAAACACTAATCAACAAAATAAACTAAAATAAATTTCAAACAATTAAAAAAAAAAAAAAAAAAAAAACAAAAAAAAAAAAAAAAAAAAAAAAAAAAAAAAATACGACAGAACAGAAATACATTCTAAAAACCAGTGAACATAACATTCTACAAAATAAGAACAAGAATAAAATAAAATGCACTTTAAATGCTTTTTCGAACAGCAGAAAATACCAATTTCATACCACCTTTAACATGCCGCCACGTAATCACTATCGTATTATATGACAGCCAGACACACTATCCAGAAAAATTCACTATGGTTCACAAATAAATAAAATCACAAATCCCTACTTCTATCATGCACAGCCATTAAAAATAATCTCCCAGACCCTCTTTCCACACCTCCAAATACCCACTGCCCCTCAACAGGATGGCCACAATGATATTTCTTTTTGCCGATACTTTGTAAGGATTATGTTAATTTTATTAACAGTTAAATTTTAAGTTAAAGTTCCTTTCCTGTGAAATTCTTAACTTCAACTTACTACTTCCGGCCAGAACGTAGTTTTGGAATTTGCTGAATATAAGGAGGAGCGGTATTTAAACCATGAAGTTACTTACGGAGGTAGAGAGAATCAGAGTTTCTGATTTACGCCCGTTTGCCTTTTTAGCTACTCTTCTCTCTCAAAGCTGTTAATTACGCTTCGGCCGTAGTCAGGCCCTTGCTAAGCTTTCGTAGTCAAATAAGTTAAGGTGGCCAACTCGATTTGAACCTTGATAGTTTCGGCTATACTTCTTTAGTTAATCATAGTTTTAGTTTAATTTCTTAGTCTTTTCAAGTTCAAGTCGAAGTGCGGGCTTTGCTTGTACACTCCCAGGCGGAGTTTTGTTAAATCTTATTGGAATAATAAAGAGTTAGTTACCCTTCTACCTTGTTGTTTCTTGTCACCGAACGCAAGCGATTATTCGCGTATCAGTTCTTAGATTCCTCACTTCCAACATTAACTTAGAATTCCAAAGTGAGGTACTCTACAACTTTTTGCCTTTTATCTTTCTCCCTATCTTCTCAGACACAGATGCGAACCAACGAGCTCCAGCGAAAGATTTTTCAACGTCAACAGGGTTGCCATACAACACGCAATCGCACCAAGAACCAGCGCAGAAATCATATCGCCACATTTGGTGAAATTAGGGCGTATATCAGAGTTGTACCAAAATTAGTGTCTAATGCGTAGCAAGTGCTACATGTCCCAGCATGAAGAGCTTTTGGGATATGTCAGTCTCTGCTATTTCCTCACTTGTTTATTTGCAGATGTTCTTAAATGTGTCTGTCATCGGATCATGGACAAGACGTGCTCAAAATTCAACAGATCTGATGAATGCATGAGTCATAGAAATATGTAATATCACTATTATCCAGAAGGAAATGTGGATATTATGCGCGACATGCGGTTGCTAATTTTCCTATTAATAGCCGTCTTCAGACACACTCTGAGGACAAGGGATAGAAATGTGTTACAGCATCTCAGATGACTGTTGTAAATGTATCCATCATCGAGAGTGAAAGTGGAATCCAATAGTAAGTGAATCCATAATATTAGATGTGATATGGCACGGCGATGCATAATGTAGGCTTTACTTCGTCTGTTACTGTGATGCAGACAGAAGGAGCCGACATGCAGTTCGTCTTTCCATTCGCGTAGTTCGAGGTATAGTTGTAGCTACACCCCCCTACGAGATCAGTTCAAAGATAGCCCGAGGTAACAGATCTCTCGCAAAAATTTCTGTTATTTCACGTAATCATATCGAAAGCGCGAAGACTAGTTGTTGAGTAATACTCAAAAAAGAGATTATTTAGGCTTGTGATGTGGCTATACGATCTGCAATGATCATTTAAACACGATATTTAACTTCCTATTCGGTGGAATGAATCTGTTAAAGGCTGTTGAAATCGCTTTCATATTGTCATTATTGTCGTTGCCTTTTGTTCAATGAGAGCACCAGTTTCTTGGAAGAATAGACTTTGCCTCAATATACACTATTTTCAAAGGTAAAATCGTAAATCTGCTGGTATGGCCGTCGCATTCGTTGACGAGGTCTGACATAATATGTGCATACGAACAGTGAGGAAACACAATGCCAATAGTTAATAGCAGAGCTCATTTTTTCATATGTGCATTTCATATGATTTTCATACGTGCTTCGCTACTTGATATTTAATATGTACGTTTTTTATGCATTGCAAATTTCAGGATACATTTGTAAGGTTTATCCTAAGTTCTTAACTATTATTTTTTTTAAGTAAGCTACTTTCGTGTCCATCTTAATTTCAGCTTACAATTTTCTACCAGAATGTGATTTTAGACTCGCGTTAAATGCAAATGAGTAAGAGCAGTATTTAAGTCGAAGTTCCACTGACTTGGAGAGAGAGCCTCAGAGTTTCTGACTAGCGCGGGTTTGCCTTTTGGCTATGTCTCACTAAGCTGTTACTACGCTCGTCGTATTACAGACTCTTGATATTTTGGCTAGCTTATTCGACATTTAGGGGCCAACTACTTAGAATTTTGATAGCTTCGACCTATATCTATTTAGTTAAGCATTAGTTGAGTCTTATTTCTTATTATTTTGAGTCCAAGCCTAAGTGGAGGCTTTGCTGTATGCCCTCAGAAAGGGGCCATCTGTTAACTCTTATTTTTGAGCAAGAAAGGGTAATTAACCCTTCTCGAGTCTCTGTTCCTGAACTAAAGCGATTAGTTGCTTAGCTGTTCACTAGGTTCCTCCACATTTAGCTGTTAGATAAAAAGGTGGAACCCCACACGTTCTTCTTAACATTTTAATTTAAATTTATAGCAGTGTACAAGGACCGCTGTGAAATTCTTTAACACATTTATAAAATGAAAACAAAACAGCAATGAGGTAGTGCGCATAGAGAAATTAGAGTTTCCATTTAAAGTTTTTACATGCTTAAGCGATTATTTTAAACTAAACAAGAAACTTTTCTCCATAATTTCGAATTGAGATACAGACAGACTGAATATCATCAAAGACAAATAGTTGCTTTAAAAAGTAAAGAGACTTAAGAAACTGAGTGTCATCTTATCAAACTGATCATATAAGTGTTATAAAGTTACAAATACATACAAGTAAATAAAATAATTCGAAATTTTGACTTTTCTTTTTTAAAGTAAAATAATGTGTGTGTTTTTAGCAATGTGTGGTTTCGTGCAAGGCGGAGGTACGGGGATTGCTGGCAGTCTACCGAAGAGATTTATGGGCTACAATGTCAATGGCATGGTGAGTTTATAATGATTGGATTATTTATAACAATACTATGATTATAATAAGCTACAGTCTACAAATGATGTTCAGAATTTTAAATGTAATCACAGGCAAGCCCCTCTTCAGCATTTTTGGCTCCCTAGGTTATCAGTACCATTGACATCCCTTGTACATAAAACGTATTAATAACTCAAAGCGAAATGGCCTTTTAGTTAGTTGTCTTTCGTTAATTTGTGAGAAGAACTTGCTGGTGCCCTTCGAAAATCGGCGAGCAGGGCCGGCTTCAAGCATCGTTGACCCGTGCATGCTTGAAGCCGGCCTTATTTACAGATAAACGGATAGGTTACAATGGCATTTATATAAATTAACTTTTATGAGTTTATAGCAAACAAGTAATCTAAAAGAAGTCAATACCTGTTTAGGTCAACAAAGAAAAATTTTATTTTAGTTACTTTTTATTAACATTATTAAAATTTTTTCGTTTCTAATTTAACTAAATGTTTTCGTTAAATTTCGTAGGAATTGACTTTAATATGTGAACAAAAATGTATTTAATATCAAGCGTCATCCACTACAGTTTGAAAAAATGTATTTGAACTTGAGTGGATGAACAAAAAGTATTTTATTAATGATTGAAGATTTGAACAAGATGTAGGGAGACTGTGAGCTAATAGTAGAAATTTAATAAGGATGTAAATATATCACACACATAGTTTCAAATAAAACACTTACTACTGTCGCATTCCATAAAACAATCCCTTATTGTAACTGACTTATCCAACATCTGACCATGCGACAAGTTTAATAGTCTCTATGTGCTGAAAGAATGAAGAGGTCTTTTATGAGTGAATGCTTTGATATTAAGGTCATTTTTTATTAATGTGACATGGTTTCACGTTATATTCCACCACATTTTTTGAGTTACTTTAAATAAAAGGCATATAATGAGGAACCCTATATCCCAGCATGTAGTTAGTACACGGCGCTAGGACACATGTAGTAGCTAGGACACATGTAGTAGCTAGGACACATGTAGCTAGGTCTAGCATGTAGCTAGGACACGCCAGAAGACTGCAAAAAATAACCAGTTTCAAGCTTTAAAACATATGGGAGAAAAATATGAAAATGGCGATTATTTTTATTTGTATTCCTTTCATCTTTTCGTTGATATTTAATCATTGTTGTCTTTATGCGCTTCTCATTTCACATATTTGTTATTCTAAAATATGGTTGTGTTAGATGTCTTGTATTAAATTTAAATGATGTAAACTATATCGCACCATTTTGCGACCTTCTTATAATATTCTGCACCATTTTCATAACCAGTTTCAAACAGACTGTGAATGTTCTTATGCATTAAACAAATGGCAGATGATGCAATCTTGACAAAGTGCACAAAACTATGTTTCAAATGCAGGATATTTAATAACTGGGCAGAATTCTACTTGCGTTTTCTATATTTTCGGCTTCGGGTAAGGGGTGTGATTGCATCCTAATTGACTTAATTACCGCTAATGGCTTTAGGGCATAAAATTGAACTATCTGGTAAAATTTCTATGTAATTGGATGCCAGTATTGAAAGAAAGAATCAATGTGATAAGAAATGGCTGCGACTTGTTTTTAAAATGAGGTGTGAAAGGTTACCATCGACGATATTCCGTTTGGCATCGGTTATTCCGTTTATTATTCCGGTTATTCCGTTTGGCATTATTGCCGACTTTATCGCATGCGCCAGCAAAACGGAAAATACCTATACAAAATTCGTAACAGTACTTTCAATGTAAATATAGGCTTACTAAACCTTTCAAGCAAATTCCAAGTTGAGTTATATATATATAGTATATAGGTTTCTCATGCCCGATTTTGTAATAATTATTGATGTTAATTAACAATAGATTTTATTTTGTAGGCACTTGGAGGTATGCTGGCATCAGTGGCACAAATTTTATCATTGATAGGAGATACAAAACCAACAGACAGTGCATTCTTTTACTTCGCTACAGCAACGATCTTCCTCTGCATCACATTCGTCTACTTCCGACTCACCCTCCGAAGTGTCAGTATATTTTAAGCAACATTCTTTCTCACCTTTCTAAGTGTTGAGTTCATTTTGCGTTATGAATGTGTTTTAATTTCTGACTCACATTCTGAAACATTAGTTTGTATATTCATTCCTCGGAAGCCAAGAATTCTAACTGGCAAACTGAAACTCTGCGAGTGTTCATTCTAAAACACAACTCTTTCAAGTGGCATAGGTAGAACTTTGATGCTAGGCACTGAGACCTTGTTACAACAGCAAAACTGATATAAGGCGTTTGACAGAGAATCCAACTAATCACAGTGAAATCGTTGACGTCATTTCCGACTTCCAGACAAAGCAATCATTTAGCATTCAACGTAAGTAAAGGAAATGCGCAGCCGTTGATAGAATAATTGGAACACTTTGTTTTAATATATTTGTTTTAATAATAGTATTTGAACTAAAAATATGTAAATGTCCAATGTTTTGCCTCGATAACAACGCCTTTTTTCATTATATATAATCACTAACAAAAGGGAAATTCGGAGTTGGGCTGAAGTGCGCTTGACAAAGCTTGAAATTTGCCAAAAATTTGGATGAGGTCAAATACATATGAAGTTATATTGATCTGATTAACCGGTTTACTAGATGTGAAAGTTTCTGTAACAATTGCGATTTATGTCAATGATAACTGTGATGTTGGTTTTCAAACTCTCCCCGCTTAAACTTTAGAGTAAAATCTGAAGTAAGCTTTAAGGTGTTCACAGTCTTCCCCCTGGTGGATACCATTTATAGCAATCCAATTAATTTGTAATATGTTATGTGTTAAAAAATAACACAGATATCCACATGAAAGAACTAAAGACAGTTAAGTAAACTGTGACGAACAAACTAATGATGACCATATCTATTTACAATAAAAATAATCACTTTAATATAATGTACACTGGTTATCATAAATTAAGGAAAAATCACAAAAATTACGATTACTGAAAATGTTACATGTAGAATTTACAACAATATACAACACATAGTAAGGTATCAAATAACCTAAAGAATTATCAGACAAATGGTATATAAAGTATCACAGTTAAAATGAATAAATCAAAGGTGTCAGTTTGCTATAGGAAAAGTACCTTCAATATGGAATATTGTCACCTCTAGAAGCTATACAGCTCATACAGCGAAAAGTGATGATTTCATTTATATGCTCTATCAGTTCCATAGGAAGCGAGAGGCATTGCTCTTGCAAAGCGGTTGCAAGCGCGGCAAGGATCTGAGGGAGCGGGTTGAGAGCAGCTAGACGTCTCTCTAAAGCATCCCAAACATAATCGATAGGATTCAAGTCCGGGGATCCAGCTGGCCACTCCATGCGCATAATTGTTTCCTGTTGAAGATAATCATATACGATGCGAGCCCTGTGTGTTCTTGCATTGTCGTCCTGTAACAGGAAAGCATCACCTTTTGCCCTGGCATATGGGTGCACATAAGCATCAAGGATGTCATCTCTATAAACATGAGCATTCGCGGTTACCCTTGGAAAAACATGTAGGCCTGTGCATCCACCCAAAGAGATGACGAAGACACTGCCTCTTCCGTATGCATCTCTTTCACGGATGTTTGAGGGATGAAAACGGGTTCCAGGTTTTCTCCATATCAAATAATGCCTACTATCGCTTTCTAGACTAAACCTGATGAATTATAATTTAATTTAATAAATGCCTATATTTTAATTTTCATCCGTAAAGAGAACAACCCTCCACAGATCAAGCGTCGGACATGTTGTCGTGCCTACTGCAAACGGTCCCTCCCATGGCGTGACGTGAGCGGCACACAAATGCTGTCGCCTCGCACGATACCTCTTGAAGCCCTTCTACGAACAGTTGACGTTGACACAGCCTCAGGTGGCTCAGCAAGGAAGGATCTAAGAAGAGTCGGAGTAGCGGTTCTATTTCTGCGTGCATAAGTGAAATATCGGTCATCGGCGCTCGTCGTAGCGTTGGCCGTCCGGGCTGAACCTCCCAGACACCCGAATCGGTGGTTTGAAATTGCCTTTAAATCTATGACCACAGAAGGACTCACATTTAGCCATCTGGCCACTTCTGTTTGACTTTGTCCTGCCTCTAGTCCCAATGGCTCTCCATTAGTTCTGCAGCAATTGCCTGAAGGTATTGTAACGAATTGGCTATCTCGGGTTTCTGATGTCTATCATAGTGAAATATGTGGGCTTGCTCTCAAACATGGACTTATATGCTTCCGCAGATGACGTATTCCGAGTGTAGTGCCACTAATTTGCATATTGAAGGTTTATTCAGCTATTCTTACTTAGCAACATATTCAAATTTTACACGGTTTGGCTACTTTTTGAGAGAGGTATCGCTATTTTTGTGATTTTTCCTTAATTTATGATAACCAGTGTAGTTCAACATCGCGTTAACGTGTTCAGCTAACGCAAAGAAACCCTTAACCTTATTTATTAACTGCTTGTTACTTTCCATATTTTTAACCCTAAGAGCTCTTAGTGCATAAGATATAAGAGGGTGTATTAAAAAGCAACAAACCAAACTGATTAAGTAAACCAAATAAAGCCATTTGAACTATTTTACAAGCTTAATTATAATTCATTTTTAGGATTGTTTTTCAAATTAAGCTTTTATATTAAATGTTCCATCCAAAATTCACATACCAGTTGCTTTTAAGTTCTTACATATTAGTTGTAATAAGGGTGAGTTCTGATTCCTTCAGTAATTGAGATTAAAGTTTTCTGATTGGTTTCAAGTGAGCCAGATAAGTTATCGTTTTAATTTGTTGGAAATCGTTTTAATTTGTTTAATTTGTTGAGGTATTTATAAATATTTTACAAATTTTCTCGTACTGTTTTATTTATGAGTTTGGACATGTATTTGAATGGACTAGCTTGTACGAGACCAGCTCGTATGTAGATAGTATTAATTCTCTTAGTGGGGAACTGAAACATTTGCGTATATCAAAATTTTTATTGAAGAATTAAAAGAAAAGATATACTTCATCTTCACATATTTAAATTTTAGTAGTTGTATGTGTTGTGATTTTAAGATGATACACTATGCATGAATCTTAAGAGTAATTTGTAACAGAGAAAACTCAATTAGTATGAGCAGAAGCTATGGGAAAAGTGTTTATGGTATGTAATTTTTGTTGAAAAGAATCTTACTTTTTAACATTTAAAAAAGTTCTGCTTATGCTATCTGATGACGAATTGAAGGAAAGTTTAAATGCTCCATTTAAAATAATCAAAACATTTTATAGCCATTTATTATATAGGTATCCAGGATATTTGAAAATTTATCCGCATTGCATTGTTAAGGTATAATGCAGTGAAGTGAAATTAGTCGAGTATAGGATCTAGACTAGTAATCTAATATTTTATACATCGACGCTTTCCAACAGATTTTTACCTAATATTCAAAAGCATTAAAAGGAACATCATTTTATCTTTTTTGAAACCGGCATTCGAGTGTGGTCGGATTTTCGCTGAAATATGAGAAGCTTGGTTCTCGCCAGTTCTACGCGAGGAAGGACTAGCTGGCTTCCACCTGTTCCCCTGCCTTACATATGCTGTTAAGTATAGGGAGTAGGTGGTAAGAAATTTTAATTTTCTCGTGATTCTTTGACTTCCTTGTTGTTTTCTTGCCTTTGCGTTTATTTCCCCTAAATTGTCGCCATCAAAAATACAACTTCTCATTGATGATTTAAGAGGAAATCAGACCGAACTGAATCTTGATTTATTAGAATTAGTTGTAATAAGGGTGAGTTCTGATTCATTCAGTAATTGAGCTTAAAAATTTTCTGATTGGTTTCAGGTGAGACAGTTAATTTATCGTTTTAATTAGTTGGAAAATTTTGAGGTATTTATAAATATTTTACAAATTTTATAGTACGAGTTTAAAAGTTTACGAGTTTGGAACAAGAATTTGAATAGACGAGCTTGTACGTAGGTACGTAGGTAATTCTCTTAGTGAGGAGCTTGAACATCCGCGAATAGATAAATTATACTTCGATAGAAATATTACTCTGTTGGAGTAGATTTCCATGTTAGTGATAAACTAAGACGCAAACCTGCAAGTAACATTAACATGCGTAGTACAATTAACAAGTATTAAGAAGATTTAACATATTTTAGTTTAATTTAATATTTTTTCTATATACCGTAGACAGCTTAATATATATCATAGATAGTTTTGATCTAGACGAAAGCTTAAGGTTACATAAAGAAATTTAATCGAAATCTGAATCGGAACAATAATCAGGCTTTTATAAATTTTAAGAGGATTTTTTTGGCAACAATCTGTATTATATAATTATCTATTCTTAGAACTTTTTCTAAGCGCGTATGTTGTTCTTTCTATTTTAATGCCACGAAAGTTTATTCTTCAAAGTAGAAAGATATCTGCATGTTATGAAACACTTGAATCATCTGTTTTTTAACATCATTTTCCAAATCTTATCACCACTATTGTTTAGCGAAGAAAGAAAATAGAAAGCCCGTTGTCAGCATGTCTATCTTTTGCAGTTCAACACTTTATAACTGCATTAAATTCCACTTAAGAATAGAACGCATTCTTGTTATTTGTTTAAACTTTCAGCAGTGGTATAGAATGTTCTTTACGAATAATTTTATCTGTTTTCAAAAACATACTTAAAAAAGTGTACATAGAAACTATCTGAATCCACTGCGTTTTTTTATATAACACTTTTAACGAAGATCGTAAAACACTTCAAAACTAATGGGTTGAAATTTTTGTAAAATGTTACGCTTTATATTCCCAGAGACTTGCGAAGCATTTTTACTTATTAGTAACTATTTAGCTTATGAGTTAAAATTGTTCATTCTTTAAAAAAATGTAATAAGGTATTACTAAATTTTCATCATTGGATTACGGAGGCTAAAGTAAGAGTTTTTAATTGCAAATTTAATATCTTTAAAAATGATTTTCATTAAGTGCTTTCCCTTTAAAATTTTATAATTAAAAATTACAGGATGGACATTAACTAAAATTAGACTCCTTATAATATCAATATTAAAATTTTTATAATAACTTGACTTGTTTAAGACTTGTTATAATATCAATATTAAAATTTCTCTTTTTTGTCTAAGGAACATTATTTTACATATAAAAATTATTTCAAACTAAGGTTAAATATAATTTATTTCTGATAATTAGGATTATCATTTTGTTGCGGGTGAGAGGCAAGAAGAAAAATTCCTATGGGTAAAATGTGACATTTCGCAAAATTTTTAAGGTTTGAGTTTTCTATACTAATAACTTCGCTCGCGGATAAAGACTTATACTCGGATCCTGATCCGAAAGATCTAGCAAAATTATTGATTATTGTATTTGGAAGTTATGGAGAAAATATTAAAAATTTTCATTTATTTGCACATTATGATATTATACTGTTCAATGTATAAAACAAATCTAATTATCTTTTTATTATTTATAGGAACTGTTCAATTTTTACATGTCAAAACAGACTTGTAAGTACTTTTCTTCTGTTTTTCACATCAGTTTGCTTAAATATATTTTGATTACTTCAATAATTTATATGACAAAATTAAAAGGAACAGTGGTTCACATTTGTTTTTGAACACTTGTATTTTTGAAATTTATTTGCATACCTCTGTACTAAATATCGAAATATAGACTCCAGATTTTTTCCTAATATATTATTTTTTTTTTCTATTTTAAGGCTTGTTATAGTATCAATATCATCAAATTATTCTTTGTAATAAAATAATTTATTCCAAAAGTGTTAATTAATAATTCACATAGTAATTCAGGCACTCAAAAGTTTTGTTGAGATGTTTTCAAAGACGACGTTCTTGTCCTTCTTGTTTTGAATAAAAATAAACCATAATAATTATCGTTTGCCTATGGAAATTATTATTCGTTATCAAAATATTTTAACAGTAGCCGCCCAACCGGTATAGCGGTTAGCGTCGCTGACTGCCATGTCGAAGGCATGGGTGTTTGTAAATGTATAGTGTCGGTGCGGCATGGCGGCACTCTAAATATGCAGCTAGCCGAAAGTTCTCTCGTGTGGTTTGGTGGAAGGGGAGAGGTGTGGGAGACCCTCGGACCCATTCTCCGGGTGCTCTCCGTCAAAACTGGGGACGGAACTGAGCCAAATCGCCCTGTCACCTGTTAAGTGCTCAAAGCTGTTGCCAACGACAGGCATAATCTAGCGCTCCTTGCTACGAAGAATTGCGTGGGCTTGGGCTGGCTACGTCAGACAAGTAAGCATAAGCAACAACAACAACATATATTAACAGTTTCATATACGAAATGAACATGGCGTGACGCTATATATTAATTATTCGAAATTTAACTATTCAGAATTTTAAGCATGATAAAAGTAATTAAGATAAAATAACACGCCGAACAAGTATAAATTTAGAATTTAAACAACAAAAATTAGCGTTATATTTGCAAATTTTCACAGAACTAGTTTCGATGATTTTATCGAACCGTCATCCTCAGCTGCCAAAGCGCAAATGAAGAGATAAGATAGTGAATAGATAAGATAAGATAAGAAAAGCTGGACAAGAGTTAAGTTACTGGCGCCGTCTATTGATAAAAGTATTCAAAATATTATAAAAGTGCTTATTGTAAAACGTTCAACTATCTTCCGTCTACTAAATGCGATAGAAATTGCCATGGAACTGTTAAAAATGCAATGAAGCCTAACCACATTCTACGTTAACAAAAAAGGACTTCGAGATTTATCCTATGAATTTCAATCAAATTCCAAAAAATTATACTCTAAAACATCAGCGAATTTAGAAAAACGGCATGCGATAAAAGTTTTTCTTGAAATTGATAGAAAGAGTCATTAGGGCGCAAGGATACAATTTGCGATCCGCAACAAGAAAATTCCTCATCAATAAAGAAACAATGAAAGTACTCCTGACCTTCGGAAAATCCAAGGTCAACAAACATTTATTATAATTAATTAATGTTAAAGAGATCATTTTAATTTCTTAGTAGTTATTTTTAATTTTCAAACACTTTAATTTACTCTCTTGTTTCTTACAAGCAGAAATAGAATATATGTAATATATTCTAGTTCTAATATGTAATATATTTTGTCTATATTCATATATATTCATTATAGAAGAAAAGAAAAAAAAAAAAAAAAAAGGAAAATTACCTTTTTCAAAACGATTAAAAGTTTGAAGTCGATCGATTAAAAACTCGAAATCAAAAGAAATTAATCCATCCGCAAAATGTTAATCGATTAATCCGTCGATTATCCGATTAAATGATTCATCTCTGATATTTTTGTAAGAATTTTCAGTTAATTTAATATATTAAATAAAATTATTTTATATTTAAAGCAATGATGAAGAAAAATAGGCCAAGAGAGGATATCAGGAAAATATCAAACTGGGCTATTTTCAAAAAGGTAAGTATCTGTTTTCATAACCGTCATAATGATATGAAAATTCGTGTTATGCAAATCAAAATATTGACCCCTACCTGAAATGACTGTTGTTACTTAGGAATTGACTGATGTTACTTAGAAATTATTTACCTGAAATGACTAATGTTACTTTGGATGTTAGTTATAAATTATATACACTCTTTTGCAAAAAAATCGAAGCACCATGAAGGAAGGGGTTGTTTTTGATAAAATTGAATATGTGTATAGCTCATACACAGATAACAAAGTAATTAAAAAATCGAAGTCATAGTACCTGTTCACAGCTCACAAATCACCATTGAGTGTTCAAATTAGTAGTTGGTCGAACCGCCCCTGGCGGCAATGCATGCTTAAATTCGTCGAGGCAAGGAGTGGTACACGTTCCTAAAGTCAACCTGCGACACATTCTGCCAGGCATTCATCAGTTGTCGCTCCAGATCTGCGATATTTTGTGGTGCCCGATTCTGGCGGCCTACCATGCCCCAGACATGCTCGATTGGGGAAAGGTCTGGTGACCTTGCTGGCTAAGGAAGAGGAAGAGTATCAATCGCACGGAGACAGTCCAGAGATATGTGAGCGGTATGTGGCCTGGCATTATCTTGTTGGGAAATGGCCCCAAGATGACGTGCCATGAAGGGTAATACAACCGGCCGTATCAACATATCGTTGAGCTGTTAAAGATGTACAGAGGATGACTAAAGATGACCTGCTGTCATAAAAATAGCGCTCCACACCATCACACCAGGGGTTATGGCTGTATGCCTTTATGAAACAGAAGCTGATTGGGACCGCTGGCCCGTCCTCTCCAGACACGAACACGGTGGTCATCTGCGTGAAGAGTGAAGCGGGATTCATCGCTGTACACTACACGATGCCAGTATGATGGCAGCCCATGATGATAGGTTGCTATACCACTCCAGACGCCTCCGCCGATATTGTAGAGTCAGAGACAAACGTCTTAAAGGCCTCTGTGAGCATAACCCCACCTCAGAAACAAGCGCCAGGCGACGGTGGACGGTACCACGGGAGGTATAGACGTGGCTGTAGTGAGTTCTATAGTCGACAATGATACCGTTGGGGCAGTTCGAGCCTGGCGAACAATCATCTTATCTTGCCTCGCATTTATGATTCTTGGCCTATATTTCGTCCGCACTTTCCTTGTGGCAAACATTGCTGCCAACATCTTTGCACAGCAGTGTCTGTACGCTGCAGGTGGCGGCCTATTGCTCGATATGACCACCCAGCTTCACGCAACCCTACAATGCGACCACTTTCGAAGTTGTTTATTTGTATGTAAGGTCTTGGATATCGTCGTACTGCCATCTTTAGTTGCTTCTTTATGGAATTACAATGGCAGCAAAAAAAAAAAAAAAAAAAAAAAAAAAAAAAAAAAAAGGGGATAAATTTTGCGCCTCTGTTACTGATTTTATACTTTGCAAATTGCGCACTAGAAATGCGCACTATGATCGCAATTCCTGTTCATTTGCCTTGAAACTTTGATCATTTGCACGTTCGATCAAGATGTTTTTGCATACTAAATTTCGTCGCGATCGCAAAATTCATTCTTGGTGCTTCGATTTCTTTGCAAAAGAGTGCATATTTAAATTCTCTTTATATGGACCTTATTTAAAATTTCAAAAATTACATAATGACTAACGCGCAGAATAAACGAAGTTTAACTTCAAAATGACTGTAAACATGTAAGAAAATTATTAATATACGAAATTTAAGTATATATATATATATATAACAGAATTTTAATTATTAATATACGAAATGTAAGTATATATATATATATAACAGAAAGATAATCGTATGTTAGCTTTATTGATTGTACCAAATGTATGTTAGTCTTCACCAATTAAAAATTATTCAGTGAACCCTCTCTAAAACGTCTACTATAAAAGGTGTAGTTGTTGTTGGTTGCCTGCAGTCGATTAGAGAAATGATGAGTAAAATTTTACAATAGGGTGCCCACTGATATTTTTGGCGGTTTTTCTGACGCCAAAAATGGCACCAAAATGCACAAGATGTCTGTCATCAAAACAATGCCGAAAACTTATGTTATAAAAACAACAAAAGTACTTACCTCGCGTGTTCTTGGCTATCGTCAGCGTTGAATGACTGCTGCACATACATAATGCAAATCATGCAGTCTCGGAATTCATCCTCCTTCTCCTGATCCCGGTGTTAGTGACGCCATATAAACTCAGCAAGGTTTATATGGCGAAGACTGTCATCCGACCACTGCCGGAAGACCCCGAATTGCGAAAACTCGCGCTTAATGTGGCTGCACATGCCATCAACGGCGTTGGTATGAGCGCCTTTCTCGTGAAAAACCCACTCAATAGCTATCCAATTTATCCTTAAGCTTGACCAGGCTCATCTTCGTACAGGCTTGACATTCATGACGAAAACCAATTAAATCTTCAATCATACAGCAATCAGTTTTAGCTTTCTTAGCCTTTAGCTCAAAATCATGGAAAAAAAAAAAAAAAAAAGCGAGTATTTATCTTACCAAACATACTGCTTTGTGGAAATGGGAGGACAATGATTAATTATAAGAACAGGCCAGCTAAAGGAAACCAAAATGAATTAACGGCAGTTAAAATTCTAATAACTCAAAGTATGGTTAAAATTCAAAATACATGATTTATAACATGCACTATAAAACATGGAACCCTCAATCACTAAACTAAGAACTTCCAATCAGATTACACTTAAGAATCCATAATGAATCCATGGTTTGCCATGTCTGAATTTCAGAACATGCACCTCGATATTGCATGATATGCAAAATGATGAGCATCAATGTATATATTTTTGAAATTCATACTAAATAAAGTATACGGTGCATTCCATAGCAAATACATATTGTTTCTTTGGGAAAGACGATTCTATGCCACGTGAGTTAGTTTTAATTATTGGGTCATGAGTAAATAAAAAATAGTTATTTAAAATCATAGAATTAAGAGGAGTCCATCAAAAAGTCCATCCGAAAGTCTAAAGCCGGAAAACACTCGTAGTTTTAACCATGCTAGTAGCCAGGCTTCTTAGTAACTGATTACCTGAAGTTTTCGTGACTTCCTTAATGTGTGAAATTTAAAAACAATTAAAAAAAGTTCTTTGAATGCTTCTTTTCCTTTAGGCAAATAGCTCTTAGATTCGTAGTAATTTATTTACCAACTTGTAAAGAGTTTTAAGGTCACGTCGACTCTTGAGTGTTGAATAAATTGCTGCAACTGTGACTTACGTTGTGCGTATTTGTTTTTATTATACTAATGAATATATTCAGCATTTAATTTTCTTTAATTGTTCTTCCAATCTGAAATGAGTTCACTTATGAAGTGAACTGAAATTATCAGTGACGTATTATTGAATGGCATCTTTTCTTCCAATCAGATCTGGGTATACGCAGTATCCATTGTCCTTGTCTTCTGGGTTACTCTCGCTGTCATGCCAGCCATTGTAGTGTTAGTAATTTCTACATCTCCAGATGACACGTTATGGACAGGTAATATTACACACTTTATATTCCATACATTCAAACTCATAAGCGATAATAATGGTACTCCCATTGAATTCCGGAATTCCGTTAAATTAGGGATTTCGTGAGAAAGTAAACAAATTTAAAATGTTATACATTAAAAATAATTGCGTGTATGTTAGTAATTTGGAGTGTTTCTGAGCTCCTAAGTTTATTCGAAGAATTCTGAAGTAAATAAATTCTAGGAAGAAACTATCAGCAATATTAAAAATTATCTTCACAGTTTGCATTTGCTTATCAATGAGTAATTTTTATTCGTGAATGAAAATCACCATGAATGCATTCAAAATTTATACTTGAAAGCTAAACCAGGTAATGTAACTCGCGTAGATTTCGGGTTATTTGGATTAAGGCAAAACACGCAAGACAATATGCTTAAAAGAAGGAATATCTGCATGGAGGACATTTTCAGAGAAACCGGCTTGCTTTCTCCTTACATACCGGAAAAACTATGAAAACTCCCATGCAACCATCCTGTTCGCAGGAATTTGAACTCCTGTCACAAATACCAGTCTTCTACGGTTTTACCTCTCAAATACACATGGGCTACTGATGCTGATTTCAAAAACCTGATCTTGTTATTTCTAACATTCTTGTTTCTTATTATATTCTAGAAATACGAGATTCGTAAAACGAAGTACTGAAACCGACATGATGCAATTTCAGACGGGCAAAAGCAAATATCAACAATTAAATCAAATACACGGAGCGGAAGCTTACCTGATACCATGAATATCATTAACTGTGAATAAAATCTTATCATTTCTCCTTGACATGCATATAGAACTGATGCAGTTATTTATGGGATAAAAGACGACGTCTACGGAAAAAAAGGATAAAAGTCGACGTACTACTTGTCTGTCTACGGAAAAAAATTACCATTCAGTTTCAAACATTATTAACTTTTCCACCACGTTGCATTTATTTTTACATGAGAGAATAAAAGTGTTTAAAATGTTAGACTATATTGTGCCTAGTATAAAAGTATTTCATGATTAAATCTATTTTGGAAAGGCTGTCCTAAATTAATATACGTAAACAGGACTTGATTACTGCGTAGGCCCACAAGGTTTGGGTCCGTAGTTTTAAAAGGATTCTCAAATCAGTCTGTAACTCTTTATAATCTATTTGGTAAAAGTTTACAATTGGATGCCCCTTGTTTGTTGGCGATTCTTTTTAGACGCCAAGATCGGCGCCAGGAAGGCACGATTTTCAAGATGGCCGCTACACAAAACCAAAATAAGAAGTCAAAGAATTGCACAAACTCTGTGTCCATGTACACATCGATCTGTTTTCACTTAAAAAAACATCATAGAATTGCACAAACTAGGCAATGCGCACTGCCTTAAATTTGTCCATGTACACATCTGTTTTCATTTAAATAAAATCAGGAAGCTAAAAAAAAAGTAAAACTATCATGGTAACCAGAAGTGAGGTTTCATCGCCAAAATTTTTTAAAAACTGTCGCTAATCGAAAGGGCACCCAATTCTACACTAGAGCCATTCATTTTTATGTTCCTAAAACAGGGCTATTGAAAGTGATCAATGGGCACCTCGAAATGAAAGTTATGCCTAGGTCTGCAGACTGCATTAATCGAGCCCTGGGTATAGGCCAATATAAACTGTAATTAAGTCTAAATTGATTAATACTTTGCACGCTGGTAATATGGCTGATCCAGGACAATCGTAAGTTCAGATCCCTAAATGAAAGGTACATTTATGATGCAAGGGGAACGAATAACAGAATCACAAGAAAGTAAAATTCAAAATAAAATTAAAAATTAGGCAAGGCAGCAAACTTAATTTCCCGTAAATTTTGAACATAACTCTATCGATTTCGAGGACAATCAAACAAACGTCTTTTTTTCTTCAGGACCAAAAATAATTCTGCTAAAGCTAATATAAGATGGTTATTTTGCCTAGTTTTAAGATTAACAAAACTTTAATAAATTATTAAATTAATATGACATATAGCGTTAAAAAATCAAATAAAATACTAAATCTCACTGTATTTGACCTTCGACTGGAATTACAATTTCATTCAAAAACTAAGAGCTAGAGTACCATGACTTACGTTTAGTCTTGAATATATAGAACGATGTACCATTTTAAGAATTATAGAAACGAAAACCATTCTTTTTCTAACCCCCCGATGGAAAAAGTTAAAACGGTTAAATCGTCACTAATGAGAATAGAAAGAATATTATAAATAATAACAAAGTATAGAGGAAATTGTAAAAGAAGATACGTACATGTGAAAACAAAGAGAACACTTTCTGAGCACGATCCCCATTTTAGCTGTCGATCAAAATATGATAGGGCAAAATTTTTACCCGAATCCGAGGGTTAGCTGAGAACAAACGAAAGCCTCTTTGCAAATGACAATTTACGTCCCCCGTATTTGGTTACATCGTTTCAAAAGGTCTGTTTTTCCTTGAAAAATCAGTAGCGCAGGACGCGCACGAGCGAGTTAGTATATTTTAGTACTTTCGGGGATGAAAAATGTACCCGCTTTCATAAATTCGTTTCACTTCCTGCAGGAAAAGCCTTTGGCAAGTGGGTAGGAGTTGTTCCTTTCTTAGAAGTTTCAACTTCAGTCCAAGGTTCGTGTCGAACAGACACGCGTCCAGTCAGAAGTTAGAATTGATTTCTAAGGCTTACTTATTATCAAAATAAAATTTTTCGTGATAAATATAATTTTATGCTGAAACTGTGATTCAGTGACTTAAAAAAAACGTGCCGGAACACTTTCATTTAGGGCTCCGATAACTGCGATTTATCTCAAAAACTGAGAAGTACCGGAGCCAGGCTTCGGTTGGCTTCAGAGTAATTTTAAGCGCAGGTTAAATAGAATTGTACAAGCTTGAAAAACAGCAAATTTATTTTAGAGATGATATTTTAACCTTAGATATATTTAGCAACAACAATAAGGAGAAAACAACTTAAGAACTTAAAGAAAACTTAAACTTTATAACAAACTTTAGAAATTTAAAGAAACAACATATTAGTTGCAACTTTTTAACGGTAACTGTGAAATACATATTTTAATTTCAGGTATTTTTCGTTGTAAACTTTAATTTTTTTAATTAACCCGTTGATGTCATCCTCGCGCGGCAGGCTGTCCCAGTAATTTTATAAATGTAATTTATTTCACGTCCGTCGGTTTAAAAACATGTCCTATGACCAGCATTATCTGAGTATGGTTCGACTTTCTTTGATTTCTGGTAGTCCGGATACTTGGACTATTTATTCTAAAGAGCTAAAAATTTAACACTGTCCTTAGGACATCAAATAACCCTAAAATCGGAAACCTCAGATATGGTCGTGGCGTCATCTATTGACGAGTGTAACAAGCACTATACTTTTTTTTAGCAAGCCTGTAATTACTGATCTTTTAGTTTGTAACAGTTTAGTTTGTAGAAAACGAATTCGTAGTGTATTCTTAGTTTAGTTGCTAAAAGTATTCGTTTCCTAAATATCGTTTCTTTTCTGCCAGTACGCGATTCAATATTAGCCAACAGAAATTAACGTATTACCAACTCTCAGCGATAGATGGCGCCACTATAATTTCTCAAGAACCTGGCAGCTCGTTACGAGCTACTTCTAAGATTGATTTCTTGAATAAGAAGCACGGGGATACAGCCAATAGTTTAAGAGGCATTTAATAGTTCAAACTTTATAAAATAACCTGTATATTTATAGTGATTTATCCATCTTATTATATCGTAACAATTATAATAATTTCTATTTTTTTTGCAGGTCGATTGTTTTTACCAGTGGCATGTTTCTTATTATTTAATACTGCTGATTTAGTCAGCCGTCTTTTTGCTATGAGAGTAGCTATAGTAAGTGAATTAAATTATTTGTAATTATTACATTTTTATTCAATTATTAGTAACTACTGAAAACTGAAAGCTGAAGACTGCAGATTTCATCAAAGTAATCAGGGTTTTATGAAAACAGAACAAGCCGTGATTCTCCTAAAATCTGGCATTTTTTAAATGCTAATTTCTTGAATTTAAACGCGTCTGTCCTTTAATGCCTGAAATTTATTTTGCTAGAGTAAAAGAAGCTTAATAGAGGCATTGATATTCGAAATGAAGGTATCAGCGAAAAGAGAAAGCTCGTTGTGTGTCAAGATTGCAAATAGTTTATTAGTAACTACCTTATTTCTACGAAAATAAGACCTAATCAAAAAGTAAGCCTAATCAAAAGTAATGATTTTTCAGGGTACTCCTAATAAGCAATACCCCTAAAATAAGCCTAGTTAAGATAGCCAGACGGGCGCCTTGTTGCCGAATCATCAAGGCGCGATACACATGCACATTTGAAACAAACAAGACGTAGTTGCGACAAATTAGAGTCTTCAATTTCAATACATCACGTTAGCAACGAACGTTTAGCATTTGAATAAATTTAAAGGGTAATAAATTTTGATGCTCAGATAAAATGAGTGCAGAAAGAAAGAACTATTCGAGTAAAGGAAAGGAATTGCGGAAGACTCCAGAGTTAAAATCTTATAGCTTTCTACAAAGAGAAGAAGCTGGATTTAGGAATGGTCCGAAAATGGCGATCAGAGTACAGTCAGTCAGATTTACAGTTGACAATTTTGACTTGTTACAACTCAGTCAACAAGTCGACGAAGGAAATGCTAAAAAGCATAAGTGTGGATCGGGTCGACAACCTTTATTTTCTGAATTCGAACATATTATCTGTGAATGAATTGTTGACAAAAAGAGCAAAGTATTTGGTCTTTCGCAGGACTTCGCCAGACGAATTCAAAGCATCACAACACTGGATGGATGGTTTCTTTTAGCGATATTAACTGTCTCTAAGAGAATCGACAGCACTATTCAAATTGAAAGATATTGAAGTGACTATACGTGCACTTGCGTTCCAGTGTTTCGCTAGTGCTGTCGACTTGTCTAGTTGCTATGGATGAAACTGCAGTGTTTATGGGTCAAGAGTATCAAACTAGCATTTATCAGAGGAGTGCCTCTGCAATGTACATTCCCTCCACTGGTTAAGAAAGTGCCTTCATTACACGTATTTTGGCAATTCGTCTCGATGGAAAGACCACCACCCTGTAATCATCTCTACGGTCAAAAAAGAGGAAATCGAAGTTGTTTCAGGTGTTCATGCTTTTGAGACTGAAAAGCTTGGCGCCCAAAAGCAGCAATAAGAAAATGTGTCGATTTATTTCTACCATTAGTTTTATTTTGTGAGGCGGCCGAACTAGTATGAGATTCTGCTAGCACTCACCGCGCTGAAGAACTTCCTTGCACAAAGAATCAATAAAAAAAATAATTCCTACGGGTCTGACTGCATATCTTCAAACTCTTGATATTGCAATAAACAAACCATTTAAAGACCATCTTCGCACGGAAATAAATGACTACATTAAAAATGGAATAGAAAAAGTCAACGAGGAAATTTTTTGAAATTTAAGGTGCAAAAAGTTGTTGACTTAGGGGGGGAATGCGTGGGCTGTAATATCGGGCAGCTATGTTGCCAGTGCCCTCAGAGCAGGCTACATTTTGAGAACAGCTCATTTGAGAAGAGGTTTTCTTGTTCAGCCTGAGAGGCTAAAACCAATGGTCTCAAATGAAATGAAGTCTTAGAAAATTCAGACAGGAATTCGTGCTCTGGAGCCTTATGACGATGTACTAGAAGACAACATGCCTGTATTAGAAATAAATGATTCTGTTCAATTTGAATGTTTCTTGAATAGGAATAAATGTATTTCGTGAACCTGAATAAATGTATTTTTAAGGCGTATGTTTTTCAGTACAAATTAACATAAGATCGAGTCTTATTTTCGGAGAAACACGGTATTGTTCAAGATATTTCTCTATCCCATTTGCTAATTAACAAGGTGGGTGAACACTAATTTGAGGATATGAGCATTTTGTCTTAAAATGTTTCTTCATTTTTTGAGAAAATATGTACAGAATTGCCATCAGTGAAGAAAGAAATGGTAAGATATGCGTCCCGCAAATATCTACAGTTCAAGCCTTAAAATTCTTGCATGGTACAGGTGCTAAACACGTTTCCCTTGTGTAGCAAAGAGAACAACTATAATTTGGATTTCATTTTGTGGCAACGGAAAATCTGCGTGCCATACTGGAACATGAAGGTGAATCTTCAAAGGTAAATGCTTTTACTGTTACAGCCAACCCGTAGTATGTAAAGTAGTTCAGCATGTGTTCGCAAAGTCCATTACTGCGAGGTTCACCTGTCTCGGTGGCTACTGTGTCAGTTAGCCAACTTCATTTTGCACCAAGACAGTGCCTTGGGACATTGGCATAAACACTTATACGATTACCTCAGCCAGTATCATCCAGAGTATTGAATGAGCATTATGATTCGAATCACATGCCACTGACATTTTACCTTTCCAGATTCCTTGCGATGTTTTTCTTTGAGGGTTTATGAAGAACAAGATATTCGAATCCCTAATTCCCCAAGACACAGGACGATGCCGTTGAGTCAAATAATCAGACACGTTATGCCGGCACGCGTGTGGCAAAGAGTTAAATTATTGTGTAGTCTTCTTCCGTGTTATTTAGTGGCTCACATCGAAGACCTGGGAAAGTCGGTAAAAACTTGGACAGTTAATTTTTCATATTATATCTGTATTTATGACATAAATTTGTTACAGAATCTCAAATAGGTTTTCTTTTTGCACTATTTACTTTGAATTACACTGCATTCTTTCATTGGAATATAAATAGATTATGTGTTTAGACTGCGTGTGTACGGGTTTGTTATAGATTGAATGCACACAGAACCTATGATAGCTTGATAAAATTTATTTTTATTTTACTCAAAAAAATACTTTATAGTTCTGGAACTTTCCAAAAACATGCTCGTATAGCTTTTCTCAGTATCACAGAGCACAATAAGTAGTACACTTCACACTACTAAGTAAGAACATAGAAGCAAGTCTATTTAACATTCAGTAAATGGCTATGTCATTAATTTGGTAAGATATCACCAAGTTGGCAACGATTTTGGCGAGTAATTTTTGTCGCCGACGCTAAACTTGGCGATCATTTGGCGGCATTATTTTCCGCTCCCTGTATCATTGTAATAGATATAGTAACTGAATAACTGTAATTGACTTCGTATGCAACTCTAACCGCACCCGGCCCTCACATACGGTCCAGTAACTTCTAGAAGTGCTAGGCATTTCTCAGCGGCAGGATGAAAACTATATAATACCGGAGAGAGCATCTGCTCTCAGTAGTTGTAGTTGCTAGTTATTCAGCGTGAGTTCGTAGTACTGAGATATCTCCGGATTAGCTTCGCTCTTTAGATGCGCTGTGTTTAATATCCTTAATAGTTTGATATGTAACTACTGATGACCCTGTGATTCTGTGAAGAGTTGTATACTGTCTGTCTACAAGAAGAACAGCCCCGCCTGAGTGTCTGGCAGGTGGCGGTCGCTATAGCAACAAGGCTAGTATATTTCAAATAGGGGCGAACCAAGAGTTGTCATTTTCATTTTTAAATGCGCCAAGGTGCCAAATAAAAAAGTAAATCTTCAAGGACACCCCCTTCGGAAAATGAGTCAAGGCTCGTTTCTACGGCAACAGACAGCTGCAGACTAACTGGCGAGAGCTTTTCTTATGATAGACAAACTGTAACTATTTTTGTGGAAATTTCGAGGACTATGAAGTGTTTCTTTTTGCCAAAATATATTTTATCAAACTATCATCAGTTCTGTGTGCATTCGGTCTAATACGAACCTGTACACACGCAACAATATGCATTTTTTCTTTAATTATTGAATAAAAGTGAATGATCTTCTTTGAAAATATAGGACAGCATTAATACAAACTGAAAAATCGAACATGAAACAAATAAAATTAAAGTACTTTGTGAACCAAAATATTTCTTATGTATATCAAAGAATCAGTTAATTTGATGTTAAAATTATATGTTTTATTTCTATGAAGAAATTAATAAAGACTTTATTTTCAGCCTACTAGGTTCAAATATGCAACACTGACATTAGCATTATTACGAGTGGTGTTCATTCCGTTGCTGATGCTATGCAATGCTTATCCAAGAAAACATTTGCCAGTCGTATTTGATAGCGACGTAGATTTCATCATCATTGTCATCTTTTTCGCTCTCACGGGTGGATATGTATGTACAATAGTCCTCACTCAAGGTCCAAAGTAAGCACATAATATTTTTCTATCTTTTTACTTACATTCTTTTAACTGGACATAAAATTTATTAATGCAAAATTTTAGAATTGTTATAAAACACAATTCTTTTAAATTAAGGATTTAATCATTCAACTATCAGGGCAATAACCTTTTCAGCTTTTCAAAAAACATAAATGTCTTCAGTGAGCATTAACTCGGAAAGCTAGGTTCCCATTTATTCAACTAATACCAATGGCTAGATCACTTAATGATCTGAAGTAACACAACTCAAGAAGGCTCAGGTATTAAAATAGCTTATTGGCAAGTTAAAAGGTTTCTGTAGAGTTATGTTGTCAGCATAGTTAGGAGGATGGAAAATCATATAAATATATATATGTCAAGAAAACTCTGGAACCTGTGAGAAGAGATGAATTTAGGGGTAGATCATCAAATTTAGAATGTTAATTTTGAGATCATCAATTATATTTTGAAACAGCTATCATATTTTGTTGTATCTTACATATATATTAAAATAAAGTAATTAAAAGTAAATTAAAAAGTCTATGATTTGCGCTAAAGCTGCAAAGTAATAAACTAATAAATCATAATAATTTTATAATAAGAAAACTTTCCATATACCATCTCCAAGGAACACAAATTCAATTTAAAACTATGAATGAAAAAAGGTTTCAGTCAGAATTTAAATAGTAATTTCAATCTCCTTGTTTAAAAAACCTTTTTTAACCCTTGAAAAATTTTTTTTAAAAAAAGGAGATTGAAATTACTATTTAAAATATTAATTTCAATTCTGATTAAAAACCTCTTTCATTCATTGCTTTGAATTTGAATTCCTTGGAGAGATGGTATATGGAAAGTTGTCTTATTATAAATTATTATGAATTTATCTATTTATGTATTTTTTATTATGCAACTTTCAGAGTTATTGCAACAAGAAAGATTTGATGAATTGTTCAATAATAAATTTATCAACAGAAATTTACACTTTACATATGATTGAGTATGAGCATTTTTGTCAATTAAACTTTAACTCCCTGCTCAGTTTTTCACATATAAAGCAATAATATTATCAAAAGTTGATAAAAACTCATTGGTATGCTGTATATTTTCAAAAAAAAGAAAGAGAAAATTGATATTTGGAAATAATAAAAATGCACCTCGGAGGCAAAAAAAATCAGAAATTTCTGGATTTTCGATCATTAGTTTAAATCTAGTAAGATGACATGTAGAAATTATAAAGTTAAAAATATGAAATAATTATTTATTGAAATATGAAAGTAATTCATGATATTGATGAAGTCAAACTTTACGAAAAAACTCAATATTTGTTTGCTTTATTAAATATTTCTTTCAAATGTAAGTTGTTTATATTGTTTCTTTTCTTTTCTTTCCTCTTCTTTTTTTTTTTTTTTTTTTTGACTGCGTGCGTGTGTGTGTTGTTGGGGGGGGGGGAGGTTTTTTTATCTTTAATTTTATAGAACAAATATAATTTCTTGTTCAAGTGAAAAATTCCATTGCTCATGTCGTCTAACTACCGTGTAGGGAATTCCTGCTAAAACTGACTAGCGAATCCTTTTCTCAAAACGGTGCGAATATTTCCCGGTTTTAAAACTATACCACAGATTTCGCCCTAATTTCACAAATTCCATAATCCAATTAATAGAACTGGATTATGCTTCTGATAATCGAAGAGCTTCAAATTCGCAGCCATCATCATCATCATAATCACTATAAAATGCGGTAGCTGCCCATAATTATGCCAAGCATTTTTTAAAATATCAGCAGGCACGTCCTCCTGTGACCTTGCGAGGCTCTATACAACAGATTCGAAGTTAACATGCGAACTCGTCGGAAGATATAGGGCTATAACTGTGAGATGAGTTCTATTGAATTGACCAAAAGTAACTTTCAACGTTAATGAGTTCCATGAAATCATCTGCAAATTGTTCAGCTGTTTCATTATCAACTGAAGCTTTTTCACCTTATATTTTTATTTTGCCTTATACCATGGCGATTTTTAAATTTGACTAATCAACCTGTCGAATATGTACACTCAGTTTTAAGTCCATTTTCTTCTTTAAATATTTTGCAGTATTATATATATTCAGTAAAACTGAAGTTTGAGCTGCAAGAAAGATTAGCGCGATTTTTCTGAACTTTATAAACAACACAAGTACTTATTTAAAAAATAGGACCATCAAAGTAAAAGAAAAATTTATTATATGAAAATCACACTGAAGCATATAAATATTATATATTGTTTTTGAGTGTTGCTTGCCATGTTTATCTGCTGAAAAAAGATCTTTCGTTATTTGAAAAAGTTCTGGTTTAACCTTATAATGTATTTTCTCCCTCCTTTCCGCATGCCTTGGCGATATAACGGTAGCACACTCGGCGCGTATTCGAGAGGTCCAGGTTCGAGCTCCGGCGACGGCATTGCTCTTTTTCATGTCCCCTGCTTCAAATAAAATCAAATGATCTACAGTGGCGCTCGAACTAAAAGGTGCTGGAAGATAATTCGTCACTACCAGATTTGGCGATTGGGTTCCAAATCTGGGATCTACAGTAGCGTCCGAACTAAATGGTGGTGGACGATAATTCGTCACCACCAGGTTTGGCGACTGGGTCCCCTAATCCCCAGTCACCCTTTAAAAGGGGGAGTATATGAGGTATTTTCTCCCTCCTTTCACCATGCCGTCGTGGTCTACCGATAGCACACTCGGCGCGTTTTCGAGAAGTCCAGGTTCAAGTTCCGGCGAGGACATTTCACATTTTTTACATCTCCTGCTTCAAAATAACCTAATGACTCTACAAATATATTGCAGAGAAAAACTGCATATGTAATATTTCCAGAGATTTAGCATCCCCTTTATAGACTGCTTTTACTTTGCATGTTCACACTGTTTCCTCTTGATTTCACTAAAGTAGGGTTTTCCTACTTATCTAGCCTCTTCACTTTTATGGGGTTTCTCATTTTACTTGATATGAATACCTTATAAGGTATTTTCTCCCTCCTTCCCGCATGTCTTCGTGGTGTAACGGTAGCCCACTCGGCACTTATTCGAGAGGTCCAGGTTCGAGTCCCGGAGAAGGCACTGCTCATTTTTCACCTCTCCCGCATCAAAAAACCTAATGACTCTGCAACCATTTTCTGATTTCTTTTCCCTTCTTCAAGTATCTGAAAACTCAAGATCTCTCGCGCTTTAGCCATTAATATTTATTTCAATATTTTATTATTGGTCCATTATCTCCGTTTTTGACAGATTTACTTATTGTTAGTAATAGCTGCGCAATTTCTGAAATTTGTTTAATATATTTTCCAGGCAAGTTAAAGAAGAACACCATGAACTAGCTGGTTCACAATTAGCATTCTTTCTTGGAGTTGGACTGATGCTGGGATCTGTGTCTTCATATGGACTTGTAGTTCTGCTTTAACAGATCAAACACTGAGTGTTCTTCAAAAGGCAGCTAATATGAAAAAGTTGAGTGCAAAATTATTTTGCAGCATTAGCATTTATAAGACATCTGGCAGAACAAACACCACCAAAATAAAAAGTGCAATAAGTACTGCTGAATCAGGGAAACTTTTATGGTTGCCATAAACACATACTATTTAAGTGTATATAAAAATAAACGAGAAGAAATAAAAATTTTAATCCTTTAAAATTTCGTGAGTGTCATTTTATTTGAAAACTATGTTGTTCACTACAACCATTAAACATGTGTGGCTACTACACACATGAAGCATGGTTATTGCATAGAGATATTTTAATTTTAAATTTGACATTTTATTTGCTAAATGTTTCTTTTTTCATAATTATTCTTCCTGTGGCTACTGCAAACTTCACCTGTATAAAGGTAACTAGCAAAATATTTCTAATCAACAATGTTGCTTTAATAAATATAAGACCAGGGATTAATTTCTAAGATTAGAAGTGCCGAAGTCCTATGGAAGACCGTCAGCAGAGAGGAACAAGAGTAAATAAATAAATAAAATGACTATTAAACTCATTAATAATTTTTAAATTAAATAGTTAATTATTATCAAAGTAATTAATAGCTATTTAATTAATGTTTATAAATTGTTATTTTATCAATAATTATTTTATAATTATTTATAATTGATAATCATTAGATAATTCATTAATTATAATTAATTGACAATTATTAGATAATTAATTATTATTTATTGAAATAATTAAAGATTGAATTAATTAAATAATTAAAATTAAATAAAATGTAAGATAAATTGAAATTTAACAAGCGATTTTTAATATAATTTTACTGTTAAAATAAAATTTTCGAGATAAAATTTCTACTGAAATTGTTACTCAATTACATAAAAGAAGTGCCGCAGCCTTCTTATTCAGCGCTCCGGCTAGAATTATGATTTATTACAAAAACTAAGAAGCAGCGGACCCGATATCCGGTGGGCTCCGGCCCGATTTAAGCTCTGATCGTAGGGAGAAAGTTTTTTTATAACCACAAAAATTAAATATAAAGTATATCCTATGAAAATTCCAGGGCGAAACAGAATGAGGGTATGAGTGGGTGGAAACAGAAAATGAGGGGAATCTTGGTGAGAGAGAACGTTCACTTTGACCGCAGCTCTCTGCTGATATAATTATAGCCATTAAGCAGATGTATGTCAGGGGTAAAATGAGTCCTGAATCTGACTCCTAAGGATGAATGTAAAGTTGCTGGTTGCGCTTTTCCCCCATTAATGGGTACTGTGGGAAAGACGATGTATAGGACGTGCTTGAGCAGTTTATCTCAGTATTTCATTCTCTTTGTACTCGCTATCCCTTACCGCATATTTAAGAACACAAATTTTCCTTCCTGAGAGGATAATTAACTGTAAGCATCGATAACAATACACTAGATACGATGGCATGGCGAGAAACTTACTCGTTCCTAAACAAACTCCCTTAAATTTATTGCTCCTGGAGCTCATCTTATTTAGGGTTCCGGTGCGCTTCGGCTAAAATTGTAATTTATCTTAAAAAATGAGAAGTACCGGCGCAATTTAAGCACTGATAAGCACAGACTTAAGCATTTTGTTGTTAGTAACAGCTGTATAGAAAGGTTTTAATAATGGGATATATACTTCTGTTTATTAGATAAACAATTTTAATAAACTGGTTTACCTGGAAACAAAAGCCTTTATTTTCATCATATCTGATAACCTACTGTTTAACTATATCACTTCGATATATGTTGTATTTAAACTACTAAATTTAATTTTAGTAGCCTTTACACTTACTCATGTTCCACTTCATAAATTAAACACTCGAAATTTATATATTTAATTATTTGAAATTTATAAATTAAATCAGTGTGTTACTTACATATTTAAACTTGTTAATTAATGCATGCATATAAGTGATTGCTTATCAATTATTTTTATTTCTAATCAAAAACAAGATTGTATACTTATTATCCATAATGAAAATCATCATGACATCTTTCGTTGCATTATTTCTGCCAACTATGTAAACATGGCTGTTAAAATATCTTTTGGAGATGTATATACACTGAGAAAAAAAAAAAAAAAAAAAAAAAAAAAAAAGGGGGGGGGACACTTCTATATCTCTCGTTCTACTGGGCCGATTGACGAAATTCAACTTGCGTTTTTCATGTCTCGAAAGCGCTGACTTGGGATATATATTAAATTTATATATAGCATTGTTCTAAGGTATTCTGACACAAAATCGGACTTTTTCTGAAATAACATGTCAATTTTTTTCTATATTTCGATTCTACGACTCAAATTATTCCCAAACTGCCAAGTTTTGTAAAAATCACGCGAGTAGTTTTTAAAACATTAGTTCTCAAAATTTTAGCTCCTCATGTAATTTAATTTGATATATATTTATTAATATCTCTTTTTTTAGAAACTAATGATTCCTTCTTCCAGAATTCGAAATTTAGGTTCATTCCAAATAAATTCGTCCATTTTTTATCATATTTTTAAATAATTTTTCGAAAAAACATTTGAATTATAACCTATAAAATTTTTGCCATTATCTTAAAGTAGAAGGATTTTTAAGCATTTCTTCTTTCTGCCAAAAATTAGAGTTTTTTATCCAAAACTTCCTGGGATATAAGTGAATTTACATTTTGGCGCGTTTTATTAAGAGCGATAATAACGAAAATGTAGTGTATGCACTTTTTAAAATTATTTGAAAGTATGAACAGTGACTTTTTTCCGGGTCGTACACAAAGAAAAAAGGGAAATAGGTTGCTATAAATTAAGCAGTTTGCCAAGTGAATTATTCTTGGCGGAAACTAAAAAAAATTGGGCAAGATAAATTTTTAAATTTCTCCATAAATTTCTCACCAAAAATTACAAAATTTAATAGCTAGGCATAATTTGAGTCGCAGAATCGAAATATGGAGAAAAATTGGTATGTTATTTCAGAAAAGTCCGATTTTGTGTCAAAATACTTATCTCAGAACAATGCTAATACATATCCTAAGTCGCGCTTTCGATACATGGAAAAAGCAATTTGAATTTTGCCAATCGGCCCATTAAAACGGCAGATATAGAACCGCCTTCCCCTTTTTTTTTGCAATGAACCTTGCATGCCTTCTGCACACTGCGTGATAATTTTCAAAAACATTATAGCATGTAATATGTGCAAGGTAAGATTAATACATCTGATCCATTCTAACTTTGATAAATATATTTTTTAAAAACATGTCATTTTTACATTCATTGCTTTGGTACTGCTTACAGATGATGCAGAAATTATATTATTTGTTAATGCTCTTTTCTGCATACTGTTGGAAAATTTGCATTCTCCCTTGCGGCTGCACAATGCTGAAGATGCTTAGTTCAACACTATGTAGTCCCGCGGTAGAAGCCAAGATGTCTATGTGTGTGAGAGAGAAGACTGTGTGTCCTTCGGACGTCGTTGCAGAAAAGTGAAAAACACAATATTTAACTAAACGTGGAACAAAGCAATTGATGCACAAATTTTATATTTAATATTAATTAATTTTACATAACTTTATAGTCATATTACATGTATTTAGATACGTATACATGCATAAGGATCTCTTCAATATTTAGTAGATTCTTCACGAGCTGCGATGACACCCTTGCAGACCGTCAGCACAAAAGATACCAATTTCTGAATGTAAGCATGGCTAGTTTCATGGAACCAAACCCTAATACTGGTTTCCTGATGCAGTTTTAAGCTTAATAGCAGTTTTTATACCCATTATATGCCAACAATTTTCAACGGGATTCAGATCAGAACGATACTCAGGCTAGTCCAAAACTTTGTAAGCATCTAAAGTTTTACTAATGCTTATTTTATTTTTAAAACTTTACTATCCTCTCTTATTTTCCACTTACGGCCAAAATTAAATGCGTTAACTTGTTTATTCAAATTGTAATTGCTAACGCCCAAGTATTTAAGTTGTGGCTTTTTGCCAAGATTTTGACAGAGGGAAAGTGAGCCGCCTTGCCACTGCATTCTGCACGAGTTCTCAATCAGCTGCTGCCTGCCTTTAAGGCCAGAGGTTTAGTCCTCTCGTTATTTAAAACGTACTGTAGTTTCGGCAGTTTGCGTACTACATACGTAATAATTTAAAAGGCCAGTCTTAGCAATAGGCCATTGTGTTAAACTAATTCAAAGTTAGCTCTTTAGTTAGTTAGTAGTTTTTATATATTTTTACGTTCAGACCACAAGTGGTTGGTCTTTGTACCCCGAAGTGTGGGAGCAGCTGTATTATTGTGGAAAATATAAAGGGTAATTAAACCCTTCTCATCTTGTTATCTCTTCAATACTCCTTAAGATATAGTTTGTAGTCAAACTCCCTGTCCAGTCAGGACACGTCATGTTTCCAAAATAAATTAAAAGGAATACAAGTCCTGATAACTTAATACCAGATTTTGTTATTTTGTTAGATAGGTCTGCACCTAAAGGGGGGAAACAGGGAGAAAATGACTTTTGAAATAACCGCTACGTTGTGAAGATGAAAACCTGTAAATGAGGTAACAAAATCATGCATGAATAAGTTAGATCGTACTTACCGATTTTGCTGTATAACAGAGTGCAGAATCGTATTGAAAAATACAATTTCCAGCACCTTTAAAATGATCCCGAATAACTGGTTTTAAGCAGTTCTCCAAGATCTGAATGGACGGATTCACAGTTCCAGTTATAAATTTCAGAAGTCCAACCCCTTTGCTGAATATGCATCCTCATACCATTTGCTTGTTGAGAATTTCACAGTAGGCAATATGAAATCTGGAGGATAAGCTCAATTTTTGAGTCTCCGAACATACTACTTAATGTTCGATTCATGTAGGTTGAATTTAGATTCATCCCCAAAAATTACCTGCTCTTTTGCCCATGATATATATTTTGGTGTCTTCTTTATATATATAAATAAAGATTTTTTTGGGGGGGATGTCCATCCAAACCGTACTCCGAAAGGTGTATTTGGAAAGCTTGTGCGCTAAAATTAACATCACAGTCTTTCACAAATTTGACTTTTAAATCAGCAGCACTTGCATGATTCATAGCTGAAACGGAGATACCTCTGTTTTAGATATCAATCATCAGATTTTGTGGTCACCCTCTTTCAGCTTGATCCGGCCCTTCTCCCAGCATCACCAGTTTTACGTTCCAATTTAACTGCCCTCGATATATGTTATACATTTGATACACGAATATACGTTGTTTGGCTAAAGAAAGTGCCACACATTCTTTCCCTATCATCAATTGAACATACAGAGGCATCCTTTCATTGCTTAAAAATCGAGAGGATTGACAGTTTCCCTCTTTTGCCGCATTGTTTATCGAAATTGGATGACGCAATATCATGATTGAAATCAGAAGATACAATATGAAAGTGGAATGATCTCATATCTTGCTTTGCACCAAATAGGATAATTTTATGTGAACAAAATAATGCATTAACATTACAAAATGTTTATTTTCAAGCTGATGGAGTTTTTTTGGGTCCATGACATAGTTATTAAGTCAATTTGTATACAATTGCATTTTTTGATCCCTAAAAATCTCAAATTTCCTCACAAAAAGTGCATTATTATAACGCTTGCAGCGGGTCAGCACAAAAGATACCAATTTCACAAAATAATTCTATTAAAGCGCAAATTAACTCTTCAATACAATTGACAACCTCTATTTTTGAGTTGCAATAAAATATATATGGCTCACATCAGAATTACTAAAAGAAAATAACCTCATTTAAACATTTTACAGCAAATTCCCCTCCCCACACATAGAACATGCAATAACATAAGTCTGAATCACATCATTTATTTAATGTATTCATATTGCAACATTCTGTGCTCTGAATGCTTTAAAGGAAAACAGCAGTTTATCAATAATTGATAAAATTTTAGAAAAAGTATGAATTAGAATAAAAAGTAAATAAAAAACAGCTTTTAATGGAGAACGTTTTGGTCATGCAATTATTTCCTTAAATATATTTTTTACTAATAAATTTTATTTCAGAATAAAAATCATTAAGTAGCTAATACTATCAATGAGTGTGTGTGGGTATTTAATTATGGCAAAGCACATGAGGGCTATTTGCCTAAGGGGAGGGATGCCTTCATGGAGGACTTTCTAAGGGAAACTGGCTCATATACATGTTACACATGGGAAAAAACATGAAAACGCCCATGCAGCCAGCCCGTTCGCGGGATTTGAACCTCGGACCGAACTACCAGTGTTCAGTGACATTACCGCTCGGCCGCTGGTGGGCAATACTATCAATGAAAAAGACACAATAGTTAGAATGGCATTTGAACTGAAGAGTATCGAATAACAGAACTAGTTATCCATTGCAGGGATGAGCCTTCCAAAACACCAAAGAATTTATTAATACTATTTCAAACTTTAATCTAGACTTTCTCATTTATTCCTATGAGATGTGTATGTGCTTTGCATACTATGTATAAATATGAAAATTTAAGGTTTCCTATAATCATACAAATTTGTGTGGTTGGTGAGTCTGGAGCTGTGTCTTCCTTTGTAAGAGACATAATAAGATAAAATGCAAAATATAGAATTTATTTTGCAAGAACAATAAGAAACTTTATATAATACAGTATGAAATAACAAAAAAGTTCAGTAATAATTACTGTATAAAAAGATATCATAGAAAAATAAAGCTGATATTCAGAAGTCAAGATTAACTGGCTGTCCACTGCAACCAAATGAACCTTGTGTGCCATGAGGTGCATCTTCAACATCAGGTGGTAGATGCAGTCGCTATTTAAAAAATGAGAGAGAAATATTTCAGTGTTTGATTCCATTAAGTTTCAAATTAATACTGTAAAACAACAAATTTTAGTGAAAATCAACATTAAAATAAGCACATTATCTGTACTGGCCTTAAAGTCTGAAGGTTGAATGAATCTTACTAATAATTCTTTGGAAAAACAAAAGATTTCCTCTAGAAAACATATATTTGGGGTGCTTCTTTGAGAAAAAATAAAAAGGGGAAGGGTATTGCTAAAGAAAAGACAGTAAAGTATACATCTAGGATTTTCCATCTGGAACTCACAGTTAAGCATCTGTGAACTGAAAAAAATCTGGATTTTCATTTGAAAATAAATGCTTTAAAGCTTTGAATTGTTCAGTTATCTAGTTAACAGAATTTAAAAGAGATAACCAGTGAGCATCACACTTGTACACTTCTGTGTAAAATCAGTGTTCAAAACATTGAAAGAAACTCCTTCCTACAAATTATCAATGGATTCTTACAAAAACAATAACGATGAGCATATTCAGCTGTGACTATTGTAGGATGAAACAAAAATGGAGTACGACACAAAAATGCAGTATGAAACAAAAATGGAATTCATTTTTACAGAGCTTATACTGTAATCTGAACTACTATTAGTAGCTAATGCAAATAATTACATTTTGTAACACTTGCACAATTTTCTCTTTTGTTGACCATGTATTTAACCAGAGCAGTTGATTCCGTCTTTCTTCCTGAAATTTATTTGCCTCTAATTTGCTAACAGAAATTGTTTTAAATAACTTTGGCTGCAGAAAAATGGAAAATGTGATTTTCTGGCCAACAATGTTGGGCAAAGAAGGTTTATGTGTTTCTGTTTCTCTAACATATGCCTCATAATCTTTAGTGCGAAATTTTAAAACTCTTACTTTGAGTAATGTAAATTAAATTACACTGGCAAAAAATCCTGTACATGCCCCAGGAGTTAATATAATCTTCCAATTTCAGTCCTGCAAATTTATGAATATTACACTGCTTGTTGCTCCAATAATCGTTATTTGAGGTATTACTTTAACTCAAATTTGATTACCTTAATTTGCTTAAGCATTTAGCAGCCTTTTTTGTATACCAACTGGGCAATGCTTTTTTTTTTTTTTTTTTTTTTGGCACAGTATGATTTGTCTCTATCAATATAGGCTTCTTATTTTTAAACTTTTCTGATTTTGAATATCATATTTCATTTATTCTTACTTGGTTTTTGATTGTCAGATGGCATTAATCAATGCAGAAGGAATTTTTGTCAGCCATTTTTTCTTTGATTTAATGGAAAACATGTGATTTCTTTTGGACAGTATGTATTATACTTCTTGGACATTTCTTTTAGATAAATCATTCTGAATATTTTATTAATTTATTATTAAATACAACTATTAACTAGTATTACATTCCACTTAATATAGTTTATAAAATAATGTGCATTATGACTTAAATAACTTTATGTACCTGTAAAAATTTACTTAGCAAAACAGCATGTTTACAAATCTTCCATAGATAAAGTTACATCTCTATTCTTTGGATTGAAACTTCATGCAATTATATGAATGCTGATGACACTACGGAAAGACTGCGATTCATGAAGCAATTTTTAATGATAATGATATAAATATGATATGCAGGAAACTAAATCTTATCCAGAACTATCATATCAATCAAATGGCTTTTGTTAATTTTCAAGTAAACGAAACTGTATGTTTGTTACATGGGTCATGCTGTAAGGTACTGTGAGAAAAATCTAGAATGGCTGTGTGTTATTCATATAAAAGCTAGTTATGCTGCCTCGGTTAATTAATCAGATTTAAATCAGGCCTGGTAATAGCATTGACATAAGAAATACTTGTAAAATTTTGTAACTTAAAGCCTGTCACAAAAATAAATTATGAATAACATTAAGAGTTTATGATAAAAAATTTTACTTTTACGATAACATTAAATGTTATAGAAGAAAAACAGTCACTCACTTCTATTGAAAAACCTTTCTTTTTCAATTTGAATGCCAAATCAGGAGTTCGAGTTAGAGGCATAAAACCATTTAGAACAGGTAGCTTTATAATATTCAGTAAACCTAAATTGAATAAAATTAAAAAAAAAAAAAAAAAGAAAGAAAGAAAATATAATATCTGAAATTATTATAAATTTAAACCTTAAAACTGAAAATCAAATGAAAATGAAGAATAAAAATATCCTCATCTTCTTCCTTTTTTAAATGTGAGAATGCGAACAACTTCACACTTTTAGACACACAAATTTGCCACCACTTTAATCAATAATTAAATTTTCCATGCATTCTTAAATAACAATATTTTAACAACTTATACTAATAAAGATAAATAATAAATAAAAAACTGTTAAAATTTAAAGATTGTTAAAAAAATCATAGTATGCAATACTTGTAGTGGTTAATGATTTATTCCATTTTAAATTTAGTTCTTAACCCATAAATTTTTATATTAGCCAATTAAATGTCTCAAATTTAATGCAATTACATACTTTGATGAAAAGAACAAATAATATGATAATATTTAACTCTTGATAGTCTTAGATTTTAGCATATTAAAATAAGTTGCACATTATTAATTGTCAGTATTTGTAAGATAATTAGTTGTAAATATGTATGTATTCATTTGTTTTCATATAATACTATACTGCCAAAATGACTTGATAGATAAACTAATGTTGGTACAGAGCAAGTTATCATTAGATACTATCATAGTCCCCACCCTTTAAGGAAAATTTTTAACTGAATTTCTGTAAATATCTGCAGATCTGCATTATTCCTGCTGCAGCATGGTTAACAGCTCTGTGCTGATTTGGTGTAGTGGGGTTTGACTCTCAGCTGTTGCTTCAACTCATTTCAAAACTGCTCATGGGAATCACATATGATGATGAGAACAGGTTTTTTTTTACTACCTAGTTTCATAGTTGAGTTCACTCAGTACCAATGCTTCACACCACTTAACTATAATCTATTCTTTATAAACAAACATATCATATTAAACAACAAATGGGCCAGTTATTGTTACAGAGTAGGATGAAGCAACTGTCCAATATTCTTCAGAGTTTTGCAAGCAAAACCTAGCAGATCCAGACTAAACCAAGAAAAATGGTTCCACACAGGAGCATTCCCCTAGTAATCACTGTGTTTACACACATCCATCAGATTTTCCACAATGTGTAGTGTGATTTATCATTTTAGATGGTGTTCTACCATTGACTACTGGTGACATACATTACATAACTGTAGTCAATTACGTAGTATTTAATTCAGTAATTATTGGCTTACGTGTTGCAGGACATTGGCATATTAAAGAAAAACCACTTCTTAATGTATGGCACAAGAGCCACTGTAACTGTAGTTACTGTAGCCAATAACTACATTGCAAGATTGCCAATAATTACATTACATACAGAAACTTGCAAGTTTGAATTTTGTATATGTCAGATTCATTAATAATCCTGAGCTATCAATTTTTTGGCTTCCCATGTTGATATTAGAGTTCAGTTTCCATGCCATTGACACACCACTTACTATTGTACATAACATCTAGAACTTGACAGAAATGGAAAGATCCAATCAGTAGACTCTGATAATCAAGCCACATCAAGCTTTGGTTAGCTTGCATTGTGTGCTCATTTTGAGTTGAATAATTGCCAATGACATCTATTATCAAGTCACAACCTTTTATGAGATCATGCCATGGACTTTCTGTTCATTAATGGTAATATAATGCATATACGTAATATACAAAAGAATATTTCTGAAAACTTTACTAATATTTCATAAGGTATAATTTTTAATTAGAAATATGTAATGCTTTACTGTTTCTGCATAATTTGTATTTTATATTTGTTGAAGATGTACCAATGCTCAGTTTAAAATAAATGCAACAAAATTGTACATAAATACATATATAAATATACTATATATACATAGAATAAGTCTAAATTAAAACTAAACAGGCAAAAGAAAAAACAATAAAACATGAAAATAAGTTAATTTCATGTATAAAAATACTTTTGAGCATAAGTAACCATTATTGATATAAATGGTTTATTTAATTTAGGCAAAGCACACAAGGTATGCCTGCTTAAGTTTCATTTCATTTCTATTTGACAGCATCCAAAGACATGAAATTTGAAAACCTTGCATCATTTTATCTCTAATTTCAATCTCTCTTTTAGATTGAGAGAACTTTTAGATTGAACATGTTAAGAGACAGTATTTTTTGCAGACACTACAAACATAAACTGCATATCTTGTTTGGAATTTCAGAATATGCCCAATATTTTACGCATTCAACTTCCACTAACCACCAAACTGCTCAAGGTAGCCCATTATAATTGTAAGAAAAGAAAATTTCATTTAAAATTAAATAAGTTAGAACATTATTTTAAACTTACAAAGATGTCCTCATTGTCTCTAGTTCAATATGCAACAGCTACATTTATTTACTTTAAGAAACTCAAACGATTTTAAGATCTAAAGCAAAATTGATGTTACAAAAATTTGTTGATGAATAAGTCCTTAATTAAATCTTAACAAAAAAGGCAAGGAGAAATTTTATGCTAGATTTTTTACTTTAAAATACCCAAATACCAAACAAATCTTTTAACAACACTCAGCAAAATACATTAATTTCTTCTACAATGTGCCTTACAAAAAAAAAAAAAAAAAAAAAAAAAAAATTCTCAGTTTATCTCTACATTTCTTGACAGTAATAAAATAATAATTTTAAAAATTCAATAAAAAATTACCTAATGCCAGAAATTTATACCATAACACTAAGCATTAATTTTTTTTATAATAAAACAGTTTTTAGTTAAAATCTATGTAATATTAATTATGCAACAAAAAAGAATACAGTTACTTATCTTGAAAAACTTCTGCATTCATAAAAATATAGTATCTCCTGTATGGTTATATTTTACTTACACTTAGAAATAAATTTCAATGAATTGAAAATACCAGTTATCATCATTTTGAAATTATGTCCTTTTAGTCATGTTAAATTAACATTATTAGTGGAGATGATATGAATATAAACGACTAATCAAATATATCATTACAAATATTTTAACTAATGTAAAGTCACGGAATTTATACATTTAATCTATTTATACTTATCTTTTAATGCCTTAGAGCATTAAAAGATAAATATAGCCAAATCCCACTATAGCAAACCTGGTTTATAAACGAACAGCAAGGTGTAATAAACAAACATCACAAATTGAATCAATACTCAATTACTTATAGACTTTATTTTATTTTACATGCAAACTATAGAACTTCCAAATGTATCAAAATTAGATATAACAAACTTTGTAGATTTCTTGAAACTGAAGTTTTTTTTTTTTTTTTTTTTTTTTTTTTTTTGTATTCTTCAAACTTTTTTCTAGAATTTCTGCAATTTCAAATAAAAAATTACTAAACTTTCAATTAATTTTGTTTAGGGTTTTGAATAACAAAAAACATCTTTACATTATTGTTCTGTTATTTTCATCTCCATCTTTCTCTGTGTTCTATAAAAAGGTTATGTGAGTCAGGTGTAGCATTCATTTCTTGGAAAACCAGGGCACATAATAAATATACTTTAAGAAAAAGAGCTTGAATCAATTTTTTGATTCTAATCGAATTCTTCAGCAAGGTCATCAAACTGCCCTCTTAGTCATAATTGTAAATATGTATTTTGTGTAAATGTATAACTGGAGACATGGATCCAAACCATGATTTGTATGCTCAGTAAAAATAAACGTTGATTCTGAAGAAAAACATATCAAGCATTTTGACAAGTCTACATCTGAAAAATTTTATCTTCAAAGCAAAGCATTTCAAATAACAACTTTTTTGAGTAAAATTTTTAAAGTACAGTGAAATTGGAAAACAACAAAAAAGAAATTTATGAATAGAACATAATAATAACAGAAACTTAAAATATGTTTTTTAATACAAAGTTATTACTAACACCTTTTGAGAGATGTGACAATGCTAATCACTCTTTCTATACGACTCATAAATAATTTTTTACACTACTTTGTAAAATAATCATTTTTTTTTCTTATTGAACCAAACTTGTAGTCTCTTGAAGTTCATTATAGTGGGGTTTGACACTGCTATAAAATTTAGCAAAACAACAAACCATCATAATCCTTGAAGAAGGAGTTTGATTTTACATCTGATCCCACAAAAGATTCTAAGCCAATGACATAATCACAAGTTTGCCATAACTGACTCTTTAAAACAGAAGCCTAAATAAAAAAAGTTTTCATTTAAAATTTGTTTTAAAAGCAACAAGCTATTAAACACTAAATATACAACAAGTTATTAAACATTAAATATAACAAAACCTGACATCAAAATATAAAACAGATTAGAATCTATAAATGCTAAAATATACATATCTTTCAGATAGCAAGAAAAACACTGAAACTACTTTTTATCAACTATAGTAATATGTAAAGTAGGACATAATTTAATGCAACAATAGCATAAAATCAACTTTGTGTTAATTAATTCTACACAAATGAGGGTTAATATAAGTCTTTTGAATACACAAGACTAAGAATACAACCAAACTTGACACCAAAATATAAAACAGATTTGAATCTGTAAATGCTAGATAGAAAGAAAAATACTGAAGCTACTACATATATACTATAATGATATAAAAACAAAGACATAATTTAATGCAACACTGGTATAAAATAAGATTTGTGTTAGAACAATCTTGCACAAATGTGGGTTAATTTAAGGCTTCTGAGTGCATATAAGGCTAAACGTAATGCTTAAGTTAGGTACATTTGATGTACTTTCAACTAAAGATATTTTCAACATGTGATGACTTATCAGAATGTAAACCTATTCTAAATTGAGAAGCAATTATACGCAACTTATGCTTGAAAGAAACAGACAAAAAGATGCAGGCTGCCACCTCAAAACTACACAATTTGAGTTCAGAATCCTAATTCACAGCATTTATCTCGGTAAGCATTAAAAAATTATTTCTATCTTATATAAAAATATGATGTTCTGATTTCAAGTCATCCTGAGCCTTTTGAAAAGAGTAGAAATATTTATGATAAGGATTCACTGTGATATGGCACATCATATGTGATTCATCAATAGCATTTAAAAAGCAACATTATTGAAAGTATTTGAACTATTTACACTACTTTTGAAAATATAAAGCTAAACATTTGAGTGTGTCAAGATATTTGTGATAAACATATATACTTCATGTACATTTTTTTAAGGATGTTACATTTTTTACATTTTTTATAACAGGGTTCATAGCCACATATTAGTTAAAAAAAATAAGCACCTATAAGCACTTTTCAAGCACATTATAAGAAAAAAAAATAAGCACCTGTCTAATTACATCATACACAACTGCATAACCTTAAAAATTAGAATTGTAATTTAAAATATGAGAAATGAAGTACTTATTAAGAGTTAAGTACTTATTAAGCATTACCTCAACCATGGAAAATTTTTTTTTTTTTTTTTTTTAATTTTAAATAATAGTTCAATTTACAGAACTAGTTTACAATGAGAGGGGAAAAAACTATGAAGAACTAAACTATATTACAAGATTTAATGAGGAAATTTCAGTTCAAAATAGATAAAAAAATAATAATAAGGCATATTTATGTATTCGTTTGGAACCTAATAATAAATACAATTTATTTTTCCACTCATATTGATATTTAAAATAATTTAAATCTAAATTCTGAACATTTTCTAAATTTTCATTGTATATCAGTTTTCTCTTAACAGAAATTGCAAGCAAAATAATTTAAGTAAAAAAGAGGAACATTTCTGAAATCAGAAGCCAGAAATTTGCTTCATGCAGCCATCTTTAACAGTAAAAGCTTAACTAACCTGCATACTTGGAATTGGCGAATATTCGGACAATTGAGCGTAACTTGAGCGAAAGGGGGTAGACTGTAGCCGCTCTTTAGATTTTTCCGCTAATAAATGCTTTTGACATTTCAATATGTGAATCATATAAAAATAAACCAACGGAACTAAAAAATATTCTGTTTAGCAAGCACAGTAAAACTGAACATCAAAATTAATTATCTCTGCAAAATATCGCAAACGTTATTGCGCAACGTGTGCCGTAATTCTTCCCTACGTGATATTACGCAATCGGAATCAACAACTGCCGGTATTGGGAGAATAAAGAACTAAATAACTGGGGTGTTTTTCATTCTAATTTTCAACAAACGGCATTAAATTTCCAAAATAGAATCATTCTTCACTTGGGTTGGTAGACTGCAGAACTTTTAGTCCTATTCAATCCAAATTGGAAAGTAACCAAAAAAAAAAAAAAAATCCGTTGCTTGTTTTGCAGGGAACTGTAACAGTTTCAATATTCGTGATTTTGTGGAGAAAGGGGAGAACCTCCCAACCTTCATACTGTATAATATATTGGCTAAAAAAATGAAATTATTTTGACTATTCGATTACTTTCCCTTTATTTAAGCCATTCCGAATATTATTCCTTAGAAAGCTAATCTGTGTTAAAACACAACCATTTTTGGAAGTTTACTATACTTCAGCAGTTACTGGAACTATGTTATTTTAAACATTCCTACATATGCTCATAATATAAGCATAACGATCATAATAAACATGAATATGAATGGATCAAGCAGAATGAGAATGCAAATGTTTAAGATCTTGATAGAAATTCAAACGTGTGTAGTATTTGGGTGGGAGGAAAAGAATGCCGAATGTAGCGGAATTTTCTACTGCTTTCGCAATTCTTTGACCAATAGAACGACGGGCACCTGTCTGTACTCTTCGTGCACACCAAAGGTTATGTTAATGCAGAGAAAGGGGAAAAGCTATTTCCAGGAGTATGACTCACCATCTTACATTCCATATTAGGAAGAAAAAGTTGTTTATTTTATTTTAGTTTCGGCTTTGGTACGGGGAAAAATAGCACGTTCATTCATTAAAAAAAAAAAAAAAAAGCACTAAAAGCAAAAATAAGCACTAAAAACAAAAAATAAGGACTTTAAAGAAAAGTAAGCACCTATAAGGGCCTTTATATTTTATTTTCAAATATAAGGACTTATAAGCACCTATAAGGGCCTTTATATTTTATTTTAAAATATAAGGACTTATAAGCACTTATAAGGACCGCTACGAACCCTGTATAATATGCTTAAAACCATATATCATGTCTGTAAGCTTAAGTACTGCAAATTATGAAACTGACTTTTATGGCAGACTACCCAATGAAACATCTTGTAATTTTCTACTTAGGACAATACTTATGGCAGTTTTATAGATTTTTTTTATAGAAATACAGATTTTAATAAGATATAAAAGATGATATACTATTACAAATTTCAAATTTTCCTTAAACCTAAATTAAAAAATATATACAAAATTTCAACTTACTTCTAATAAGTATGAAGGAACAGTAACAAAAGCAACTGCATATGATGACCGCAGCAGAGATTTAAGCATGTATAAAAAGCGTATAAGATTAAGACCATTTTTATTTTTGTCACTGCTATTCCAAAAAGGAGAACCAATTGAAGAAATTCCTATCCTTAAAATACTTTCACAAGTTTTGGATGTAGTTTTAAATCCTCCAGAAGTAACTGTTTCTTTTGCCTTTTTAAATAAACTAGAATAAGGAAATTCAATAAAATCAAATCCTGAAGCTGGCTGTTTATCTGTGGTATTTTCTGATGGATCCCACAGATTTAAATTACACTTTGAGATCATCTCATCTGACATTGTCTTCGACAAATCATATCCAGCATTATAAGATTCAGCTGCAGCAATAGTCTGTAAATAGAAAACATTTATATTAGCAAATAAATTCAATAATTATTATAAGCAATGTAAAATAAAAACAAAGATTCAGTAAACAAAGCTAAATATAATTTAAAAAATATGATCTTAAGGATACAGGGTACTTATGTATTAACACCACCGCACTTACGTATTAACGCCACTGCAGCAGAAGTTGCGCTGATGCGCCAATAAAGAGCAATCCTGTTATTCGCATGCAGTTATCTTTTGGATTCCTTTTCGCTTTATTGTTTGCTGATTTTTGACATCATTTTTTAATGCTATGAAAATGCATCTTTGGGATTTGCCAAACACAGAAGAAGATGCAATTTCATTTTTTCAGAAGCGAAATATTTTACCAAAAAAACAAAAATGTACCAATTCGCATGCTATGAAGCTGGTATAATTGTAAGAAAAGAAAATTTCATTTAAAATGAAATAAGTTAGAACATTCTTTTAAACTTACAAAGATGTCCTCATTGTCTCTAGGTATCTCTCATTGGTAAATATATGTTTTGGAAATGTTATTTAAGACAGTGAGATCAGCAAGTGGGACTTAGAAAAGACAACTGGTTTGAAGGAAGCAGAATTTCACTTTCTTCAGCTTTGAGATTCATATACTGCTGGTGCGAGGAGTTAATGTTGATTAAATTTTGTTAAAGAGCAACTTGATTTATCAGATAAAACTGTTATACAGTCAAAAGTCATAAATTCGGACACCCATAATCTGGAATGATCTATAATCCAGATCTCAAAGCTAAAATCTTTCTGCGCATGCGCCGCATTGACGCATGCGCATAGGCGTTTTACTCGTGCGCGCAAGACATTTACGACTGCGCATATGCGTCTGTGCAAGTGCAGAATACGTTTTCGCGTGCGCGTTTAATATATAACGGACAGTATAAGCTAAAATTATCTAATTATCTATTTCAGTTAATGTTGATGATTGCGTTGTTCTTTAATCTTCGAATTGGATCCCTTGGATTTTTTGCAGACTGTAAAGCAATTTTCTAAAAGTAAGCTTGAACTTTCGATTATGTCAAATAGAATTTGCCGATGCTGGAGCTCCCAAAAGATCTAGAAAACAAAGTATTTTCGATGTCCATCAAACAAAAACGAATTGCTACCAAAAATGGATAAGGCATATTCTTTGTTTATCTAAAACCGTCTCTGAAATCTGTTTATCAATTTCACGCTGCTCTGCGCGCGGGGGGGGGGCGTCGCGGCACGCATGAACTGAAGTTGATTTGGTCACAATCGTTATCTTCAGAGCAGATGTTTTATTTGCTTTTAATTCCTTACTAATGTGTATTTAATTCGATTTTTGATATGATTTAAATCCTTTCCCTCGTCATTATAAATACACGAATACAAATCAAATAGTTTTCTGGTTGCAATTTTCTAATTTCGGCTATGCGTAAAGTATGCTTTACGCATCCACGCGTTGAAAAACATTTTTAATAAACTAAACAAATAAATATTAGGCTTCTTTTTTGGTAAATTTTGATACCCTTTAGATCATAATTGCTCATTATTTTATAAATTACGGTTTCATATTTTTAATTTTATAATTTCTGCATGCCATCTTACCAGATTTAAACTGACGATCTATAATCCGGAATCACCAAAGTCCCGACGAGTCCGAATTAAAGACTTTTGACTGTAATAACTTAGATTAATAGATAACTTAGATTTTATTAACTGTTAGATAAAACTGTTAATTTATAGATTGGTACAATTACATGCATGAATTATATGTTTTGGATATGGCGAATAAACCAATTAAGAAGGTAAGCAGACCAGATTGCATTGTCGAAATTGATGAAAGTTTGTTTACTAAGCGTAAAAATAATTGTGGTCGAGTATTATTTGAACAGTGGGTCTTTGATGGTATATGTGGAGAGACAAAAGATTTGTTTGTTGTCACTGTTCCTAATAGAACTGCTTTTCTACGTTTCTTAATTATTACTAACATGCTTAGGGCACAACTTTTATTGATCCTGATACAGGATTTCATATACAACCATTCCTGTGGCAATGCTAAATGGGGAACAAGAGACATAGGGGGATAGCGAGACATCATTTAGAATCTATTTAGTAGAGTTCATATGGCAACAGCATCAGGTTAAAGAAAATAGAGACTGTTTTGAATCTATGTTAAACTTTATATCGGCTCATTTTCCATCAAAATCCGATTGATTACTTTGATTTTAAATAAAGTGTTTTGATTTATGATTTGTCTCGAAAATTTTAGGTGTAGATTGGCGGCACTTAAAAAACGCCAAATCTGCAGCTGTGGTGGCTTTAATACGCAAGTACCGGATGCAGATTCATTATCTTTTTGTCCAAAGCTTTTAAAAATTAGTATTAAAAAAATTACTCCCCTTTTCCTCCAAAAAAGCTGCCACCCCAAATTATTTATTTATATACGAACGAAAATTTTTTTAACAAAAACATCAATTTTTATTATTCCAAAACATCAAAAAAAAATAAAAAAAACATAAATTTTAACTTCATTGATCTAAAATAAAACTCTCCCACATTGTTATGTTAAAGAGATCACTCCACATTGTTTATGTTTAAAATTATAGCATAATTTTTTTTAAATAATTTTTTAAATAATATTAATAATTTTAAAAAATTATGCTATAATTTTTTTTTAAATTTTCACTCTGGCTTATATGGCTTCAAAATTTCCATAAGTTATTTGTTGCTCATTTTAGGGTACTTTGAAAGTACATTGAAAGTACTCTAAAATGAGCAATCAAATACATAGCGGCAAACTGCAAAAAAGAGGCAAAATCTGCCCAACCCAAAAATTAAAAAAAGAAATTTACATCTTTCACTGTATCATCCTCAAGGGGCTGGTGCAACGAAAGCCTGTTTCTGAACCAACAAAGATAAAAATTAAAGTTCAATACTTAAAATAATCCCAGAAAAGTAATCAAAGTCATCAGTCCAAACCCTAAGGCCATAGTAAGTAATGCCAAATATAGTAAGTTATAGTAGCAAAAGCTTAAAAATTAAAAATATTTATTTTGAGTAGAATGTAATCCAATATATGAAAAAATACATATGTAAATTTTGAAGCCATACAGGCCAGGGTAATTTTTTAAAAAAACTATAGCATCAAAACCACAAACAAGCAAAAGAGTAAAAATCAAGTAATAATTATTTTCAGTTTAAGTGGATCGAGTCGAACAAACAAAATGTGTAAAACAGAAGTAATATAACCATATGAAAAATAACAACAAATGAAAATTTGATATTAAAAATATAAAATGAAAAGTAAAAAGAATTAATTCTTAAAAATTTGCAATATTAAGCAGCAAAAGTTTTGAATTAAGTAGCAACTCAAATAATTACTACACAGTACCTGAAAAATAATTGCTTTAACTCTTTCCCATCGGTAGAGGCCAAAATCTGTTTCACTTAAACACCTGAAATGCTCATATATCTGTATTTTTGTTGGAATGAATTTCCTTCCCCTATGCCAATTAGAATGTTAGAGTGCTAACAATAACCTACTTAAGTAAATCTTCATACACTTCCACCACTCAAACCACTTCACCAACTGAAGTTTCCCCTTGGGACAGGATTGCAACTTCGGGCATCAATAGCTAAACATTGATGCTACACAAAGGAGAAGAAAGGTGCATTCATGTAACAGAACTACTTTTAGTCACTTCAAAAGAATGATTAGCATATCATTTAACAACTCCTGAAAACAATGGGTCATGCACTAACATGATGGGGGAAAGCACCAGGTAGAAAATGATTCAAGCATTCGTTTGACCTACAAATGTCTGAATGGTTGGGCATTTGGCGCGTCTTTGATGTGAAAGAGTTAAACACATTTTATAAATGTTCTAAATTTGAAACAGTCCTTTGCAAAGATTTTTAAGTGATTTTTTTAAGCCATTAGACTATTAAGGAACACAAATGCACAGAGAGACAACACTCATTATTTTATAAGGCAGCCTTCAAAAGTTAAATTGAAAAATTAATTTCATGAAATTTATCATGATTCCAGTGTTTAGGAAAAGATCAATAAAATGTATGCTAAATGTCAGAAAATATACATAAATTACTATACTTACATCAACAGGACTTTTCTGATATCTCCATGCTATTTTAAGATTTTCTCTCATGGCACTTTCTTCTCGTTTTGGCTCAGATCTACATTCAAATGATTTAACAGCTGGTAGTTCCTACAATGTAAAATCATTAAAATAAGCATAGTGAATTAAAAATGTTTATTTATATATGAGTTTAATTCAAATACTATTTCATTTAATTAAGGCATTTAACTTATTAAAAGCATTATATTTTCACTTTCATTTTCAAAATTTGCAAATTTTAAGAAAATATGTTGAATACTTTTGTATTCAACATATTTTATAGTAACTAAAAATTTAAGTCTATCATTCATAAATACCCATTTTATTCAGGAAAATTAGCTTTCATGCTTGCTCTGCAATATAAATATATTGCAGGAAGGAGACAGACACTGCTTTTAAGCATTACAAAATTTTTAGATGAGTGAAAAAATTAATCTGATTTACTTAAACACAATTATTAAAGCAAACAGAAAGAATAAGAAATAAGTATTTTTATCAATATAAATACTGTGATATTTTGCATTATACAGTATAATCAATGAAAGGGAGATTTTAGCCTTATGTACATCTTTAAATATTAAATTGTATTTAACCGCTTAACAGCTTTGTCAGCATGGAAGCCCTGTTTTTAGCAGCCTGGTTTGCTTGTATATAGTATGGATATCCTACTTCCAAAGTTTTAGCTTTTGATTATTCCATATTACTTATTTTAGTCTACATTTGCTGTTTCTAGATGCTACTAACTGACTGTAAGAACAATTTCCCCCCTTTTTTCTATTGAAATCAGTAAATACCTGCTTTTTTATAGACAGTGTTGTATTTGCTAAATGTTTAGTTCATTTTGTTTGTTCCTAATTTTAAAATATACCAAAAATATCCTTCCAGTACCATTCCTTATTTTAGCATACTGATGATTCTTTCTATCTGCATGTGTTAAAGAAGCCAACATTATATGGACATTTATGCAAAATAAGCTTACTACTCATACTTATGCATGTACAAAGAGTCTTACAGGAGTATTTTTACTTTTTTTGTCTCTCTCTATGTATATATGTAAGATAAAAAATATGAAAGCAAACTTCTAAATTTAATTCACCATAACCTCTTTTATTTTCTATTTCATTTAGAAACTTCATCTATCTTTCCTAAAAATAGCGCTTAAGACTAATCTACATCATTCAAATTAATCATGCGATCTTACGTAGAACTTAATGCAGATGCCTCTTGACCAATCACAAAATTGCAAACCAAAACTTTTCTCTTTGCATGCTTCCATCTTTCATAACTATGCACTTCAGCTTTTGCTCTCTATTCTGCTAAGATGTAATTTCGCTGGCTTGCTTTCTATCTCAACAATACCAAAAATGTAAATGTTCTGTGGAAAGGCACGACTGGAGTGCCTAGTGATTATGGCCACAAACATCAATTGCAAATAAAAATGAAATTAAAAGTGCCTCGAATGCCAAGTTCTTCAGATACTACACAATCAAAATTCTTCTTCAATATGGATCTATGCACACATCAACACTGCTCTGGCTTTTCCATGTGCTTTTAATATTTCATATATACTTTATTTTTGACATATGAATGATTTTTCACAAATAATTCATGTAAAAATACACTTTTCTTTCAAATTCTGTTTAAAAAAAAAAAAAAATTTGGAGTATTTTCTGGAATTTATTGAGCTGAGAAATGGTTAAAGGCTGAAATTCTTGTATCTCTTTGGAAGCTCCTTCTAGACCTACATTTGGTTCTGTTGATAGTTGCTAGCTATATATAAATATGATGATACAAAAGGGAATCAAAAGTTTTAAGCATGAACATATGCAATTAAATATTACACATTATAGTAATTATCATTAAAACTAAAAAAAAATTATATCAAATAATTATACATATACATTTATACATTATTTACAGTCAAAAGTCGTTAATCTGGACTCGTCGAGACTTCGGCAATTCCAGATTATCGATTTTTCCGGATTATAGATCATCAGTTAAAATCTGCAAAGATGGCATGCAAAAATTATAAAATTAAAAATATGAAACTGTAATTTATGAAATAAAGAACAATTATGATCTAAAGAGTATCAAAATTTACAAAAAAAAAAAAAAAAAAAAAAAAAAAAAAAAAACTTAATATTTATTTTATTTAACATTTCTTCCCATGTAAGTTGTTTCAGTTGCTTCGTTTTATGTGATAATACTTTCTCTTTAATTCTATAAACAGACATAATTTCTTGTTCAGTTACAAAGTTCCGCTGTTGAAATCCTATAATTGCTGTGTCGAGAATACCGACTAATTTGTCAATCGAAATTTTTTCATTTCCAATAACCTCTGTGTTACTTTCTTCACTATCAGAAGGGAATTATAATGACGAGGAATTTGATTAAAATCATATCAAACACGGAATACATTGAGATGAAATACTACATTTAGTAAGGAATTATAAGCCAAATAAAATAAAAACATCAGCCCTGAAGATAAGGATAGTGCTGATAGATCAACTTCCAATTCATTGCGTGCCGCTACGTTTCGTCCCTACCCTGCCGCAGAGCAGCATGAAATTAATAAGCAGATTTCAATGGTTAGAGAAACAAAGGATATGCCTTTATCCATTTTTTGCAGCAATTCCACTTTTTGTTTGATGGACATCGAAATATACTTTCGCTTTGTAGATCCTTTGGAAGCTCCAGCATCGGAAATTCTATTTGACATAATTGAAAGTTCAAGCTTACTTTTATAAAATTGCTCTAACAGTCTGCAAAAAATAATAAGCTGGATGCAATTCAAAGATTAAGGAACAACACAATCTGCAACATTAACTGAAATAGATAATTAGATAATTTTAGCTTATACCATCCGTTATACATTAAATGCACATGTGTAAACATATTATGCACACGCATAAACGTATTATGCACATGTGTACATGCATATGCGCAGCCATAAAGGTCTTACGTGCATGGGTAAACGCCTATGCACATGCGTCAACGCGACGCGTGCGCGGAAAGTTTGTAGCTTTGAGGTCCGGATTATGAGTGTCTGAATTAATGACTTTTGACTGTATATTACTATTATACACAGTCCAGTCACATTAATGTGACCACCACGTACTTTCCATGTCAGAGTTAAATAACCAATCACAGAAGGCAGGTGGCAGCACAGTGCAGTTGAGCGTATATAAAGGGTGTGTGAGGGCTTCGGAAAACATTTCAATCGTTGGCGTAATGCAGAAACGAAGCGATTTATCCGACTTCCAAAAGGGCATGATCATTGGCTTTCGGGCCAAGGGTGGAAGCATTTCCGAAACGGCTGAGTTTGTGAACTGTTCGCGTGCCGCCGTGGTAAAAGTGTACCGTGCATGGCAAAATGGGACTGTCCAAAATCAGCGGCGTGGCAAATGTGGTGCACCACGGGCCATAGATGACAGAGGCGAACGACGGTTGCGGAGATGCGTTCGGGCAGATAGACGGGCTACCGTTGAGCAACTGACCACCAAAATGAACCAAGGGGCTACCAAAAGTGTCTCCCAAAGTACTATTCAGCGAACATTGCTGCGTCTGGGCCTCCGAAGCAGACGCCTGGTTTGTGCACCTATGCTGACTGCTGTTCATCGACGGCGAAGGCTAGAATTTGCACGCCAGTACAGCAGCTGGACATCCACTGAGTGGCGACAGGTTGCGTTTTCGGATGAATCGTGTTTTATGCTCCATCGGACAGATGGACGTTGGCGTATAAAGCGTGAAACCTCTGAAAGGAACCACCCTGCAACCATTGCCGGAACGGTCCAAGCTGGAGGCGGGAGCATTATGGTCTGGGGAATGTTTTCCTGGCATTCTCTAGGTTCACTGATCATTGTGGAAGGCACAATGGATCAATACAAGTACGCATCTGTCCTTGCGGACCATGTTCACCCCTACATGCACATTGTTTTTCCTCAGGATGATGGCATCTTCCAGCAGGACAATGTGAGGTGCCATACAGCTGCCAGTGTACGTGCGTGGTTCGAAGAGCACCAGGATGAGTTTACCGTCCTCCCCTGGCCAGCAAACTCACCTGACTTAAAACCCAATCGAGCATCTGTGGGACCATCTTGATCGAGTTGTTCACGCCATGGATCCTCAACCGCGTAATCTAGCGCAGCTGGCCACGGCATTAGAGTCGGCATGGCTCAACATCCCAGAGAACACCTTCAGGGACCTATGTGACTCTCTTCCTGCACGTCTCGCAGCAGTCCGCTCTGCGAAAGGTGGTTATTCTGGCTTTTGACAGATGGTCACATTAATGTGACTGGACTGTGTATGTAAGAATTTCTTTAATAAATTAAATGCACTTTACTTGTAATAATTTTTGGGGTCGTTCATCACCACCAGCCAGTAAAATTGAATGCTGATTAACAATGCCTTCAGCTAAGAAGTACTTCAACAATAAACTGGAATATGTATTGTATTGATCTTCTTCTGCCAATAAATAAATAAATAAAATGAAATAATAAAAATATCAAATGAAATACAAAAGCATATTGTTACCGAGAAAATTCTATCAAAGTTGACATATCTAAAAAATTACACTTTTTATAACTGATTTGATAGCTTAAAGATACAAAAGTAGTATAGTTTTAATTAAGAAAAAAAGCTTGTTTTTTAACATTATACAATAAAAAAAGACCTCATGCCTTACAAATAAGTATTCCATAAGTTTTGGAAGAAAACAGACTCTTACTATAAACAAATTACATTTAGGGTTATTTTAATATGGCAAAGCATATGAAGGCTACCTGCCTAAGGAAAGGGATGCCTTCATAGAGGATTTTCTAAGGAAAATTAGCTTGCGTTCAGGTTACACATAGGAAAAACCATGAACACCAACCATGCATTCAGCCTGTTCACATGGGTCAAACTAACACATTTAGCAGTCTTAAACTAGGCAACTAGTAAGGTTAATGCAAACTAAGAGAAGAATTTATACTTTGTTGAAGAATATGGTCAAATATTAGACATTAGCTGAAGTTTCATTTGATAAAACAATATAATGTCAGTCCTACATCAGAAGTACTTATAAACATTCCTTGTTTTATGAAAGCTTGTTTTATAGCATTTTGCTTAGCAAAAGACTTCTTGATTAACGTAAAAAAAGTAAGGAGAATTTTCAGTTTGATGAGAAAAAGGTAAAAAAGAAAGGAACTACTCTTATACACGCCGTCAGGTCACCAAATGCGCCGACAAATTTCTTGCCAAACATTTTTCGTGAGAAACTTCATGGTGCCACATTACTATATAAATTTTTTGTCTACATTTCGAACTTTAAGCCTAAAATGTCTCCAAAAACCATGTTTTGAACACACAATTTAAGCTAAAAATCTGAAACAAAAACAAAAATTTAGATAGCAAAATCGTAAAGTTTCTAACCAAAAATATTTGACAAGAATCCATGGAACTACTCTGATATGCACGCTCAAGTCGCCAAATTTCTCGCCACACGTTTTTGGTGAGAAACTCCACGCTGCCATATTGCTATCTAAATTTTTTGTCTACATTTCGAACTTTAAGCCTACTATGTCTCCAAACCTCGCTTTATAAATTAACATAACGCACACTTCGCTTTAATAAATTAACATAACAACAATAAATTTCAAAGTACACCATCCCCCCCCCCCCCCCCCCCCCCCCCCCCCCCCCCCCCCCCCCCCCCCCCCCCCCCCCCCCCCCCCCCCCCCCCCCCCCCCCCCCCCCCCCCCCCCCCCCCACCCCCCCCCCCCCCCCCCCACCCCCCCCCCCCCCCCCCCCCCCCCCCCCCCCTGTTTAAACTTAACATCTACGAATTGCACAATTTAGGCAACGAATGAATCTACGAACTATGCACACCTCACTTTAATAAATTAACATAACAACAATAAATTTCAAAGAATACCATGTATACAGCGTTCTGTTTCAACTTTAAAAAACATTTACGAATCGCACAATTTAGACGGTACGCACTAATCAACAAAATAACTAAAATAAATTTCAAACAATTAAAAACAACAACAATAACGACAGAATTCTTTCTAAAAAAACAATGAACATAACATTCTGCAAAATAAGAATAAGAATAAAATAACATGCATTTACCATGAATTAATGGTTTTTCAAACAGCAGAAATACCAATTTCGTACCACCTTTAACATGCCGCCACGTAATCACTATTGTATTTATATGACAGCCAGACACACTATCCAGAAAATTCATACTATGATTCACAAATAAATAAAATAACACATAATCACAAATCCCTTCCCTACTTCTATCATACACAGCCACTAAAAATAATCTCTCAGACCCTCTTTCCGTCTCCAAATACCCTGTCCCTTAAACAGGATGGCCGCGATGATATTTTTCCTTTTGCCGAACTTCAATTCAACAACTTCCACCATTTTATCTTTCCCTCCGGGGATTCTCAGACACAGAGGCGAATCAACGAGCTAACCAGCGAAAGATTTTTCAACATTCAACAGGGTTGCCATAGGACACATGCAATCGTGCCAAAAACCAGCACAGAACACATATCGCCACATTTGGTGAAATTAGGGCGTATATCAGAGTTGTACCGAATCCACGGAATCCACATACATAGCGATATGTTTTAACTTGAAAAAACATCTACGAATTGCACAATGTAGACAACGAACGAATCTACAAACTACGCACACCTTGCTTTAATAAATTAACATGACAACAATAAATTTCAAAGAATACCATGTACACAGCATCCTGTTAAAATTAAAAAAAAAAAAATCTATGAATTGCACAATTTAGGCATTGCGCACAAATCAAAAATAAACTAAAATAACTAAAATTACAAACAATAAAAAAACAACAATAACAACAGAAATTCATAGTAAAAAACAGTGAACATAACATTCTACAAAATAAAAAGGTACTATTCCGTTTTGAGGACCGTAAAAAATTGCAGCGAAAATGTATGCGCAAAAGCGCCAAATCTAGCAAACGCGCCCACTTAACAGAGCGCCAAATCTAGCGTATGCGCTGATTTCAAATTGCGTAAGTCTAGATAGTTCTGTATTTCTTAAAACGCCATTTAAAGATTAGTTTAATATTTAAATCTTTTTTTGATTTTAAATCCTTTTTTGATATCCTATGGATTTAACAATTTGGGAAGTGCCCATGGCGAAAAGTTTGCAATAGAATTTTTTTCAAAGAAAAGATAAATATATTTATTATAGAAAATTATGTTTGAACAATCAACGAGATGAAATTATGCTTTAGCGATAACTCGGTAACCAAATACCGATGCAGGAATCCATTCAGTTATGTTTAGCTTTTTTTTTATATAAATTATAATAATGATCTGAAATAGTTATTTACTCTTATGCTTCCATTCAGTTATGTTTAGCCTTTTTTATATAAATTATAATAATAAAAATGTATTATATGAAATTAACTTTTCATCTAAATTAAAACATTAATCTTTAAATATAATTATTTATTATTATACTTTCTTTCTTATGTTAGGGTTGCCACAATTATTTTTGGCATCAACAATAGTTTGGCGATTTTTTACGGTCCTCAAAACGGAATAGTACCAATAAAAACAGTAAAATAAACTGCACTTACCATAATACATTCATTAATAAAATTTCGCCAGTCACACAATGTCTGTGAAAAAAAGTGCCACGAATTTGCTATATCATATCTCTTTCTGCAATTCAAAATTTCAACAGTAATGATACCTCCAAACTAACTAAAAATAACTTCCTCCAAAGTTAACTTACTACACAAAAACCACGATCCAAATCTTAAACTCCGCTGACAGCCACATATTTTACCAGAAAGCAGTTCACAGCAAATCCACACAAGAACTATCAGAAACGTCCTTCTTCGTCCGAATTCTCATAGCAGCTCCACATTTTGGACTCTGTTTTAAAAGTCCCACAAAAATTCCAAAAATACACTTCGATTCTCATAAACAAAAGATTTCGTTAACAACTCCAACATCGTACCTTTTAATACGAAATTTACTTTCCACAGAATCTAAAATATGCGACTGAAATCTTGCCACCACGTCTATCATTGCAACACAGGCCATTTCAAAACACACATGACACGAACCAATGAGGAATTAAGCCACTGCACAAAAGAGTTAAGTTTCAATGACAAAAGGGTTGCCATGCGAACAACATCATCCACAAAACCACCGCAACCACATAAAAAACCAGCACAGAACATATATCGACACATTTGGTGATCTTTGGGCAAATATAAAATTAAGAGCCGAAAGAAAATATCATCCAGTATCTATGCTACTCAATAACTGCACAGAAATACTAAGTATACAAAAACCACACAGCTTAAGAATAGAATGTTTTAAATTCTGACCTTAATCCCCTTGGGAAAAATGTATGAATAAAAGGGGAAATATAAAAACACAAGATCAGAATGGAATGTTTGAAACTCTGACACTCACCCCCCCCCAAATAAAAAATTATTGAAAAGGAAAGACATAAAAAAGACAGAATATTATATTGTAATTAGAAGGTATTGTTATGTATTTCACCTTTTCATATCAGTCTAAGCTGACAGCAAACTTCAAATTTGACAATGGATCAAAACATAAATTTAGAAACTAAAGACATGATAATCTAACCAATCGAAATGACAATAAAATATTAATAGATGACATTCAGTCTCACTTTTTTATAGCATAGCCTTCTATATTTCTCACTATTAAATACAGTTTAATTCATCATTATTACTACTGTCATCACTGCCTTCTGGTTTGTTTGCTCATTGTTCTCGCAGCAGATAAAACTCTACTTCCCATATGTTAACTCTATTTACACAGGTTGTGTATTTATCATATCGTTCAGACTTTTAATATTAGTTTAGGTTTCACATATTATTTGATAAGACAGGTTTTATAAAAGATTGGGAATGCTAAAGATTGCTCTGAATACAAACTGACAGCAGCTTTAGCTTTATGGCATTTCAGCTTAAAAATTTCAAAGAAGTACTCTACTTTTGTAAAAGATAATAATAAATTTTACCCCAAGAATACAGATACTATTTAGAAACTCTAAAATATAGTGAAAAGCTGCCTATGTATTGGGTTAATGAGTAAATTAAATTATAATTGACTTTGAAACGTATTTATCACTTGTTTTGCAAAATTTTCCGCTTACTGTAAATTTTATTACATATCAACAATAAGTACAAAAACGTATGATACAAAATACAATATCATTAAACTAGTGAAGCTTTGGAAAAATGCACTTTTTTACGTATTACAGGAATATTTCCACGTTTTTTTTTCATTAGTAATGAGAAGTACATTTGGCTCTAGTGTAGAATTGGGTACCCCTTCGATTAGCGACAATTTTTTGAAAAATTTTGGCGATGAAATATCATTTCTGGTTACCATGATAGTTTAACTTTGCTTTAGCCTCCTGATTTTTTTAAAAAATAAAAGTAGATTGACATGGTCAAATTTAAAGCAGTGCGCAATGCCTAGTTTGTGCAATTCTGGGATGTTTTTTTAAGTGAAAACAGATCGATGTGTACATGGACAGAGTTTATGCAATTCTTTGACTTCTTATTTTGGTTCTGTTTAGCGGCCATCTTGAAATTGTGTCTTCGTGGCGTCGAACTTGGCGTCAAAAAATAATCGCCAAAAAGCAAGAGCACCCAATTGTAGACATTTACCGTTCATTTTATTGTATTTTACAACTGTAACTTACGAAACTTGGATTAGGAAGTAAGAATGATGCTATAATTATGAATAAATTACTTTGATTTAATATAATACATAAAGCTAAATAAAAAAAAATAATAATAAACAGATAGTGGTTAAAATTAATTAACAGTACACTGTACCTATCAAGCATATTGTTCCTATTGCAAGTCCTCCACCTGAAACAGAAAATTTATATAGAAAAGATTAATAAAACGAATAAATTCTAAATTATTTCAGGAAAACATTCGATGTCAAATTTGAGACGTAATGCATTCAAAAAGCTGAAACCTATGAAAAAATCCAATGTTGACGACCCCGTTGAAGTAAGCAGCAGCGAATTTTTCACAGATATTCTAGTACCGCGAATGTTAATAGTATTAGTTCCTGTTTTTCGGTAGCTGCTTACAGTTTCTGATTGTTTCATCGGCTGAAAAGTCATTTTAAATTTAGCATGTGCTACCTTCAATCTTCGTCGTCTGCTCCAAAACAATAAACAAAGATCGTAAACATTCTAACACGCCGCTTGGCAAGTACAATATTTTTTTAACTAAAATTTTATAAATGGGCATATAATAAAAGTAAATTTAATATTAGTTTGTTGCAAAACTACTTTTTTTCAAATTCATAAGTTATTTTTCAAATTCATTTTATACCCTCTTAGTATTAACTGGCTTTTAGTTTTATAAGATTATAACTTTAACCGTATTTAAAAAAAAATAAATAAAGGCAAAAAGGGGTTTGCTTTGAATGTGTTATCACTGAAATGAATGAACAAAATCACGCGAAAATACTTAACTCAGTTACTTGAAAGGCGGTTTATTAGAGGAATGTGAAGGATTAAAACAGTCTAAAAAAATGCAATCTAATATTTTGTATATTTTAGTTTTACTTACATTATTCAATTCGGTTTGTATAATAAAATATATTCTCAATATTATATTTTGAAAACGTATTAGAGTAAAATTTAACGTATAAGCTAAATAAAAACAGTTATTTTTCATTATTTGTTTCCTCATTTAGAATCACTTCATGATTTTGTTTTTAAAGCTGTAATTTTACACTTTGAATAATGCATTATTAATAGTTTTCTGTATATTCGTATGCATTTAGTGTACATATTTTTGATTTGTGACATATTTATAGAGTTGCAAATTATCATATTAAAGTTACGCTCTTAAGAAGGCTATTAATCAGATGATATATGTGTGTGTATAAATAAATTTTTTGTTGAAAAAAAATAGCATATTACTCAATAATAAATGTTTTTTGCAGGTTTTCTGCAGATCATTCACTGTAGATTATGAGAACAATTGCTTTAGAAAAGATGGAAAACCATTCCGATACGTCTCTGGTTCAATTCACTATTTCAGAGTTCCTGAAGAATTTTGGCATGATCGAATATACAAGATGAAAATGGCTGGATTAAATGCCATACAAACGTAAATATTTATATATATTCTGTATATTATAAATTACAGCGGAAATTAAAATATTCCTATTGACATTTTTTCTGTGCAAGTGTTAAATTTTAATATTATTTATTGCTTTGGTAAAAATTTATTCTTGGCAATAAAGTGTCTTGTCATATAAATGTAATAAAAGACTTAATATTTAATTATATTAAAAGATGTTGATTATCATATATTTTAAACGTAACGTGTATACGAGCCAGTTTCCCTTAGAAAGTCTTCCACGAAAGGCATCCCTCCCCTTAGGCAGATAGCCCTAGTGTGCTTTGCCATGATTAAATACACACCATATATTTTAAAATAAATTCCTAGAAGGAGAATTGTCAATAGCTGTTTAAATAAAAATAACTTTTAGGACTTTTCCTTTGTAAGATTAAATTGTATTAATTGCATGTATAAATAACGCACAATTGTTTAAGCATAAGTAAAATTCAATACCAAATTGGCATTTATTTCCAGAAATGCATGTATGCTTTACATGCCTATGCTTTTATGCAAATCTCTCTTAATTAAAAATAAAGGTACTTTTCCGTTTTGCCGGCGCAAACGATAAAGTCGCCAATATTGGTTTAACTGATGCCAGACGGAATATCTTCGCTGGTAACCTTTTACGCCTCAGTTTCAAAACAAGTTGAAGCCGTTTCTTATCAGATTGTTCTTTCAATACTGGCATACAATAATATAGAATTTTTACACGATATTTAAATTTTATCCCCTAAGACAATTCCACGGTAATTAAGTCAATTAGAACGCAATTACACCGCTCATCCGAAGGCGAAATCAAGTGTTAAATTCATCAATTTTAATGAGAATGAACTAGCGAAGTAAAGCACTGCGGTTTTACATAATTTCTGAGTAAGCTATTCGTACGAATTGAAATAATTCTTGCATTTAAACTTGTATTCCAAATTAAGATTTAACTTGAAATTAATGTAGATAATTACTGAGAGAATTAGATTTTAGTAGCGTAGTTTAAGTAAGATGAGATCACTTGGGGTCACGTGATACGAACCGGCGAATCAGGATTTTGAACCATGAAATCATAGTAAATTCTTAAATTAATGTCTTTTTACAAATTTATTGTCTTTATTTATTGGCTTTTTACAAAATTTTAAACCATATTAAAATGTTTATGCCTTTAAAATAAAAAAATTCTTAGAATTAACATTCTTTATGTGTATACTGTATGTTGTCGCCAACAAAGTCTGCTTGGCGAGATTTGCGCCGGCGAAACGGAAAAGTACCAAAATAAAATTTTAATATCTGTTAAATTAATAGTAGAGAGAAGCTAAATAGATATTAAATTTTAATAGTTATGAAACCTTTCATTTTATCTTTTATGGCCAAGTTTTTGATGCGGGGAAGAGTCATGAAAGTGAAAAAAATAAAAGAAAATTATTTAAAAATAATTTTTTAAATTTTTTATAATTTTACTCTTTAAAATTGATATTACTATTTATCATAAGTTTTATCAAAATAGCAGATCAGTTTTTTTTTTTTTTTTTTTTTTTTTTTTCATTTGAATGCATGTACTTTTTATGTATCAGATTTGAAAATAAGGTTTTAAGCTTGTTTGTCAAATATGTTTTACCTTTTATAATAAAAATTCACATAAAAGTCATGTCACATGTATGAAATTTTCATGAATTGAATTTGGCTGTTAGAGAGCTGGGATATTTGTCATGTATTCTTTCATAATTAATTCACATATAATATGGCTCAAAATTAAGACAGATACATACTACTAGACAGCATTTTATCCACGTTATACAGCACAAACAAAGTAGACATGTAGAGTACAATTTGCAAAATCCTAAGTGATCTAAAATCTGAACCTTTAAATTATCAGCAGCTTTTTTTTTTAATTAAATAATAATTTTTTTTTTAGAATTTTTTTCTATGCTTTATGTTTTTGCATTTCATATTTTTTTGGAATAAAATGTATGGAGAGTCTCAATTCTGAATTTTTAACTCAATTCTTAATTCTTGAGTCTCAATTCTTAATTTTACTTTAATTTCTTTGCTTCAGTACTGATGAATCGTTATTTATTAATTTTTACTTTCAATGTTGCATCATTATCAACACATTGCAGCTTGAGAAATGACTTGTGCAGCGATGTCCAAACTAAAAAAAAAAAAGAAAAAAAAAAAATTAGTAACTGAATACGAAAGAGCGTGGTAACTTTTTATGTCTACATTATGTTTGATTATACACTTTAGCTAATTCAACTGTGAAGTGTTGTATTGATGAGGAAAAATTTAATAGAAGTTTCTTTCCATATGCAAAGCATACATTTTATAAATTATACTCATAGGCCAAAAGCTTACATTTAGTGTTGTTTGAATTGAGAATAATTGAATTCAGATAAGATCAGAACTGGTGCAGCTGTGCTTGGTGACAGACTTTAGGGGAAGCAAAAGTTTTAGAATTTAGAGAAGCCCTTAGCAACAAACTTAAGGGAGGCAAAAGCTTTAGAATTTAGGAAAGGCACTTGGATGCAAAATTTTTAGAATTTAGGGAGCACTTGGCAACAGAATTTGCAAAATATCTGGTGCTGATCCTGGATAAGCCTGAAGTATATGTGGGAATCTATGTATTTGCGATTCAGCTAAGCCTTAAACATGTGCAGGAAATAGGCATATGTATAATAAATACCTAATATAGATAAGGTTTAACTTCGTTAGTGTATGGGAGAAGTAAAATAAATTTTAGCCGAACAACATCTCTTTAGTTGTCAGTCTCATCATACAACATCATCATACAACATCTCTTTAGTTGTCAGTCTCATCATACATTGCCAATAGGGTATAGTGAACAATAGCTAAACTTTATGGCAATAGCTGTGAATTTGGAAATGTTTGCATATCACAAACAAAAAGTGAAATTATCCAATTAATGGAATTTTTAAAGAAATGTGAGGAAGTGGTAATGAATGAAGATGATGAACATAAGTTTTTGACTGCAGTGACAATGCCCTGATTGTCAGTCAGCTAACAGATACCGAAATCTGTAATATGGTTCTAAATCCAGAAAATATCACTACTGATAGTGACAGAGAGGTTGTTGATAACGAAACTTGACATGAAATTTACAGGACTTGAACAATGGAGCTTTGTAACTGAAGAAGAAATTGTATCTATATGTAGAATTAAAGAGAAAATTTTAGCAGGAAAAACAAAGCAAATTAAACAACTTACATTGAGAGAAATGTTAAATAAAGCAAACAAATAGATATTGAGCTTTTTCTTTTGTAAATTTTGATTTCTTTAAGGTTGTAAATGCTGTTCATGTAAATGCTATTTCATGTTTTTAATTTTATAATTTGTATGTCATCTTACTAGATTTAAACTGATGATCTAATATCGGGAAAAATCCCAAATTAACAATTGCTGAGAGTCTGGATCTCAGAATTTTTACTGTATCCATCTTTCTTGCTATTCTAGCCATGTAACCTATGTACAACCTTTTCATAACTTACTCTCCTTGAAAATGATTGAATATGGGAAAAAGGTGGGGGGACACCACTTAGGCCAAAGTACGCATGTCCAGAGTTCTTTGAATCTTGACAAGCACATTAACTTATTCACTATAGAGGAAATGTATGAACTGATATCATATGGAACAATATAATTTATACTGTGTGTAAACAAAATTAACAGATCTATCAAACATTTGATGAGATGTTATATTTTGAGCAAAATGGCTTGTTAAATAACTTTGGGAGGGGGGGGAGAAGGAAAAAAAAACCCAGATTCCTGTCAAGCTACAAATACTTATTTTTGTTTTTCATCCAGATTTCTCATCTTCTGATCCTGCTGTTTATACTTTACTCTTAGAAATATGCTTTTATGGAGTCACTGTTTTTAGATAATTTAAAAAGAATATAATGACTGTTTTGTCACAACTATCAAGCTATCAGTGCTTCTAGGAATTTTAGGAACACTGGAGCAGGTATGTCTACTGTAATAGAGTAATATAGTAAAAGCTCAACTATCTGGAAAACTTGGAAGGTATCAAATTCTGGATAGATCAATAAAGAAAAGTGCAATTCATGGTCAAAATCCAATTGAATTAAAGAAGAAATTTCCAGTCTAAATTTAGGAAAAGTAATCTTTTTTGTTGTCAGCTTGAATATCAAAACCTTCCCTCTAAAGTTATGTAAGATTTTGAAAACATAAGGACCATTTCAGACATGAAAATCAATGTATTTCATAGGCCTTGAAAGTTAACAATGTTTTATCTAATAATAAAATCCTGTTGAATCATAAAAGTTGGCAGAGATGCTGCCAAACTTGTGGCAGTTATTCTAGAATATGTTTAAAGGAACAGATTGTTTTCTGTTTAGTTAAATGATCTACTGAAACACGTTATGGATGCAGCTTATAAAACGCTTAAAATGCTTATCATAATTTTTTTGCATTGTATGATCTTATTCCTTTTTTGCATAAAATGGTATTTTGGGCCATTTATGTGCACATTTCCTTGATACCAGAATCCTGTAATTTTGAAAAGATTCCACTGTTCTGTGAAAAGGAGGTTCCAAATTTTAATCACTTTTTCAATATGCAAGGGAAAAACAGATAAATAACAGTTAATGTGCATCCTTCTTTACAAAACTTAATTAGCTTACTAAGAATTAAAAGGTTTACATAAATCTTAAAGCCTTAATAAGAAGGGGCCAGCATATGCTGCAATTTCTAGGCTTAGCATTAATTATTACGCTATATTAGAGACATTAATATGTAAGAAGAGAGTGTTTCTAACTTTTTCAGAACCTGAAAATGGTATCTGTTGAGCTTATGGCAGCTATGTTTAGGATATCAAAACATGCCTACAAATCACTGAAAATGTTCTTATTTCTGTCACATTGTCTAAGCAAATTTTTAAGCAATGACGTATTAGAATTTTCAGTTAAATGAGGTCATTGCAAAAGTTTTTGTTCTAATGTATAACTGATGGTATATATATATATCTCACCATAAATAGTGGTCTCTTTACTATATATAACAAATGGAAGGGATATAAATAATCAAACAAAATTCATGCTATTGAAATTTAGTAATTTGATTTCATTCTTGTTCTTTATTACAAATTTGTTGAGCGGAGTTAAAGAAATTAACATTAAGCTCAAAGATTTAAGCAATTTTACATTTGTCTCTTACAAATGCTTCATACAATGCAGTGCAGTACAGTGCATGCTAGTTGATAAGCAGTTTGTAGAGTTTGATGTCATAGTCTCTTTGAGACTGCAAATTAAGTTTTTGCAAAAATTAAATCTCCATTCTTAACCCCCCGCTCCCCCAAAAGAATTAAAAATCACATCATATTTTCTAAATCAGCATTATAGCATTTATAAATTAACATTAATTCTTACAATATTAACTTTTGAGCCAATGCTATTTGTCAAATAATTAAATAAGCAAATTTCAAAGCTTAAGTTCATATTTATTTAAGTTTTTTATGTGCTATATCCATATTTTCAATGTGTTGATCATATAATTGAATTAAGAGTGATCTGTGGCTGTCTGACTGAATAAAGAGCCTTCTTATCTTTCGAAATTCTGCCAGAATGATTAGTGCAAGTATGTCAGGAAATCTATCAATGAGAGTCGACTTTAATAGTCGATGGGAAAATACATAAGTGCTGAAGTTATATATGTTGTACTTAGTTTTTTGGATGCTTTTCTTGAAATTACTGAATTATTTGATATTCATTTAAACTTTACTGAAAACGTTTTTCAAGAAAGCTGATTTAAAAGTAATAATTGCATCAATGTGTAATTGGGTAATATGTACACATATGCAGTTGGGGAAGCAAATTAGTGATTTTTTTGTTTATTTCTTATAGCATATCTAATAATTTTTCTCATTAAAACAAATGCAAATTATATATATTTTTTATTGTTTATTAATGCATATATGAGTTTTTTTGTTTGTGGAAACAGAGAGAGAGAGAGAGAACATTAAAATGTTTCTTGTATTTTTATTTATTCAATTAAAAAATTATAGATATGTAGAATGGAGTCATCATGAACCAGAACCTGGAGTTTACAACTTTGATGGGAATTACGATTTGCCTAAATTTTTGCGAATTGCTCAAGATCTTGATATGTTAGTCATTTTGCGTGCTGGTCCATTCATAGATGCTGAAAGAGATATGGTAATGTTTTTCTATTTAATTTAAATAATCATTTTTAAAGTATATTTCTCAGGTATTAAAAAGAAACATTTGTTATGTTTTAAGTAACGTATACAACTTTAGGGAAGGTAAAGTTAAATAACTGCTACTTTTAAATAATTGAATGTTTAAATAACGTTTTCCTCCAAAATGTTAATTATGCATTTAAATTAAAAATTCAATTCAGCAAACAAAGATAGCATATATGAGAAGTTTCAAGAACTGACAAAATAGAAGTATTTATTGGGTAGATTTTGATAGTATTTGTTGTTAATAACAATTGAAAAAGCTCAGTACAGTAAAAGGGGGAGAAAAATTGTGGAATTTTTGCAAAGCTAAACAAGGCATAAATAAATAAAGAAAGAAGTGAAAATCATTAACTAAAATTGCTTGGTTTTGTTGATTACGGCACTTATCTAGAAAAGTTTATTCACTAATTCAAGAAATGTTTCGATAATTTTAAGAAAGAAAAATGTATGGAATGGAATTTTATCAGTTTATCAGCAATGGAATGTTTATCAGTTTGTTTCCTATCTTTCTCTGATAACTGTTGTTGGTCTGTATCCTTAAAAAAAAAAAAAAGCGCTTCCTTTGATAAATCCATAGAATCTGATCTAAATCTTTTATTGATAATAAAAATTTACAATCCATAATATTCAACAATTTAGCATCTTTGTTAATATTTAAGGATCGTATAAACTCGTAAGTGATATGTGCAGATCTAAAAGGAACTGAATTAGAGCTATCCCCAAGTTTTTTTTTTTTTTTTTTTGCCAAGCTTTAGAAAAACAATTATTTATCTGTCTAAGATACATTTATAATCATCTTGAAGAGGTGTTCATTGTTTCTAAAAAGTGGATTACCTCTTTGGCAACATAAAAAGTACTTCACAAAGTCCAAAATCCAGACGTGTGATATTCAGAATGTTTCAAATCCGGACCTTTGGCTCCAGACTAAAATTTTATTTTAGATTTTTTTTAATGATTTACATATGTGCATTTGATATTTTTTCATAATAAAATATGGAGAGTTCCAATTCTTAACTTAACTTCAGCATTAAAAAAAGATATCTCCATATTGAAGAAATAATCACTTATTAGTATTGGGCTCTGTAGCCACCTTTTTCCTTGGTGTACATCTCAAATCAAAACATCCTTCATTGAAACATCCTTGATTTTAGGTCTACCGAATAATTTATATCCCCTACCCCAGACTAACAATCATTATTTATTATTTTTTTGCTTCTATCACTCCATAACTATCAACACTGAGCAGTTTGAGAAATAACTTATGCTGTGATGTCTGAACAAATCTTCCTTTTTTTTTTTTTAACTAGTAGCTGAATACATAACAGCATGGTAACTTTTCGTGTCAGCGTTATGATTATAGACTTTGATGAACTGTATTTTGAAGTGGTGTATGTGTTGATGAAGAGAAGATTTTTTTTCCCTACAAAAATTGGTTTTGTAAATAATACTATAGGTCAAAAGATTATATTTAGTTGCTGTTTGAACTGAGAATAAATGATTCAGTATTCAGATAAACCCAGAACTGGCTCTAGAGCTGGTATAGTGGCACCAAGTGGCAGAATTTAGGGAAGGCAAAGTTTTTAGAATTTAGAGAAGTACTGAACAACAAAATTAAAGGATGGCAAAGTCTCTAAGAATTTAGGGAGGCAATTGGTAGCAGAACTTAGGACCCAAAAGCCCCGTTCACATGCAACGCTCCTTCACACAGCTGCCGTTAGCAAGGGGAGAAAAAGGAGACATGAAAGAGTTTTGTCTTTAGGACCCGTTCAGAAGACCACCGTCTTCCTTCCCCTTTACACCTAAGCCTCTGTGAATAATCACGTCTCCGAATTGGCAGATTTCTAATACAGTTTACACATTTTTAACATTGTTTACTGTTGTTAATTTTGTAATCTGGACTTCGCAACTGGTACCTGAACTTTTCGTAATGGTTCCTGAAAAATATATGCGTTTTAATTTTTTTTATTATTATTTTTTTATAAGCTGTTATTTAGTTCAGTACTCTTGGTGCTTGTCGCTATTGTTAAAAGATGGTTCATGGATTTTTAAACTGCTTTCCGATAAGATATAGAACTCAAACTTTGTACGTACCACTGCTTGTGGATGTGGTGTCACACTTCTGATTTTAGAGGACTAGATTTTTTTCGAAATTTAAAGTTGAAACGACTTTTTGCAAATATTAACAAATAAACTGAGAATCTCAGAATATTATAGTTTGCACCATAACACACTGTGGAGGAAAAAAAAAATTAAGTGAAATTTTTAGCGTAATTTTTTTAAAAAAATTTTAGGAGAATTTTTGAAAATCGTTCATATTTTTAGACTTCTTGACGCCCATTAATTTTAAAATTTCATATCTAAAAATATATTGGTTACAAACTTCCGACATTTTTACAGCTTATGAAACAAACGTTTCGCATTTAAAAAAATGATACAGGAAATTAATTGGATGATTTTTTTACTTTTTTGAAAGATGTGCAATGAAGGAGAATGGGAAATATTGGTTCTTCTTGGACATCAATTCGAAACATCGGTTTCAAAGTAATAATCTCATTACACCACACTATTTTTATGACATTATTTATGCTATATAAGTTGCTATTGTTTCCAATTGTTAGTTCAGCGTTAGATTGGAGATATTTCTGAGTTAACTTTCTCTTAAGATGCGTTTTGCATTCCGTTGTGTTTAACGTTCTTATTAGATTGAAGAATAACTACTGATTATACTTAGTGCTATTCTAAACACTTGTACGAGTATTTCTGTGGAAAATTCCAGAACTTTTGAAGTGTTTCTGTTGATAAAATAAATTTAATTAAGCTATCATCAGATTTGAGTGCAATGACAATCATTTACGAACATTATCAAACCTATTACAAACCCGTACGCACGCAACAATATTATAATTAATTAATGTATTAAAATTGTTTTGAACGTGTTTTACAAAACAAAAACAGGTAAAGAAAAATTCTGTTTGCGTTTTATGAGTTTTGCAATTTTTCTGGCCACATAAGGTTTTCAAAAAGGTTTGTAATTTATGTTTATATTTACCAATTAAATTAAATAAGCACTAGGTTTGATTTATATATATATATATGTGTGTGTGTGTGTGTATTGAAATTTCAGTAATAAAATTTTAAAGATTTGAAATGATTAAATGTCTATTCAAGACAGTTTGTATTCTTTAAACTGCAAATGCAAACTGAGAAACCTTTTGCATTTTTTTCAATAAATCCTTTTACTTAAAGTCCTAAAACATATACAGGTATGGACTAATTTTTTTATTATTTTTACTGCTTATTTAAAATTATATACTTTATAGAAACAAGGATGGGTTTTGCAAAATACTGAAAGGAAAAAATTATTTGAAATGAAAATGTGACTGAGATCATATTTGTTTTAAAGATTTTAGATAAGAGTGTATTTTTCCCCCTCAGAAACTAATTCATTAATTGCAAAATCATTCCTTGAAGTTATTAAGAACACTCTAATAAATACAATAAAAAAACTGGGGGGAGACATTGAAAATTGTAGGAGAAGAAAGACATTTTAATTGTAAAATTTTTCTTCAAAAATTTAAATAAAAAAAATACTAGCAAAAACTTTTTTTCAGCTTAAAATTGTTTTGTTTCACAAAACCATTTAATAATATTCATAAAAGTAGATGAAAATGCTTAAATTTAAAAAAAATCATTCAAAAGATACCGAGTCCCTTGTCGCGTTGAAGCCGATATGCACTTGTCTTAACTTTAGTTTTAATTTGAACGATATTTCTGGAATACCTAGCATCAGATAACCTTGTCTGTATTTGTCTATAATTTGCGTATCTTGTACAGTTATATCTAATTTTGGGGGGGATGCTATCACATCCCCAGACATCTATCAGCGTGATTGTTTCGCTGACAGTCCAGCTAGCAGTAACTAAAATTAAGTGAACCGCGCAGTTTAGTGCGGGAAATCTCCCCATTTGCCCAGCTCCCGAGAGGTAAGGAACGTTCAACCAAGTTCTACCTCCAATTCGGTGAGGCAGTTAATGCTTGTCCCATGTGAACGGGACATGTTGGAAGAACCGGTTTCCGCTACCGGTCGAATCTGCTCTTGTGAACGGGGCTAAAGAGACTGCAGTGGGCTGCAAAGTTTCTAGTGCCAGCCCTGGATAAGCCTTAAGTATATGTGGAAAAAAGCTTTAAGCATATACAGTCAAAAGTTGTTAATTCGGACACCCATAATCCAGAATGATCTATAATCCGGACCTCAAAGCTAAAAACTTTCTGCGCATGCGCCGCGTTGACACATGCGCATGGGCGTTTATGCGTGCGCGTAAGACCTTTTACGACTGCGCATATGCGTGTGCGCAAGCGCAGAATACATTTTCGCGTGCGCGTTTTATGTATAACAGACGGTATAAGCTAAAATTATCTAATTATCTATTTCAGTTGATGTTGATGATTGCGTTGTTCATTAATCTTCGAATTGGATCTGGCTTATTATTTTTTGCAGACTGTAAGAGCAATACTATAAAAGTAAACTTGAACTTTTGAATATGTCAAATAGAATTTCCGATTCTGGAGCTCCCAAAGGATCGTACAAAACGAAAGTATGTTTCGATGTCCATCAAAAGAAAAGTGAAATTGCTGCAAAAAATGGATAAAGACATGAAGAATGTGACAGAGAGGTTAGTGAAAACGAAAAAATTTCGATTGACAAGTTAGTCGGTATTCGCAGCACAGCAATTAACAAGACTTGAACAGCGGAACTTTGTAACTGAACAAGAAATTATGTCTGTTGATAGAATTAAAGAGAAAGTATTATCACATAAAACGAAGCAACTTAAATAACTTACATTGAAAGAAATGTTTAATAAAGTAAACCAATAAATATTAAGCTTTTTTTTTGTAAATTTTGATACCCTTTAGATCATAATTGCTCTTTATTTCATAAATTACAGTTTCATATTTTTAATTTTAGAATTTCTGCATGCCATCTTATGAGATTTAAACTGATGATCCGGAAAAATCGATAATCCAGAGTCGAAGTCCCGATGAGTCCGGATTAACGGCTTTTGACTGTACTAGAAATAGGCATAAGTATAAGAAATAACTAAACTAATATAATTTAGACTCAACTTTGTCAGTCTGCAAGAGAAATAAGATAAAATTTAGCAGAACAACATGTCTTTAGTTGCCAATATGATGATAATCTCCAATAGTGTTATAAAGCAGATACTCACTAAGCTTTATGATGAAAGCCATGAATATGAAGGTTTTCTGATATCACAAACAAAAAAATGAAATTTTCCAATTATTGGATTTGTGAATGTTGAGGAAAAGTGGTAATAAATGATAATATAACAGAAGTTTTTCATTGTGATGATAAATCTGCAACCATTAATATCTAATGAATGGTGAAATCTGTAGTATGGTTCTAAATCCAGAAATATCACTAATGTTTATGAAGTTACAGAGAGGTTCATGAGATCGAAAAAATTTTGATTGTCAGTTTAATAAATATTCTTGTCATGGCAATTACAAGACTTGAACAATGGAACTTTGTAACTGAACAAAAAATTACATATAGCTATAGAAGCAATTTAACCTTTTAATTGTCATGCGCGAAATTGCACTGGTGTTCCAAAATGTAACGTCTGAGTATTACTCGGGGTAATTTTTTTTTTAATGCATCGTATTGTTATATCTGAATATATATCAAGGGAAGTTTATTTCACCTTCAGTTCAACAGATGGCAGCATCTTACTGAAGGTTTCAAAGGATCGAGGTTTATGTTCAAAGTGCGCGTCATTTAAAAAAATTTTTGGATTGCATGGCAAACATTCGATTTTTGCAATGAAAAAATTGACAATTTATGTACCCAAATCATCAAAATAAGTTGGCAGTTAAAGGTTAAAAGAACCTGCATTGAAAGAAATGTTTAATAAAGAAAAAAAAAAAAAATATTGAGCCCTTTTTTTTTTTAGCCGAAAGGGACAATTTGCCCAGAAGAGCTATTAATTTCAGTTTGGAATTTTGTGTTGATTCACTATAAATGATGAATCACATTTTTAAATTGTTGCCACCAAATATTAGAACCCTGTATTATATTTAAAGAAATTAAATAATGAAGAATGTGCATAAATGTATGTAAATTTCTTGCATTGTGATAAAACAATAGTACCTAGAGTCGTGAAATTTTGAATAATGTAAGTCTCAATCCAAATATGGGCATTTGGAAGTCTTAATTTTGAATTATTTTTATTTTCTATTTCATATTTTGTAAAGCATTTATGAGTTTTTGATTAAGAAATGGAACGATTTCAAAATGAGTAATGGTAACACTGTATGAGGGGGAAGACATTTTTGTCTCCAGCGCGCAAAACTATCGTAAATTGTAAAGATATGCTCTTTTAAATATTTTGTGATATTGCTGTTGAATTGACTTATATGGTTTAAGTGCAAAGAACATGATATTTGATAAATAAAGTTAACGCACAAAATGTTATTAAAACGCCCCTTTGGGTGTAATATAAAATCTGAAAACTTTCAGATTTTTTATTTATATATTGTAAATTTTGAGTTCTTTAAGGTTATAAATGCTTCATTGTTTCATATTTTTACCCTGATCAGGGTATTGGTCTTGAAACGGCATTTTGTGTTGAATCACTATAAACGACATAGCACTTTTGAAATTGTTGCCACCAAAATATTAATACGCCATAAATATATGCATGTTTCTTGCATTGTGAAAAAGCACCTAGAACCATCAAATTTTGAAAGACGTAATCCGCCACCCAAATGGGTACCTTGAAGCACAAATTTCAAATTTGTTTTATTATCTCTTTTATATTTTGTAAAATTTAATGAATTTTTGATTAACAAACTCAACGCTTTCAAAGCGAGCTGTGGCAACGCTGCACGAAAAATTTTTTTTAATCTCCAGTGCATGAGATTGTCTATTGGAAATTCTTACGACATGCTGATTTTAAATATTTTGTGATTTTGCTGTTGAATCGAATTTTATGTGGCATAAGTGCAAAGAAAATGATATTTAATGAATGAACAAAATGTTAATAATTTAAAGGCAGAAAGAAAGTTTCAGCCGTCTTAGTAAAAAAACTGGAAATTTGTATGGTGAACTGGGAAAAGACTCATTAAAATAGAAAAGTGTATGCCAACATTTAATGCTGCATTAGGAATCCTTAACATATACTGCTTTTAAAATTTTGTTATTTTGCTGTTGAATTGTATATGGCATCAGTGTGAAGAAAATGATGCTTAATAATGCAGTTAAAAAGACAAAAAAAAAAAAAAAAGGTTATTAGGAGTGAGTGTAACAGCAGACAGTAGCCTGTGAGCTCAGCAAGAGCATAAGAAACCTTAATAAACCATTTTTGCAACCATTAAAATCTGAAACCTTTCAATTTTTTAAAAATTTTATAATTTCTACACTTCATCTCACTAGATTTAAACTGATGAATCCATAAAAACCCCAAATTTGAAATTGCCGATCACCAATTGAGAAAAATATATGGTGCAAGACATATGCATAAACAAGCCAATGAAATAAATGTGCTGCTTAATTAAGCATCTTCTGTATTAAATGATTGCATAAGCCTCCATGTAATGCTAATTTTGTAGGAAATAATGTTATCGCAGCTTACCTTTGGACACTACTATTTTAATAGCTGATTTTAATATATGATTTTAAATTTTGTATTTGAATTCTAGAGGAATTAATTCAAAGATATCTAAGATTAGGAGGATTTTCATAAAATTGTTTTAGGTGTAAAACTAGAATCGATTGTGAAGATTACATTGTAAATTTTTAAAATTTTGTGATTTTTTATATTCTTTTATTAACTTTCTGAAAGTTAACTGTTCAATTTTTCAAGGCATTAGACTGCAATTTGAGATTTTCAGATTGCAGTGGAATGTTTCTAAGTTATTTCATGTTTTGCTAATGTTACAGTTTTCGGTACTTATCTGTTTTGCCGGCGCAAATGATAAAGTCGCCAATAATGGTACAACTGATGCTAAATAGAATATCTTTGCTGGTAACCTTTTATACCTCATTTTCAAAACAAGTCACAGCCATTTCTTACTAGATTGATTGTTTCTTTCAATACGGGCATACAATTACATAGAATATTTACAAAGATAATTACATTGTATACCCTAAGACCATTCACGGTAATTAAGTCAATTAGGATGCAATCGCGCTGTTCATCCGAAGGTGAAAATAAGGTAAAATGCAAAATCAAGGGTTAAATTCATCAATTCTAATGAGAATGTACTAGTGAAGTAAAGTACTGTGGTTAAATAATTCTTGCATTTAAACTTGTATTCCATATTAAGATTTAACTTGAAATTAATGTAAATAATTACTGAGAGAATTATATTTTTGTAGCGTAGTTTACATGAGATGAGATCATTTGGGGTCACTTGATACGAACCGGCGAATCAGGATGTTGAACTATGATAGCATAGTAAATTCTTAAATTAATGTCTTTTTACAAATTTATTGTCTTTATTTATTGGCTTTTTACAAAATTTTAAATCATATTAAAATGTTTATGCCTTCAAAATAAAAAATTCTTAAAACTAACAGTTGTTAAATTTTTTTATGTATATACTGTATGTTGTTGCCAACAAAGTCTGCTTGGTGAGATTTGTGCCGGCGAAACGGAAAAGTTCCTATGTGCTTTTTATAATTTACATTGAAATAAAAAATTCTATTATTTGATAGGGTGGGCTGCCATATTGGTTACTAAGGATTGATCCAAAGATGAAATTTAGAACATATGACGCAAGTTAGTAAGAAAAATATTTTTCTTATTAATATAGTTATTTTTTCAATTTTTTCCCTCTTATACCATTTAATATATACTACATGTATTATGCATTAATTTATTGCTCAATTTTAATGCCTTAAAAATGTTTTTGTATTTAAAAGAATATAAATATTTGTGCTATTTAAAACTGCGAGATCAGGCAAAATCTTTTTAAACTCTCATATATAAAATATTAGCAGAAATTGATAATTTCAAGAATGTTATTTTAATTTTAAACTTGTTTGCTAGAATGTACTATTAATTCTTTTGTTAACTTTATAATGTATAATGGTTATCTCATGTATGTAAATATTAATTTTTTCTACAGTTATGTTAATACCAAGCTTTCAGAATTAAATAGTAATGAGCTAAAAATTCTTTACTGTTACGAATTAATTATGTTCTCATACTGAAAGTTTCATAATAATATAGTAGTTTATTTTTTATCTCAATCAGTTAAAAAAAGTTAATTTTTATTATTTCAGAAAGCAAAAAATCATGTTTTTAAAGAAATATATACTTAAATATCATGTATTGGCCAAAATAAAATAAAATAAAGAGAAATACAAATATTGTGATTATTCCTTTAACCTTTTGAGTGGCATAGCTTTTTGAATCTGCTCATGAACAACAGGATTTATTAATGTAAACAGCATTTATTAAGTAAATTTGTATAATTACTTTAGTCTCTGCTTTCATAAACTTCCATTCATTAAAATGATTTTTACATCATTAAAGAAAGTAAGAAAACAAAATTTTATAAATTATAAGCTAAGTGTACCACTTAAGAGGTATCTCTTGCTCGAGGGTGGGAGAGATGATGCTAAAGAAGAGGGGAAGTATTAAAAATGAGGGCCGCAACCTCATAATGAAAATACAAAGTGGCATTCATGATCAGTTAAAAGTGGTCATGCCACTGAAACAGTTAGCATTCCAGAAGTTAGAAACAGTTAGCATTCCATTAGCAGAAATAACATAAGTTATTTCATGTTTTTTGGGGGGCACATGCCATTATAAGTAATAAACCAATATTCTAACTCATTATAATATATTTCAAAATAAGGCACAGCAGTCTTAAGTTCTGTTCACAATGCTTTGCAATATGACTATAGCAGAAGAAAAAAAAAAAAAAAATCATTGGTGTTCTTCATTGGTTTTCAATATGTGAGCTACAGAGGCTGTTTGCACATTTTTTAGATGATTTTGCTGTACTACAGAAAAAATCATCTGCTTGGAATCTTTTATTTGCAACTATATTTTTGAAATATCAATTATGGCCTGCTAAGCTTTGTTTTCATGCAAAATGCTGCTTTAAAGTAGAAGGATTGAAAGCTATGTTTATATTCCTTCCAAAGGAAATTATTCATATCTAGTTATTAAAAAATGCTGTGAAAGTCATGTTGTTTTGATATATAAAGCTATGAAGGTAATATTTTCAACAAAAAAGGGGAAAAACATAAAAATTTGGCGTCATGTGGAAAAATATTTCCAAATATACAGGGTGTCCATAATTAAGCTTGAAATTTGAGAGTAGACTGTAGCAAAAACTATTCAGCAGAATTTCATGAAAATTGGGTAATGGCAGAATAAAATGATGGGAATTTTATCGAGGGAAAAAAAAAAAAAAAAAAAAAAACAGTGATTTTCAAAAACCACCATTAGATGGCGTTGTGTAATGTAAACTATTGGCATATGCAAATATCATAACCAAAGTAATCCTTTGCGCTCACAGCAACCCTGTAAAGATGTGAGAAGCAAACTGCAGTTGTACTCATTTCCAAGTCAAGGAAGATGACGTTGACTCTCCAGGAACATGCTTTACTGGTGAAATTGTTTTACCAAAACGAAGACTCTGCTAACCGAAGCTTTGCAGAAATTTCGGTCTTTGAAGCGGTTACGGAAAGATCTACTCACTAGTCAAAGACTAACAAACATGATTAGGAAATTAGAAGCAATGGGGACATTGGGGATTCAGCCAGGAAGGGTATGAAAGTGTGTTGCAGCACAGGTAATGGATGGTGTAACGACATAAGTGGAGAAAGACAGATCGCAAACTATCGGCAGCACTAGTGTTCGGCGTATTGTAGCATCTCTTGACTAATCCCGTTCCACAATTCATAACATTCTTCAAAAGGTCTTACGCTACATTCCCTATAAACTGTCGCTAGTACAGCAGTTTTTACCTGCTGATCTGTATAGTTAATAAACTTTTGCGTTGCGGTTTCTTGTGCGAGTTGAGTTTCAGGATGAATGTCATGGAACATTTTGGGGACACGAGGCGCACTTTCACATGGAAGCTGTGGTTAACATGCAAAATTGCTGTACTTGGGCTGCAACAAACCCACATCAATTCCTAAAAATTCCATTACACTCTTTGCTTGTAACGGTTTGGTGTGACTTTACTACAACCTTTATCGTGTGTCCGTTTTTGTTTTTTCGAAGAGCACAGCGCTGCAGGACCTGTGACATGCACCATCACCAGTCAACAATACGCTTCATTATTAGAGCAATCCGTTATCAGGCAAGGCGATGTAATACACCTGCACAACTGCAGTGTTTATGCCTGATGGTGCTCCTCCACACATCGCCCGTTATGTGAAACAAGTGTTTTGCCACCTTTTCAGTGAGGACAGAATCACAAGCCAGCAATTTCCTACAGCTTGGCCTCCTAGATCCTCTGACTTGAATCCTTGCGACTTTTGGCTGTGGGGATACTTCAAGGCCATGGTCTACCGTGATCCCATCATATCTTTATCTAACCTTAAAGAAAGCATAGAACGCCATGTGCTTTCTTTAAGGTTAATTCCCCAGTCATGCTGCTTTCAACAGTCGAACATGAAATTTTATGCTTCCAGATGGTAGTAGACAATGGTGAACATCATATTGAGCATGTTTTGGAAACTTTTGTAGATTATTTATATGTTCTCAATAAAGCTATGATATGCCACTTAGGGGTGGTATTTGAAACTCGTTTTTCCCCCTCGATAAAATTCCCATCATTTCATTCTCCCTTTACCAAATTTTCGTGTAATTCCACTGTATGGTTTTTGCTACAGACTGCTCGAAAATTTCAAGTTTAATTATGGACACCCTGTACATATCCAAGGAAAAACAATTTTTTGAATGTTGCAGAGATCTCTAATGTTAAAAGGTAATCCATTTAGTCAAAGGACAGTTGCAAAATTATTAAAATGCTCAGTGATAACTGTAAATAAAATGTGTAAGCCCAATCATCAGTCCATTAATGGTTGGCCAAATCTATAGTATGGTTCCTTAAATGCAGGAAATGTTCCTGCTGATAGTGAAGACAGTGACAGACAGGTTGTTGAGAATGAAAAAATTTCAATCAACGAAGTGGGAATTCTCGAGGTTGCAGTTACAAGACTTAAACAATGGAGCTTTGTAGCTGAACAAGAAATTATGGATATCTATAGAATTAAAGAGAAAGTATTTGCAAAAAAACTGAAGCAGATTAAACAGCTTACATTGAAAGAAATGTTTAATAAAGCAAACTAATATTTAGCTTGTTTTTTCAAATTTTGATTCTAATAAGGTCACATATGCTTATGCTTTGTTATTTCATAATTTTATAATTTCTACATGTTGTCGTACTAGATTTAAACTGAAGGTCTAGTATCTGGAAAAAGCAATAATCCGAAATCTCTGAAGTCCCAACAAGTTTACATCTCAGACCAACAAGTTTAGCATCTTGAAAGCATGCCTTAGTGCTGAGCATAGAGTCATTTCACAAAGGGTACAATTTAAAGTAAAACAGTTGTATGAATAAGTTATGTTGTTTTGATCACAGTTTTAAGGTTGATCCTGAAAAATGTTTTGGTACTGGCTTCAGGTAAGATCTGCACAATCATGCAAGAGTATATTCTGGAAAAACTAAAAATAAGGAGGCAGTTATGTAACTGTTGCTGTATACTTATTGCTGTTACCACCTAACACAATTTCTCCAAGAAGTAAATAGATTTTTAATTAATACGCTTCTGTTATTAGTCAATAGCTTAAATCTGTAAACAAAATAAATGCATATTTTATCCATACTCTCACCATCTTATTCTTGACCCAACTCTGGTATACTTTGTTAAAATTCTGGCTGGATCATGTGTTTGTAAGTTATACATAATGAGAATCCCATGATGGGTAAGTTAGCACTTCAGCATTATTGCATTTCACATTTCCTACTCTAAACACAGAAATGGGAAGGGGATTTTTAAAAAGCACACCTGGTAAAATTTTGGAATCAGAGCATTTCATGACAAAAAAATATTTACTTTTATTCTTATTTCAAAACAATTTCTAATGTCTGATGTTCAGGATTGCTTAATGAGTGTGAATGCCATGGATGCATGAGAGCAAGAATTCTCAATCTTCGAGTCCAAGATTTTACAGTTTTATTTTAGACTGATGATCTGTTTGTCTGCTGCAAAGGTATGCAAATGGATTAGTGGTTAGTGATGCTGACTGGTGATGCTGATTAGTGGTTAGTGAAACTGAAGAGCTTGGTGGTTCGAATCCCGGATGTTTGTAAGTGTTTAGTGTCTGGGCAGCAAGGGACACTCAAAATGCCTGGTGAACCGAAATCTTCTCAAGAGTTTGTGTTTGGAAAAGAATGGTGATAGACCTTCAGACCGACTCCTCAAGGTGTTTTCTTTTGGAATCCCTTCTAGGGCGGAAGCTTAGCTGTTAGTAAGGGATGGCTGATATACCTAGATAGATGCACATATGCTAGCCTTGCTTCAACCTGTACTCATGTCTACTGCAAAGAATTTTACTAAAGATGATGTATGTGATCTTAGTACTAGTGATCTGTTAACCTTTTAACTGTCAAGTTATTTTGATGATTTGAGTGCATAAATTGTCAATTTTGTTTTATTTCAAAAATGAAATGTTTGCCTCGCAGTCAAAAAAATCAAATAATGCTGCGCACTTTGAACTTTAACCTCTGTCCTTTGAAACCTTCAGTAAAATGCTGCCATCTGTTGAACTGAAGCCGAAATAAGCTTCTCACGATATACATTCGGGTATAACAATACGATGCACTAAAAAAAAAATTAGCCTGAGTAATACTCGGGCGTGACATTTTGGAATACCAGTGCTGTGCTCGATATTATTTCAAGCATGACAGTTAAAAAGTTAAGAAAAAAAATGTGATGAATGAAAGTTTTTGAAAAAAATTTTTTTTTTTTTTTTTTTGCTACATAATAACATAAATTAAAAGAAAATTTTATAAAATGTTGGAAGAACTATTATACTTTTTTAGTACCCGTGTTTCTGCATGTGCTTTGATTTGTTCTGTGAATAATAAATACAGTATATTGAAATGTAATTGAATTATATTGGAGTGTAAATATGTAGGACTTCATTTTATGTATAGAAGAATATTATATAATTTTTCTCTTGAATTTTAGAATACATAAAATATGTTGACAAGTGGTTTGGCGTTTTGGCTTCCATAATCGAACCATTCTTGTATAACAATGGTGGCCCTATAATCACCCTTCAGGTGAGATTATACATTCAGAATTTAAGTTGTTTTCTTTTTAAAAAAAATTCATTCCTATATGTATTTCTGTTGCATTAGACATTCTACTGATTGAAAGCATAAGATTGAGTGAAACTGCTTTTTTTAGTAGCATTGTTTTATGTTATTAGATCTTAACTTTAGATTTTTCTATTTTTTTACCACTTCTTCCATTAGAAATGAGGAAGTGGGTTTTCAATTAGTTACTTATCTTTAAGTTATCAAATGTAAATAATTACAATGTAATGAAACCAGATTTAATAAGTTTGTTTACATTTTATTTGATTTTGAAGTATTTTTATGAACTATGTGTTCTTAATTTTGCATTTTTTAGGAAATCGTGTCAATTGTGTGTTGTTCAATTAATATTAAAACTGAAGAAATTTTCAATGCTTATAAAGATTCAGAAGATCATTAAAATTTGAAATAAATCAACTACAATAGGATCATTATGCACAATATGCACTTAGAAAAACTGGATCTTAAAAGGCAAAGTATTAAGGGTTATGTAGCAGTCTTGAGGAGGGGGACAATGATAGCAGATAGCTTGAAATACTGATTGCGTAGTAGACTGGACTTTGGAAAAGCATGACTAACTTGAGAATTAGAATATCATTTTATTTCTTGATGACGAATTTCATAACACAAATCTTCTTGATTGGTACAACACTACGGGTGCTATAAGTGCCTTGCAAATTTATATATACAGATTATATTTATACTGTAGATGATGATGCAGACCTGTTAATTACTTGCTTACAAAGCAACAGCAGAGGGGAAAGTGATGCATATTAATCAGGTGGAGTTATTTATAGGCTCGATTCCTTTGTTTCAATCCTGAACAACTGGTCAAGAATTTAAAGCATTGCAGATTACCGCACGTAAATTAATGTCACAAAATGCTGTAGCACAGATCCTTTGAAGGAAGTTGTATTTAAATTGAAATTAGGAATTAAAAGGTCTGTTGTCAATTAAGTTAGTAATTGTCTTTCGTATCTCTCTCTCTCACACATATAGATATTATTTGGGAGCTCACAATTCTTAAAATAAAGTTCAAATTTTAAATCTCTAAAACGTTATACATTTTTTAGGAAATCGTGTACAAAAGGATACATTTTTTTTTTGGTGTTTAAAATTTATAATATATTTTAAAATCAGTTCAGATTTCATTTTTTTTTAAGTCTTAAACTTTAATTTGTCCATTGAAGAATTTAAGTTTTGCAAGCTTTCTTTCCTACAGTGCTGGATGTTTTATTTTCTAAAAGTCCTTACAAATATCTTTAGCTTCGACAATTCACTTTTGTATTTTCCCTTTTATTAATTATATTTATTATTATTTTCTAAATTTGCTTTCAGATTGAAAATGAATATGGCAGTACTGGGCTGTGTGATGCACATTACAAATCTCATCTTCGTGATTTCTTTCGAAAGCAATTAAAAAATAAAGTAGTTTTATTTACAACTGATGGATCTTCCAGCAGTGCTCTTTCATGTGGTAAAACTGATGAAGTTTTATCCACATTTGATTTTGGAACTGGTAATTTTTTTAAAATTTTTATGTATGTGCATATGTGTGTTTATATGTATAAATAAACTTTTCAATGTATTAAACATCTGTATACTTTTACCATAAGTTGAAATTGTGAATAAGTCTGTATGTATGTACTCTGTAGGTATAATTGAAAACCTTTTAATAATGTCTTAAGCTTATTATAAAAAGTGAAACTTTGCAATGAGCTTAATACAATACGGGGACATATCAGGGAGGTTTAATTAAAAAAGGGAAACAGCAACTGCGTACAAACTTCTAAGGTAAAGCTGGCCTGCGTTGACTTACTGCTTCCTCTCTCTCGCTTGGCAAAAAGCCACAACTTAAGTACTTGGCGTTCGCCAGACAAACTTTGCATAAAAACCTTCACGCTTATAATTCTGGCCGGAAGTAGAAAATAAGAAGTGATAGTAAAGATTTAAAATAAAATAAACATTAGTAAAACTTAAGATCCTTACAATACATTATGTTAAAAAAAATGGCGAAATATGGCAAAAAAATAATAAGTGATGGTATTTCAAACGTTAAATTCTTAAGCCATGGTATTTGACGTGTTGTTGTAGCATTGCTTTCTTCATTTTTAACTGATGTCGCTCTAACAGAATACTACCAAATTTTTTATTTATAAGATGCATTTTGGGTGTATATTTTATGCTTCATTAGATTAAACAAAATTTTCATCTGTTATTTATTCACAGTAAAAATTATTTTGTTTTATCACTTTTGTTATTTTATTTTCCTTTTGAAAAACTAATAACAATTTTTGATTATACTCTCTTTCATGCTATTAATATTTACTACAGTGCAAAGTCCGTAATCCGGACGTCCATTATCCTTAATGGTCTATAATCTGGAACTCAAAGCAACAAACTTTTTTTTTGTATGCATTACACATGCGCATTATTGTGCGTTTATGCATGCGCATGCACGTTGTGAGGATGTGTCTCCAGATAGGTTAAAAAATGTTTGGTATAATTTATGGCCAACTACCATATTTCAGGTGAGGACAATGAAGATGATAGCCGCCAATTTGAAGGTTTTCAGACTGTAATTTGAATAGTGGAACTTTGTAACTGAACAAGAAAAATTATGTCTGTTTATAGAGTTAAAGAGAAAGTATTAGCACAAAAAACAAAGCAACTTAAACAACTTACATCGAAAGAAAAGTTTAATAAAGTAAACAAATAAATATTAAGCTTTTGTTGATTTTATTTAATCATTTTTTTTTCAATGCAGTTTTAAATTGGGTAAATTGAAGATTCAACTCCGGATTCCAGCATTAATGGACTGTATATTGATTAATTTTTTTTTCAAGCGTGGGTACAAGTGATTGAATTCACTTCTGCAATTTAGGTTTAAATGGCATATAATGGGTCTAAAATATCTTGATTTTCACATCTGCATTGTTAATTACAGCTTTATTTAGAATTTAGTTTATTTAATGTATTTTGATATATGGGAAATGTCTCTGTATATTTTTGTGTATTTACATGTTTACCACTATTTAATTTCTTAACACTTACTTGGTATAGATGCTATGAATGTAAAACTGTTATAACTGTTAAACTAACATAGAGAGTAAATAGTAATACGGTCAAAAGTGTTAATCTGGACACCCATAATCTGGAATGATCTATACTCCAGACCTCAAAACAGGGCAAATTTTTCTTGCATGCGATTCAACGCAAATGCGTATTCACGTCATGCGTAATCTCCGTCTTTGATATGATATTTAAATCCAATTCCTCGTCATTAAATTCGCTTCCAATAGTGGAAGAAAGTGACAACGGAGGTTATTGAAAACAAAAAAATTTCTATTCACAAATTGGAAGTCAGTTTCTGTCGATCCACGCAATTTAAATAGGAAATTTTTGCAATAAAATTATAGGACTTGAACAGCGGAACTCTGTAAAAGAAATGTTTAATAAAATAAACAAATAAATATTAGGTTTTTTTTTTTTTTTTTTTTTGTAAATTTTGATACCTTTTAGATCATAATTGTTCTTTATTTCATAAATTACGGTTTCATATTTTTAATTTTATAATTTCTGCATGCCATCTTACCAGATTTAAACTGACGATCTATAAGCCGGAAAAATCGATAATCCGGAATTGCCGAAGTCCCGACGAGTCCGGATTAAAGACTTTTGACTGTATATGGTTTTCAAAGCAGTCCTAGTCAGTGCATGCTTTTGCATGTAACTTTTATTTTGTATTGTAGTTATATAAAGAACTATAATATGTAAGCAGCCACACTGTGCAAACCAACAACCAACGTTAAATTGGTTATATTTTGAATGAAACACAGTCAGAGAATAAAGAACTACTTTAAAACTGTTTTTGTGGTTTGCTTTATATAGAGATATAAATATGAGCCTTCCCTCTGCCTTGAACCCATCCATGAAGACGCATCTTGTTGGATAGGTAATCTTTATAGCTTAATAAATTATCTACTTGCATTTGATTTTGAGAATATAAAACAAAAATTTCAGATTCTATGAAATGTTTAATTGATTTGCTTATGAAGACATGGCAAAATCTAAATGTAAAAGGAGGACCATAAATTTCAGCATTAAGCGAGACTTTAGTTAAACTATATTTATTCTACAACTGAAAATTTGTGACTAAAAACTTTAGTTATTGCACAACTCCGTAATTCTTTTTCTTAAACCTTTAACATTAAAAATCTATTTCTTGATCCCAACTATAATATTAATTTATATCTAAAGCAAACCCATCAGCATCAGAATGAATAAGACTAGTGAGCTCTGGCAGATTGGGTTGATTGCATAAGTTCTCATGTTGTTTCTTTTCTTTCTTTCTTTCTTTCTTTCCTTTTTTTTTTTTTTTTTTTTTTTTTTTTTTTTGTTGTTATATATAATACATTTATAAGTAAATATCTCTAATTTATTTCAAATGTCTTTCCCCTTTAATACAGACTGTGCTTCTGCTTATCTTGGTATTTGTATTTTTTTTCATGTAGAATATCATGTTTATAGCCATTAGATCAGTAGCCATAGTATCATTAATATATTATTACTATGATTATGGATTAATGGTAAGTATTGGACAAATATGAGATGATCTGTTTCATCGTATCATATTTTCATCTCATTCACCACCTATTTAAAATTATATTCCATAGCAAAATATTTTATACTCTATAGTAGAACTTAGTATTTGCATTTGAATTTTTTCCTTTTGTGTAAAACGTAATGTTATTTTCCAGGAGAAAATGTTACGGCAAAGGTTGAACTTCTTCGCTGGCATCAAGCATCAGGCCCTATCGTAAATTCGGAGTTTTATCCTGGTTGGCTGGATCATTGGGGGGCACCTCATGCTAATGTCAGTTCTGATAGAGTTGTAAACGCCTTAACTGATATTTTAGCAGCTAATGCTTCAGTAAATATGTACGTATAACAGCCATTAGGTAAAAATTTTAACATACTTTTTTTTTCTAATTAGGAAATATGAGTTTGTATTTAAAAATGTATAGGGATATGTATTAGGTTTTCCTTATATTTATTTATGCAAATTTTATGTTTATAACATAATAGCTTGTACACTGACTACCAATAAGTATTTGGACACCTATGCAAATGACAATATCTGCGGTCCTAAGGTACGTCACGGACTCCGCCGGTATATATCGTGTAGGAAACAGCATCAGCTTTAGTCGCATGCAAGATGCCTCGCAGTTCAGAGGTCTCTGATTTCGAGAAAGGTATAATTATCAGGTATCACAAATGTGGCCGATCCTTAAGGGACATATCTAGCGATCTGAAGTACCCAAAATCAACAGTGGCCTATGTGATTAAGAAGTGGAAGGTGAGCGGTGATTGTCGAAATGTGCGAGTCAGCAGACCAATGAAACTGGGAGATAGAGACCGACGAGTGCTGTCCAGAGAAATTCGGATGAACCGCAGCCAACCGATGGCCCTCATCTGTGAGAAGTTTCAACAGGCATCCGGGAGTATTGTTTCAATGAATACCATCCGTAAGGAAGCACATCTGCTTGGTTTTCATGATGATGCTGCTGCCCATAAGCCTTTGATCACAAAGTCCAACCGCGCTGCTCAGTTAATGTGGTGCAAAGCACATCGAAATCGGACTGTAGATTAGTGGGAACGGGTTCTTTGGAGTGACGAATCAAGGTTCACCCTTTACCGTTCGGATGGCATGGTCTGGATCTGGCGTCTACCTGGAGAACGTCTCCTTCCAGAATGCATTGTGCCAACAGTCAATTTCAGCGGAGATGGAATTATGGTTTGGGGGTGTTTCTCCTCGTATAGGCTGGGACCCTTTGTCCCCATTCATGGTAAGCTCAACTCCGATGCCTACTGCACTATTTTGGATGGCAATGTGCTTCCTAAGTTGTGGCAATTTTACGGGTTAGACCCCTGTTACTTTCAGGACGACAATGCCAGTTGTCATGTTTCGACGTTAACCAAGGCTTGGTATGGTGCCAGTGGAGTTCATCGAATGGACTGGCCTGCCCTGCCCAGATTCCAGACCTGAACCCTATCGAGAACCTCTGGGACGAGTTACATCGCTGAATTCAGGGGTGCACTACCCGTGTAAAATCATTGAAGGAACTTCTATGTCTTCTCCAAGCCGAGTGGAAGAAAATACCACTAGCTGTCATACAAAGACTTGTGGAAAGTATGCCCCGGAGGGTCCATGCTGTAATTACCTCTTGTGGAGGCTCTACCAACTATTGATTTTGAGTATTGATTTTGAAGTTAGTTTTTCTTTTCTATGACAGGTGTCCAAATACTTATTGGTAGTCAGTGTATAAGAGAGAAGAAAAAGTAATAAAAAATGTAATATCTGAAAGCTGCAGGTTTTAATATAACATCTGAAAAAGTTTACCAATAAATGTTTAAAAAAATTTAGTTAAGACATATAAAAATCATAAAATTGAATAGAAGCTGTAATTTGGTCTTGGTATGGAGATTTCAGCTCAACACCTGAAACAATTTAAAGTTAAGTAACTGTTATAGGTTTACCAGCTTAAGATTTAGCCTCTCAAAAAGTAAAGTTAGCAAACGTGAAATCTTACATATGAAACAATCTGTTCAAATCTATTATTTTAGTAGGAAAAAATTTGATATACTAAATTAATCATAAGTTTATGCCATGTGAAAACTTGTGCACTTATTTAATGTAGGAAATGGTATTCCATGTTATCACAGTCACTTTGGTAGAAGTTGTTAAATTTTCAACTCTGACAACCAGTGCTTCAGTCAAACAACATTGCCATTTTTGTATACTTTTTTTTTTGTGACATTCCAAGTTCCAATGGCTTTTTATAAATAAATTATGATATTTATTTTGCCTTACTTTTTAAATATGCACTTGGGGAATTTGCCAGCAATGGATGAAACTGCAGTTAAATTTGCAGGAATACAGAATACTAAAGGGAATAATAAGGAGATGTGTTTGGTGGCTGCCAGTGTTGCCAAGTTTCTGCAATTCTCTAATGACTTTTTAAGCAGAAACAGATTGTTGTGTACTTGGGAAGAAGAACAGCATGAAAAAATTGCAGAAAGATTTGAATGAATGCAAGTGCTGATTATTTTTAGTGTGCCAATCACATAATCCATATTTAATAATTAAAATTTGCATTTTAAATTACTAGAACATGTTTTCTTTCCATATGTTAATAGTGTTTGCTAATTTACAATAAATATCAATAGTTTGAGAATCTTTTACATTGCACAAACTACCAACTTGCACCTGATAAATAACTTTTACCTTTTCACCTATAAAATATCATGAAATTGTACTAAAGTTGTGTTAATACTTAACTGAGGAAAAAATTGTTCAAAACATGGCTATGTATTTATCATTTTCACATGAGGCTTGTAGCAAATATTTCTGGTTTACCAGTGTGTGAAATCCATAGATTGAAAATAATAAATGCCTTGAGAAATCCATTGAGATATTTAAATGAAATGAAATTTTTAAAAAAGCATTTCATTAAATAATGGGGTATATAGAGTCAAGAATATAAGAAGAATCAAATTAAAGATTTTACGCTTTTTCGTATCAGTAAGAATCCAAGGAGCAAATATACAACAAGGTAACAAAGCAATGAAAAACACAAAGTTTAAACAAATTGTCTGTAAAGATAATAATAGAAGTAATAACAATTAATTTCAATTAAAATAAAGAAATTATATCGCAAGGTCATGATTTAAATTAACCAGTTATTATGATTTCAGTCTTTGGTATTTTTCCTTACCATATTCCTCACCACAATGCAAATGATATAGCCAACACATAAACTGAAGTTTTTGGAATTTAAGACAGAGCGTGTTTCTTGCTTCAGATGCGCACTACATGTTAGTTTCCTGCCAGCTCTGTTAGTTGTAATTATTCAACTTAACATTCTGTCACCACCAATATTTTGGTTTTGACACTCCGGTAGAGTTATTGAGCCAGTTTCTAGTAAATCTTTAACGGTGTATTCTTTGACAACTGTTCTACATTTAATTTAAATTTGTCAGCTCTCTATAGATGCATCACTACAAGCTATGGCTGGTATTGTTGCATGAAAGAATGCATTTATGTTCTAAATTCTGTTTAAATGAAAATGTTATTTAAACCTTCTCACAATTTTGTAGTTACTTGCTGTACATCTGTTTGGGTTATTGGACTGATTAACATTACCGTATCAAGTGAAACCTTACTATATTTTAATTGCTGAAATAGAAACCTTAGACGAGCCTTTTCAGAATTTTAGGCTCTTACATTATGTCACATTGTGTTACACTTTCAAGCATATATTATTAAAGTGACCAAGCGTTACTACTGCATGAATCTTAAAATCTTTCTTTCATTTTTTTGCACAACGTAGCAAATAACCAGTTCTCTGAGTTTTGCCATTTGATGTTCTAAATCTTTCAAATTATAACTGAAACTATTTAACAAACTGAGCAATTTTTTTTATAGCCCATAGAAAGTGTTTCTGAAATGATATATAAACATCAAAAATCAAATTTAAAAAATTATAAAATTTAAGTCATTTGATATTATAAAATATTTCCCTGAATATAGTAAGAATTTCCCTGAGTAAGGAAATCGATGTATAAGACAAAAATATAAAAGTAAACCTTGCTTCTGTTTAAGTTCTGTTTAAAAAATGTTAATGTTGTTAAAAATGTTTAAAAAAACGCTAAAATTTGTATTTATATTATGAATTTATTGTGAACTTGTTAAAAAAAAAGGTTCAAGAAATGGAACTTGAAATAAATATCAAGTCATTTATTTTAAAAATGTAGAATCAGAATTATTAAATGTAATAAATAAATAAAAAAGCATATTATGTAATGACTAAATAAAAAAAAATTGTATTTAGAAGTTACAGCTCAGCTGTTTAAAGCAGTTAAATGCTGTTGAGAGATAAGAAAAAAAAAATCTTTTTTTAAATATGTATATACTGTTGCGTACGTACGGGTTCGTTTCGTGTGTACGGGTTCGTTACGTTGCACAATTCCGATGAAAAATGAACAAAAATTTATTATTATCACAACAAAAATGCTTAAATTTTCTCAAATTATCATGCAGTATTACAATATCTCACAATAGTTATCTTTTAACTACTCAAATGTCCAATAGAACATAATTCAAAACTGCTAAAGAAAGCTAATCCGCGAATTCGCTACAATCAACAAGAGCAGTTTTCTAAACAGCAACAAACTAAGCAGCAACTGCAAACTGAGATGCTTTCCTCCTTTTATAAGATTTTAAAATCACGCACTAGAATTTTCCAGTACTTTCTCGAAACCAAAAAAAGATATTTATGTATTTAATGCACGCGCTCTTGTATTTTCAATTTTCCGGCTTAGCTTTCTTTTAATATTCGTCACGCGCTGCACTGCGCGAGAAATAAAACCATTTAATTTATAATTGAAGTAACATTAGCTTTTTAAATACCAAATTCGTAACACTGCCCCCTTCCCAAAGGACTGCACGTCCCGGGCAGTACAATCCCTGGACAGGAAGCCAAACTTACAACTGAGGCATAAATGCAACTGACGCATAAACATTACATTACAATATCAAACAACATAAACAATAAATGCAATAACTAACTTAAACAAATCAAATGCTATCAAATACTAAATACAAATAAAATCAAATACACATTTAAAAACAAAAAGGACCATGGTCTTACACTATTTTACAATTATTTACATTACGTACTATGGCCATAGTAATGAGCTAACCTGTCGTAATGAATGACTTTAGGTTTAGAGTTCGAAGACTTACGCATCCGAACCACGACGTCATTCAGCCGGTTTAGCACTGTGTACGGGCCATCCCAAGGTGACTGTAATTTCGGACAAAGTCCTTTCCGTCGAGTCGGATTCCACAACCACACCTTGTCTCCTTCGTGGAATTG